ACATCTCTTGTGCTACATATGTACATGTTTCTCCCATAGCCAGAATTACTGTAACCTGTGCTCATTTGTACCCTAGAGTATATATACAGTTTTCTTATCACTTGTACATGAAGAAATTATGACCGCCGATGAGCAGAGAGAGAGTGAGTGACCGGTCTTTTATTGATAAACTCACGGGGGGCTCTGAGGATGTCAAGGTTCAGAATGAAGAAGAACCGATGGTTTGATTTCCTTGTGACTAGCTGATTTAAATAGAATAGTTACAAGTATGGCCAAAATGTGGTTAGAACAGAATAGAATATGAAAGAAGAAAGAAAACAATTCAATATGATATGCATCAACAAGAGAGTTCACAGACAAGAAGATAAGTTTTAGCCAGAGAGCTGATAAGCCCTTTTTCTTCAGGGTTCTTTGACTACAAGAAGGAGGGTCAGACATGCATAAACTAGACTAGAAAACAGACTATAATGAATGAGAAAATGAGGTGATGAGATCAATAATATAAGTGATTTTTGGTGTGAGTAAAGATACTATCAGAATTTCAACAGTACACCCCCTATGCAATTTCTCCCCTACAGATATTATTGTGCCCCTCAGATAAAACTATTTTACTATCAGAACTCATCTGAGTTAGAGATGGCAACGGGTACCTGTTCTGCTGCGCAGGTACCCGCCCGCGGGTGCTGGGTGCGGGTGCGGGAGTCAGCTCTGTGTATGCTACACTGGTTTAAATAATATAAAAACCAGGTGCTATCACTGTGCTGAAGGACTACTAAAGAAAAAGATTACTCTTTTTCACCCTTTATATGTGGTCCAAATTCCACAAAGGTTAAGTCCACACTCCTTTAAGCTTATTTGTTTCTAATGAACCAAATAACAGGAGATTATAACAATTAATAAATTGTTATAGTTGAGATTTTAAAGCAATAATAATTGCTAAGAAGCAGCTGGCAAGCACTTGAGCTGATTGGCTACTTGTCAGAGGTGGTAGTCTTGCAGCAACTGCTTTATAAGGAATTTTAGTGAGGGATGAAAGGGAAATTTAAAAGTTACACACTAATAATTCCAGTAGTAAAAGGTTGATTGGGATTGGGATAACTACTCTAAAAGTAGGAGGAGAATATTCACTGTACTTACTAAGTATGCTGTGGGTGAATATGCTGAGGAACCAATCTTGGGCCAGGAATGGCCTCCTTTTATATTCTAGAGTCACCCCTGGGGGCATTCTTAGAATATTCTAGAATGTTTATTTAATGTACTACAATAGTATTTCTTCTCATGATGTAATGAGAATATTGTAGTAGATTAAATACAGTATTATCTATGTCCCCATGACATCATGATGCATTGTTATAGCCAATTACATCATGTGTCTACTTATAATAGAATAATACTGATGGAAATTACCACACACTTAACAAAGGTGGTAATTTCTACACTTTGAATTATAGTTTAAATTTATAGTTGTAAATATAAATTTAATATTTGTTTTTATCTTTATTTTATATTATTTTTTTTGGAGTATCTTATATTTTTATTCCTACTAACCTCTGAGGCTCTTGAGTTATGACAAAGTCCTAGAAGCAGTAGGAATTTGGGGGTAGTTCCAGTGAGCAACCCCCTCCAAAATATTACGAAAAATTCATTTATAAAATAATATCCTAGGTTTTCTTATTATTATTACAAGTAATATAATGTTAAGCAGTCTTTTGGATACTCTTGAGGATCTCTAAGGCTGACAAACAAACTCATTAGTTGTAGCAGCCTAAGAATCAGTTAGAAATTAGCCACACATCTTTCTTGTTTCTTAGTGTAACCCTCTATTAGTCTTATATGGCAGCCTAATCAGCACTCATAGCCTCAACTTACATTACTAGTAGTGTATTTGTCTATTTCCCCTCAAATCTCTGTTTTTGGTTCTTCAGCAGTTCCACACCGACCAATATAAAATTGGTCAATCAGATCAATCTCATCTTGGTCACCTCCAGGCAACCTTATTGTGGGGTGTTGTAACTGATACAACCCCTTTCAAAGTGTGAGGAAGGAATTCCCTGGTGCCCACACCCCATTTGTTATGCCAACCACCAAATAAAAAGCTTTGATATTTGTGATTGAGAATTAATTCCCTACAAGTAACAACCTCCTTTGTCAGTGGCACATTGTAAAAGAAATTCAATCAAACTGTCTCTCAAAAATTGGTGGAAAAGCTTACCCAGCACTCATCCAAGCCCTTAAATTGTTACTTGCATCAGAATCAGCAGTCCACTATGAACATAACTGTTCCAATGTAGAAATTTATCTCCTCCTGAGTTCATGGATAACTTGAACAAAAACTGGACCCCCCTGAAGTTCCAGTTTGTGAAACACCTTCTCAATGATAGCCTGTATTTTTTAAATTTGAACACTTCTCTATGTGATGCAGGCAGGGCAGGGTTTTTGCCATCCCCAACTGCATGAATTCAAAAAGAAATGTTTCTCAACTTTGAACACCATAAATCAAAAGATGGGGTTCCAAGAATAAGGGGGTTCACATATGGCTTATCTTGGAATCAGCATCAAAAATTTGTTAAGATGGGCTATTTTTAGTTTATGAAAAAGTAAAAAAGTTTAGTGGGAGACTCCCCTTTAGAGGCCAAATCCCACAATTAAAGTTAATGGGGTTTGTGCATCAGCAAATAAACCTTGTCAAGACCAGAAAAGAGTTGGCTGGAAACGGAACTGCCCTGATAACAGTCCACGCACTATGCATACTTACCCCCCCCCCAAAAAAAAAAAAAAAAAACTGGTTCCAACCCATTTTGACAGCTGAGAGGTGAGGAAGGAATTTCCCTCCTCCTTGATCATCTAGGATGAAAAACTTTAAACATTGTGGAGGAGGGTTGGTTTTCTCGGTCAACCCTCCTGTACTTCATGATATTGCTGGATATGGTGGATATCATATTCATTCTAACTTGTGGGGAGGGAATCTCCATTGTCGTGAGCTTACCTAGGCCTCCACGGCAGGAGTAGTAGCAGGCAGTGGATCTGTCCACACCATTGGAGGCCTACCACAGATGCGGCAATCCCCGCATGGCGAGTTTTCAAATTTGGGCTTCAAAGCCAGTTTTTTGTGCATTTTTCTGCCTATGCTCTTCCTCTTCCACTATTATCTAATTCCCTTGTGGACCAAGGAGGGTCTGCTTCTTGTAAATTAGAGATCATTACGCAATATCCTTTGCTAGGTACCTAGTACCGCTTGGGGGGTACCGCCCACACCCGCCAGGCGGTGCCAGGTGCCGGTTTTTTGGCAAAAAAAGGGGCGGTACCCGGGTACCCCCCATTCCCACCTGCCAAGATTTGAAAAAGGTTCTTACCAGGAGGGTTTTCTCCCAAAGAGATGGCTTTAAATCTACCTCTTCAGGAGGAGACCCTCCTGATGAGCTGATGATCTTAAGCTCTGAAATTATGAAGTTTTATATTTGATTTGAGTTTTTCTTTCTGATGATAGAGACTTGAAGGGTAAACCCATTTGTCCCTGAAAACACTTACAAACATATCAACATTCAATTTGGAGTCAATTCATCTGTTCATTGGGATGATCTAACAAAATGTCTGCATTCCAAAAAGGTCTGAAAAGTTGTCTATGGAATTCAGTGCACGGCACCTGAAACATTCTTCTGGTAGCTGATACCAACCATGTATTCTTGTAAAACCATGCTATCATTACTTCCAAAGAGAAAAAAAAAGCCAAAAATTGATTTTACATAAATAGAGAGGAAGAGAATAAAAAATTTGAAAGACTTTTAAACCACAAATCTTCACATCAAGATAATTGTTTTATTAAGAAAAATAAGGGGAAAAAAACATCAAGAGGTTAACTGGACGGGTAGAATAAATATGAAAAAAGTGACTTGGGACTCTGGGAGTGAAACTAGGTGAGAAAGAGAGGGGAGTTACCCGCGGTACCTGCCAAAAGTACTGGTGGTACCCGCCGGAAGGTGCCAGGTGCGGTACTTGGTACCTATTTTCTGAAAAAAAATCAACAGGTACACGAGTATGGACAAATGATCTCTATGGCACCAAGTACTTCTTGCCTTCCAACAAGTACTTGCCTAGGGGTGCAGGTGTCTGAGATCTGAGAATTTTCACGCAAGTAATTGTACTTGTTGCAGGTGCGCATGTATGAGGGGCCATCTCTAATTTCAACAACTGGGCTCAACACCAATGCAGAGCCTATAAATCTTTTGGGATGCAGGCTCTCCAACTTAATTCCAGTTCCAGCTTACACAAGGTTCTGGTTGCAAAGCAACCCTGCAGATAGATATGAATCCATGGGATGAGCGCCACAGGGTGGGATTGCTACCACATACCGTTTGAGAGGCTATCATTTGAGTTTAGATTTATGGGAGTTGTGTTGAGTCTTGATTAACTCTTGCACAGCACAATCAATCTGGGTCTTGTCGCTGAAGCTGGTAAATGATACATGAGCTTGCGGATCAGTTGGCTGATTTCTTATTCATCATGAGGTTGTTTTGATTGGATTGCAAAAACAAAGATAGAAAAAAGGAAAGACAAGGAGAAAGAGATGATTGGTTGAGTATCATTTGAAAACAATTGTCTGGTATACAAAAAATAAGAAATGGGGAAAAAACTTGAGGAAGGTAGCAAATATAGGGGGTTCATGTTCCACCAAAACTGTTGCTGATGTGAAGCAAGGTTTGGTTGCTGATGCACAATATTGATTAATTTTTGTTGTGGCATCTTGCTTCTAAAGGGGAACTCCTCACCAAACCTTATTGCTTTGCAATGCATCAGCAAAGTTGGATTTTAACAAGTTTTGCTGATGATTCCAGCATCAGCAGTAAGTGAACCCCCTTAATTGATAGACACAGCCCTGAGTATGTACAATCAGCAGTTTAATTTGGAGGAAGGAAATATTGATTCCTAGGAAGAGTAGAAAAGCCGTGCCAAGCTTCCTTACAAGCAGATATATAAGGTTGAAAAAGTATCCTAACTGGTGACTATGCTAATTGGTGACAGTCTTGCTTGATCATAACAACATCCACTGCAGTGCCAGAAGGCCCACCCCAAAAACCGCTCTGTAAGATTCAGAAGTGATGAAGTCAGTAACAGCAGCATATAAATACTTTGTATCCAAGGGCTTGTGTGATTGATTAGAAATGGTACACACTTCGACTAGCTTGCGTATTGATTGCGCACAGCAAAACGGGATTGCGGTCGGGTCATCCTTCAAGAGTTTGCACTTATCTTGCGATCGGACTGCTCATAAAGTCCAAACAAGTGGTTAGAGTTGAGATTGCAAGAGGTTTTAGTATACCTACTCCTTTTTTTTAAAAATGAGGCAGACTAAAGAAAAAAAACAAGTGCCCACCACTCCAACGTGATATGCCTTGTTTTGGGTCGTCGTAATAATATTCTGCCTTGCCGCAAATCGCCCATGGTTTTCCCACGCTCCCGTAATGTGTGGCGCACCATCCATCAAAGTTCACTCCGTATACAACACCAGGGATCAAAGGCAGCAATGTCACTGGGACTAGAAATTTCATTGTGTTTGTTTGAAGATCGCGCTGTAGTAATTGCTTCAGGTTTGAAAATATAACTGAGAAGAAAAGATAAGAAAACTCAGCAAAAGGTTGGGCTGTTGTGCTGGAAGCCACCTCTCTTATAACTGGGAATGGAGGAGATCGGCTGAGGCGTGTCTAGCTTCATCCCCAACAATCGAAGTAACACCAAGAAGCACTCTGATGTTGCCAGATTCTTGCTTGGCGGTGCGCGGCTTTTCCAAGACTACAGGGACTCGCCTTACGACGTACTTTTGCATTGCCACCAGGTTCTTGGCTGACTGTTCTACGGAAGCCGGGACAGGCACGGGCGCAATAATTTCCCAAGATTTTCCTTTTGTGCCTCGGTTTTTTAATGTTCATCTGAGTTGTGACAGGTGGGATGTGTGACAGTTGATGAACCTAGAAAGTAGCGGTTGAACCTTCATGATCCATCGCACCACTCCCGGACCCAACTGAGCCTACATAGCAGCTGCCTCCTAATCAAACCAACCAATCCACAACTGCCTCAACTCACTCCCGAACCTCACATCCAGAATATTATTGTACCAACATGAAAGCAGCCGCAGCGAGAACATTCGGAAAGAGTAACTACATCCATTCATACTTACCATCTGTTTCTCAGCCGGCCACTGACTCAGACTGTTGCACTTCCAATAGAGCCCAAAGATTCTGTTCCTTCGAGTGGTTCCGATCCCAAGGCTGACGAGTCAGTCGACAACAAGCCCGGCGAAGCTCGATCACTCAAGGTCTCCTCTCCTGGCACTTTGGTCATCCGGATCGTCGAGGCCACCGGACTGAAGCTTCCTGAGGGGACCGAACTTCCGGAACGTATCCAACGTGCACTCGAGAGCGATGCGGCAAATTCTAGCTCTGTTAGCGGTAGTGTCGGCCCCGGCTTGAATAGTAAAGCCAGCCATAGAGTTAGCGTCCACCGAAAACAAAAATGGTGGTTACCCTGTCAGTTCTTCTCGCCTTTCTTGGTCGGGCCTCTTGTCATTGTGGGACCTCTGAACACTGCTTGTTGGTCTCCGTACTCATCTCATCCTTTGTCAACCCCGCCCATCTTGTTACAGATTGTATCTTGACTTATGATAAAAATGAAGTAAGCATATTTCAAATGTTCAATTTGGCCTTGATCACGGGTGACTAACTTCTATATGGCTACGATAGATTTTGGTTGATGCAGTCGGTGGAGCACTTGAAAATCCGGGCTGGATGTATCGAGCAGACTTGTCAGTTTCCATTTCGGAATTTGAGTTCCCGCTCACATGCATGCTAATCTTTGGCTCCTTTCAACCATTGCTTGACGTGATTCTACAGTGACGTGTCGCGTGCATCCGACGTGACGGTTTCAGCTTATTTGAGAACTGCTCCGGGTCATGATCGACAAGACATGGGTAATGATTTACTAATCAGCAGTGTCACCTTCTCTCCCAATATCCAAGCTAAGGTAAATCGTTCATCCATTTCGCGCCAGGATAATTATTGGTAGAGAACTGACATTCTCGGGTTTTAAACGGATCGGATTTTTCACTTACCAATCAGGGTGTGACCGATGCATGGTATTCCGCTAGCAGTGGCGAAGGAAAGTTCCATGTGCAAGTGATGTACAAAGCTTCCGCCGTAAGTCTTGCCGATCACATCCTTCTAATTGAATGAATTACACTGCTCACCAAGAATCTGGCGGGTTGGTGTAGAATGATCCTTTGACCATCGACTCATTCGAGTTGTTAAAAGTGATCGGGAAAGGATCATTCGGGAAAGTCATGCAAGTTCGCAAGAAAGACACGGGGCGAATTTATGCGCTCAAAACCATTCGAAAGGCTCACATCGTTTCTCGATCAGAGGTTACTCACACCCTTGCCGAACGAACCGTCTTGGCCCAAATTACCAACCCATTCATCGTTCCTCTCAAGTTTTGTTTCCAAAACCCGGACAAGCTTTATCTGGTCTTATCGTGTGTATTCAATTGATAACCGCTCACACACAGTTTTGGCACCCTTGCTAAGATCTGCCTGTGTTTAGCTTCATCAACGGTGGTGAATTGTTCCATCATCTCCAGCGTGAGGGTAGATTTAGTGAGGAACGATCGAGACTTTACACTGCTGAACTTCTCTCGGCACTCGAATGCCTACATTCCATGGATGTCATTTACCGGTTAGTGAACTCCTTTCGATACAAGCAAAGGCTTTGTGAGGCTCTCACTAAAGGTTTGCTCTTTATAGTGATTTGAAGCCAGAAAATATTCTTTTGGATTATACTGGTCACATTGCCTTGTGTGACTTTGGGCTTTGTAAGCTCAACATGGGTGAAGCCGAACGAACAAATAGTCAGTTCTCACATCCGTCTATTCTTCTGCTTCAGCACTTTCTTTTTGGATCCTTGCTGACTTTTAATCTATTCCAATACGCGCTTTCCAGCATTCTGTGGAACTCCCGAGTACGCTAACTGTTTTCAAAGCACGTGTGACCTGGCTCGCTCAACTACAAGGTGCTCATTATGTTCTGCCTCTATCCTTAGATATCTTGCCCCAGAAGTTATCAAGGGAGAAGGTTACGGTAAAACTATTGATTGGTGGACGCTGGGCATATTACTGTATGAGATGTTGTCCGGTCTTCCCCCGTATTGTAAGTTTCAACGCTTGGATTTCGACTTGCTTGCGTCTGGCACTGACGAGTTTAATTCTCAACTGTAAACAGATGACGAGGGTGAGTACTCATCACATCAGTAATGCGTCTCCGCAAAGATCCTAATTTTCTCCTTACTCACGGTATCCCATTGGTACTGATGATAATCATCGCAGATCATCATACAATGTACCGCAAAATCCTGAAGGTACGTCACTTCTGTCGTCAATTTCAAGCGATCGATGAATTTGACAAGGAGCATTTTGCGGTTGAATTTTGTAGGATCCGTTAACTTTCCCAGCTGAGATTAAGCCTGATGCACGTGCCCTATTGACCGGGTTGCTAGACCGAGATCCTAACACTCGTCTAGGAGCCAGAGGTGCAGAAGATATCAAGCGACACGCATTCTTCGCCAAATCCATAGGTTTGAGGCTTTTTTCGGTCCTCTTAATTTTCCAATACCTGCAATACTGAAATCATATACCCTGTGCAGATTGGGATAGATTGAACTCCAAAGGTTATCGTCCACCGTTCAAACCGAGTGTCGAAAGTGCGGCCGATGCGAGTAATTTTGACAGCGAATTCACAAGGTTAGTATCTCTCCTATCACCATTTTCCTTCCGATTTAGAATCTTTGGTTCGTTTGTGGCAAGCTTTGACCAATGGTTCTTTATCGTGGTGGCACGTCTCAATTATTTTCAGTGAAATGCCTATGGATTCTGTGGTGGAAGATTCTCATTTGAGCGAGACTGTACAACAACAATTTGAGTAAGTCCAAATCCTTTTCACCATCTTCTACGACCTTAAAGCTCACCTTATTGTTTGTTTGTTTTTTCTTCAAAGGGGCTTTACTTTCAATCCTGCCGGTGAATACATGAGCGAAAGTGTTCGGGATTGATCGCCACGACAAAACGACCAAGGTTACGACGTTTTTTTTTTTGTTTCATCAGAAGGAATCTTTACATATACAAACCACTCCGATCTTGCGTTATGTTTTTTTGTTAAATTATTCAGTGCCCATAGTTTGCACGGACACCTTGTTCACCTTGTTCTTCCTAGTTTCTTTTACTTTCTTTTCCCCCTTTTTTGCGCGAATCATCTTCTGCTTCTATGTTTCGGAGTGAAGCCGTGGGGGTACTGTAGAGGTCATCATTCGAACTTGAGATACCAGGGCAATCGGAAGAGGGCCGTAACAATTCGGGCTTACTTCCATGTGCACCAAAGCAACCAGCTGGTGGTGATGAAATTGTGGGCAGATGGGGAACAGCCATGGTTCGGAAGATTGGACAGATGGGATGAGGGATTGTGACATGAGCTGAGACAACAGAGTCAGCAGACAACAGTAGCATCCTAGTCCAGCTTCCAGCCAAGCCTTTGCCAACATAATATGGGCAGCTGAATTTGATTCAAACACTCTCGGTCACGGTCACAGCCGATCTGCAAGCACGGCCAAGCTCGGCCTTTCAAGCAGAAGTACGGCGGGAATAGTTCGCCGGCACCGCGCTGCATCGACAAGGCAAGTCGGCCCAGTAGCCGTTGTATTCCCCATTGCACGACACGAGTAGCTTATGCTGCAATCAAGCCGGATTAAGCTTTGCTTTCGACAGTGGCCTGTCGCCACAGAAGCTTGCGAAGTGAACGCGAAGGGGTGATACAACAGCGTTTCAAAAATTCTTTGAAATAAACTTCACCTGTGGTAGTACCTTAAGCGTAGTGCATGTTGGCGGAAACCCGCATGTTCAATCCGACTTCCGTATCCATAACACGTAATCTCAGCCCGTACTCCAACCTAACCTTAATTCTTCACACCACAGATCCATGCGTGCAAACCAAGATTTGCTCTTCTTCTATATCCTTTTTTTCCAAACTCCTGCTGCTCATACCGGCCTCAAGTCTTGGTTCAAAAAATAGCGGAGGCCCTCCAACTCCAAAGAGCACGTAATAGGCCTTGGCTTTCCGTTATGTACAGCGGTATCTCGGCTCGGCTCCTAGGATCATAACCGGAGAATTTCGTTCCCAGCATGTGGCGGACGCAAGTGTGAATTCATAACTTGCACCAGCATACATTTCCATCATGTGCTCAGCTATGTCATGTACAATTGATTTATGTATCCCAGTTCAGCGTGCCTGTACTCTGTAGCAGCTTGAGCACAAGGTAAGAAGATAGAAGTGAATTGATTGCCCTTGATCAGGCTCAGCCGCTGAAATTCTGGTTCTCAATTTTTTTATTGGCTTGCAAGATTGGTTCAAAAGATACATACATCCAAGTTCAAATGCTTTAGAAGCCTCCAGTCTTTCGATCATCAGATGCTGAAAATTTCATTCAGCTTTTGAATTGCCGCGACCAAAGAGTCTGACTGTTATAGAATACTGATAATGATATGTATGTGTAGACAAAGCAAACTCCCTATAGAAATTCAACCCACTGCCACTGGTCCGACCGTTGTCCGGTAACTGTGACTAAAGTTGATAATATTTAAGTAACAACTTCAGCACTTGGCTTCCTCTCCCTCCCCTCCAGTTTCCCCGCTGAATTCCAGAAAATTACTTACTCCTGCCGACATCAGGCTGAAATTATCAAGCAAACCACTAAATCAAACCTCACATAATCTTGAGTGATTTTGAGGAACTTTGCCTTCCTTAGAACTCTAGATCAGACAAGGCAAGTCAAGTTCGGTCCCAGTAGTGTAACCCTTGAAAAAATCGTAATACATAGGTCCCATCTTGGGTACTTCTTTCATTGAACTGACGCTGCTTGCTATCATTAAACCACTGACTCCTTTCTTGGCCGCCTGAAATGATTTAGCACCCAAATTAATCATGCGGTTTACCATCAGCTCCACCGGGTTCAAATGGGAAAGATTCCTTCTACTCAGTCAACTTCTACTCGCAGTTTCGATCCATTCTGCTCCAATCAAACACACTGAGGGGCAAACCATATCAAAGGAAGGAATGTACTACCCGCCGGGTGCATTTTGCACGGTACCGTGTAAAACCCATTGAAGCGCAGGTAAGATTGCATCCCGACCATGCCAATGTGTATGTTTTGCAAGGATCAAAGTCTGACTTGTTTTTCGTAGGAGATGGGAATGGATGATTTGAAAACGACTTTCTAATTATAATTTTAAGGCTGTGTCAACCTAGCGGCCGACGATTCATGATTCCATTGATTACAATTTTGTGTTTTTTAATATTAACTTATGAGGTCGATGAAACTATTAGCTTACTTCCGTGTTACCTCGTTTATTATTGTTTTACTCGTGGGCCCATTGTCATCTCTGAACATCTGATCAAAATCTTCTAATTTCGGCTGTCATTTTTCACTTTTACGATACTCGATCTTCACACATTTAAATGTTTCTCTGAACTGATGTTATCTTCCCCACAACCAATGGGAGTTTATGATAAACGTATTTCTACTAAAATTGGCGCGCGCTCAGGCCAAGTCCAATTAACGAACTTTTTATGTTTTCCCCCAGCGAGCTGGGTTTATAACCAAGTCATTGGGCAGGGTTTGTGCCGGCGAGCTGTTGACAGCCAGCTTTAAAAGGATACGAGACGTCGAAGCCAAGCTGCCGTGAAAACCGCTTTGTAGGTTTTCCAGAAATCAAAAAACTTGAATCAGTTCAAGGGCGGTTTGCCACCCGGTTCCGCATAACGTTCCAAAAAACTTTGCTGGTCTGTCACTCTCCAGTGGTAACCGAGAGGGTTTCCTCCGGTTGGGTAGGTTCTAGAGCCTAGTCGACCGAGAGAGATTCCTTCCGGTCGAGCAGGTTTTACAAGGGCGTACTGTCGTACACAGACACCGCGCCTTCTCCAGAAGGCCCCATTCTACTGATTGGGTCTGCTGAAACGGTGGATGGAACTTCATTTCTGGACTCCATTGGTTTGTTTTCAAAGGCCAAAAGGCCTTGTTGTGCTCCTGTTTTTCTTCTCGCAAGGGCTCAAGGGGCATCTAAGATAGATTGTGAACATCCAATAATATCATAGGACATATTAAAGAAGAAAAGAAAAAACTTCAAATATTTTGGGAAGGTGTTGTTGGTGATACAACTCCAAACAATTGCACCAACAAGTCCAAGCATCTGCTGACATCAGGAAGGTCTACAGTATTAAAGGAAGACTGAGTGTCTGATGCTCACAAACATAGTATCTAATCCCTATCCACCACAATCATTTAGAGATGCATTTTAACTCTATCACATTATCACAGTGATTCACATCTCATTATAAAGGAAATGAACACATTTTTCTCGACCTGGTCCTAATTTGTTCATTTGCTTTGATTTTTTGTGTTTCCTTCTCTAATTAAAAATATTGTGCCCCTCAACCTTGTGTTTATACATCACATAAGAGATTATGTATCACACTGAATAAATGAGCATTGGCGTGAGTGTCCATATATCAATACCCAGAAGAAACAGCCTTGCATCTTGACTAGTTTCCATTTTTACGGTTTTTTTGTCTAGTTACAGATGTTCCAATAGACAGTGAATCTTCACCTCCATCCTCCACTCTCAGCACAAAGGTGTTGTTCAAAATACAGATGCTGTATGTGATAATATTAAAAACCACAACTTTGATTATGAAGCAAAAACCAGGAATTGTCAATAATTTTTATCTTCATGGATTTGAGTTGATGGTTGACATCATCAAAGCTGCACCATGTTCAATGTGGCCCAGGGGGGGGGGGGACTAGTGAAGCTTCCTGGGATAGAGTGGATATTGTACCATTTTATCTGTGCACAGCTTGATCTTTTGCTCATAGAAACCATGTATTTCTTGGGGTTCACAATTCTGCATTCCTTGGCAGGGCAAAACACTTGTAGGCTCCATATACCAGTCACCTTACACAAAAGTATACTATATCCAATAAAAGTAGGACCAAATGCTTGCCCTTTGTACACTAATTACTGACCAGGTATGGTCACTCTAGATCTTGTGCTTGCTCAAAATACTGTATTTGTTTTGAGGTCACCCTGAAATGGTGCAGATTTGAAATCTGCACCTAAGCTAACATTTTTTTCTAATTCCCATCCAAGAAATATTTGAAGTGTAATAAACCAGATGATCAGATAGTAAACCTTTGCTTGCTATAGATTTGTATTTGGGGGCTGCAGAACCATGTGCCACTCAACACAGCTTTTAGCTTTTCACCAACTTATCAATATATTCAAGCAAACAATATTGTCTATTATCGTCCCATTCATCAGACCTTGACTTTGGGGATGAAAAGTAATATGATTGATATTCAATCTCCACTTCAGACCAGGCTCTGTAAGAGCAAGATTTGCCTTCAGAACAATCATATATACTTTTATTTGAATGTCCATTTTGAATTGAATAAAAGCAGAAGATTTTCTTTTTCAAAAGAGGAATTTTTGAAATTCTACTGATGAAGCTGCAGTTATGTGCAAAATACTACCTGTTGCTGTTCAATTTTGGCCAATTTTTTAATTCCTAATCCTACATCAGCTCCTGTTTCTACTAATCCCAAGATGTTAAATAAGGCATCAAAATAGAAACAGAGGAAAAAGTTAAAAATTTCTCTACAAATATTTTCCTTAGTGTTTTTTATTTTTTATTATGTGACCTTTTCCAGTTCTCTAGAGATAGGTACTTAGATCAATGATTCAACAGAATAAAACCATAGATCTATTAAGCATGTAGAAAATCTGAATTTGTATTAGAACTCCCTTGGCATCCAGCAGCCAAAACCCACTTCTATAGGAACCTAAACTGATAACAGTGTATTGTTCCGTGCAGAATGACTACTCGAGTCCCTCGGAGATATCTCCCGAGTCCTCTCAGGTGCCGTGCTGCGGCGAGTCAGAGGCATGTAACAGGAATGTTACAACAACTTCGACTCTTCATGTGTCAAGTCAGTTTTTCCTAAATTTTTTGTGTTGTATTGACGGCTTCTTTGAAGCTTAGACTATTTGTGGGACCACTCCATGTGACCAATGAAATTATCATTTATATGATGGATTAAACATGGAATGGAAGGTAAAGTTGCCAGAAAGTTTCATTTAGATGATGCCTTTGAAACTAGGCACAAGGTGTCATTTGAATGTAATGACATACAAATTGGAGTAAGTCATGGGTTTTTGATGGGATAGTCAATATTGAGCTCCAGAGGGAAAGGAAATGGGAACGATAACAGATGGAAATACGAAAATTGATGGAATCAAAACAATTTTTTTTTTATGAACAATGAACCGAGAAAGTTAGAAAAATAGAGATATCAGACCTGGGAATTTTGATTAAATACATGAAAGTGTAGTTATATGTGGCAAATGGTCAGTCGACATCCTCCCCAAATAAAAGTTGGAAGGATCATTAAGATTACTGACTGTGGTTATAGACTTTTCAAGGGGTTTTTTGGGTTTATGAATTCAGGTTGGACGGGTGTTGGATGAGCCGACAATGTCCCTGAGACGAGTGCGACGGAAGAGGAGGCTGAATTTCTCGTGGTGCGCCATTAGCTCAATTCCACAAGGGGTGATCCGGTAGGAGTGCTGGCCACTGGCGGTCATCATGGGAATTGTAGGAGCGAGGGAAATAGGAAGGGGGGTGTAGCATTTGGGCTTGCAAGCATTTGCACCGAAGCTAGCAGGGTGAGTGGGAGGGCGTCCGGACTCAGCCAGCGGCGACGAAACCGGGGGAAGGTGGGGAGTAGCCATGGTGGGAATTTCCTAAGGGAAGCGCGTTAGAGGGGGAAGGAGGATTGTGCTGGTAGGGTGAGGGATTGTGAACACGAGCAGGATGGCTTTTTATATCCGACACAAAGCACTGCTGCTGATTGCTGAGACAACAGAGCCAGCAGACAGCAGCAACATCTTGGCTCAGCTTCAATAGAAAACCCTTTGTCAAAGCAGAATAGTGCAATACTCTTCGTATAAACCGCTGAGCAGGATTCAGATACAAAGGCCCGGTGTTGCGAGTCGCCGCTTGCGACCGGTTGCTTGTTCAGAGTCCTGGAATGTAAATAAGGATTTCTGGTAATGAACGCTGAGCAGCGCCCAGATTGAGAAGGTATCTCATATGCATCTAGAAATCTGAGTTCATAATATCCCTTTGTCTGATCAGTAGGCTACAACATTACAATCCAATGTGATCCGTTTCAACCCATGTAAAGTCGTGGAGAATGGTAACCTTGAGTCTGAGCCATACTGGGTGTTTGCTTAGCATTTTCGCTGCAGATTCCTCTCATTTGGTACTTTCTGAACTCAGGAGATTTCAGGACAGTCCCTTAGTTGTTTAATTATACCACCGAATCTGATATGTGTGCACTTCTCAGCACACAATCCCCAGAGCAAAAAGGCTCTGATTTCAGAAGATGAAACTCACGCTGGTAATGAGCTTGAATGAACTTCATGGGTCTGGTGTATACGTAGCAACTGGGTGGCAGGAGATATTTACCCATCCCGCTCCTGGTGAATGATCAAGTAGCAAACCTCTGACATCCCAGACATTTATGAAGAAAATTCATTTTCCAGTATGGAACCAATTGTGGATTCTTCAAAACTGGGCATTCGGTTAAACATTAAAATTTATATATGAATTCTACATTTAGTTTAATGCACACAATTATCCAGCACTAAACATGATTTGTATTTAGTTGTGAATTTGAGTGTTTTTTTCCATTGGGTGTCACAAAAATGGTTGCTTTGAAGAGATTAAGTCGAGTTCCTAAGTTTTGCCATTGATAATATTAATGGATATGCATTGAAACAAAACATTATCATATAGCTAAAGCTGAATGATGCCTTTGAAACTAGGCATAAGGTGTCATTTTTTTTATTAACCTACTACAGTCGAAGATTGTATGAGGTGTCAATTTTGATTTTGGTGACACAGGATGTTTTTGAATCATGAAACTAAGGGTGAAGTCCAGAGTGACAGGAAATGGAGCTGAAAGTACAAGGCAATGATAAACTTTATCAAAGTAAAGAGATTTATGTGAGGAGCATTGAATCAACAAGTTCCGGAAGAGAGAAGAATTAGAGCTGAAATGGTTGATTATAATGATGAAAGAGGAGGGGGGGGGGTAGCAAAAGAGTCAGTGGAAGTCCTCCCCATCAAAAGTGGGCAGTTCATTGATATTGCTTACTGTGGTAGAACGTTCAAGTGAATTCTTCGGGAATAAGAGAAATAGCATGGAGAAGATAGGTATCGGTGATCGGTTTCCAGATATGAATCTGTGTCAATGGAAGCGGTAGAAGGCTGGCAGGAGTAGAAGATGGGTCAGCTTAGTGGATAGGATGTGGCTTGGAAGTTTGACTAAAAGCTCACAGGAATTCACGTCGGACGGGTGTTGGATGAGCCGACGATGTCCTTGACACGAGTGCGGCGGAAGAGAAGGCTAAATTTCTCGTGGTGCGCCATTAGCTCAATTCCACGAGGGGTGATCCGGTAAGAGTGCTGGCCACTGGCGGTCATCATGGGAATTGTAGAAGCAAGAGCAATAGGAAGAGGGGCGTAGCATTTGGGCTTGCAAGCATTTGCACCGAAGCTAGCAGGGTGAGTGGGAGGGCGCCCGGACTCAGCCAGCGGCGACGAAACCGGGGGAAGATGGGGAGTAGCCATGGTGGGAATGCCCTAGGGGTAGCGCGATGGAGGAGGAATAGGATTGGGTTGGTGGGGTGAGGTATTGTGGAAGGGAGGATCATGGGCGGCCTTTTATATTCAACAAAAGACATTGCTGCTGATTGCTGAGACGACAGGGCCAGCAGACAACAACCAGCTCATGGCTCAGCTTGAATCTCAGCATCCAGCAAATCCTTTGTCAAAACAAGACAGGGTAGTTGCAATGTTCTGTATGAACCGCTGAGCAGTACTCAAAGACAAAGGTTCGGTGTGCCGATTGGTTGGTTCTTCAGAATACTCGATTGTAAATAAGCAGTTCTGGCAATGGACACTCAGCAACGCCCAGATTGGGAAGGTAAACTTCCTTTATCTGATCAGGTTGCATGCAGCACCGGATCGTTATCCATTGTGCTCACTTTGATCTGCTTCAGGTCACTGAAATTGCGACCTTAACCGATTGTAGATCATTGCACAACATTGTCGCTGTAGATTTCTCTCATTTGGCACGTTCTGAAGTGATGACAGTCCCCTTATTGTTTGTTTTGATTAGATATCCGGGGTATTTTGGTAGGCGATTCTTACCTATCCCACTCCTGGCGAGTGCTCAAGTTGAAGAGCTCGTGCATCCCAGAATTTACCTGTGAGGACGAAATTTGATTCTGTATTATTGGATAGAAGTATAGTTTATTCGGACTGGGAATTCGGATCACCATGATGATTTATATCTGGATTCAAAATTTGAAAACCTTGGCGCCAAAGCACACAACCATCAGGCTCGAAAAATGAGCTACATTTCGGCCTGATTTTTTTTTTCAATGGTTGTGTCACAAGAATTATTGCTTTGAAGCTCTTTATAGTCGTAGGAGCTCTCGACATGACCGAGAGATTGAGTTGAGTCCTCAGATTTCTTCATTGGCAATGTTAATGCATATGGTATTGAAGGAAGTTCTATCAGATAAGTAAAGCTAGAGGATGCCTTTGAAACTAGGCACAAGGTGTCGTTATTATTATTTCTATCTACTAGGGGAGAAGACTAAATGAACCACAGATTCTAGTCGAGTGAAAGGAAATAGAGCTGATAATACAAGACAATATGAAATTTGATGAAAGTAAAGAGATTTATTCGGAAAATTGAATACACAAATTTTGCAAAAGAGAAAAATGGGATCTGAAAGGGTTGATTCTATTGATGAAAGAGGAGCGAGAGGTGGCAAACAAGTCAGTAGTCGTATTCCTCAATTAAAAAGGGCAGTTCATCGAGCTTACTGACTGTGATAGTACCTTCAAGTGAATTCTTCGGTGTTCAAATGAAAGGCAGGGTGATTGTTTTCCAGATTTGAATCTTTATCAATGGACACGGTAGCAGCGAAAGAAGATGGGTTAGCTTCGTGGATAGGATGTGGCTTAAACTTTGACTAAAAGCTCACAGGAATTCAGGTTGGACGGGCGTTGGATGAGCCGACGATGTCCTTGACACGAGTGCGGCGGAAGAGAAGGCTAAATTTCTCGTGGTGCGCCATTAGCTCAATTCCACGAGGGGTGATCCGGTAGGAGTGCTGGCCACTGGCGGTCATCATGGGAATTGTAGAAGCAAGAGCAATAGGAAGGGGGGCGTAGCATTTGGGCTTGCAAGCATTTGCACCGAAGCTAGCAGGGTGAGTGGGAGGGCGTCCGGACTCAGCCAGCGGCGACGAAACCGGGGGAAGATGGGGAGTAGCCATGGTGGGAATGCCCTAGTGGTAGCGCGATGGAGGTGGAGTAGGATTGGGTTGGTGGGGTAGGGGATTGTGGAAGGGAGGATCATGGGTGGTCTTTTATATTCAACAGAAGACATTGCTGCTGATTGCTGAGACGACAGGGCCAGCAGACAACAAGCAGCTCATGGCTCAGCTTGAATCTCAGCATCCAGCAAATCCTTTGTCAAAACAAGACGGGGTAGTTGCAATACACTGTAAGAACTGCTGAGCAGGATTCAGATACAAAGGCCCGGCGTTGCGACCAACTGCTTGTTCAGAATACTCGAATGTAAATAAGCTGCTCTAATGAACGCTCAGCAGCACCAAGATTGAGAGGGACAGCTTCCATTTGTCTCACTGGTTGCCTGCAGTGTAGGATTGCAATCGATTGTGCTCACTTTAAATCCGCATAAGGTTGTGCTCACTTTAGATCTGCGTAAAAGGTCACTGAAATGTTGACCTTGTCTCATTGTAGAGTATTGCGCAATCGCTATAGATTCCTCCGACTTGGAACGTTCTGAACTGTTGACAGTCCCTTGACTGTTTATTTCTATGACTGAGTCTCATGTACCTCTGACATCACAATTCTTAGCCCGGGCAGTCCGATTGGATCTCAATATGAGTCTGGTGTAAACGCGACAACCGGGGTATTGCCTCTTGCTTCCTAAGTGTTTGGTAGCTGGCGATTCGCACCTATCCTTTGAGTGATCAAGTAGGAGTTATATTTGTGTATTCTAGGCTTGGAGGAAAAAAAAAGTGATGCATTCGATCTTCCAATGCCACGGCGCACCTTCTCCAAATCCTGTTTTGTTCATTTTTCTTTTCCAATGAAGCCTTGGTATTTTTGTTTTTGTTTTTGAATTAGAATGTAGCCAACTAAGCAGAAATGATTGCTCAAGAAAGACGCCATTCAAGCTCTTTTTCTTCACTTCCTTCAGCCGATGTGTCAGCTGATCGCCAGTCCGCAATGAGGCTAACACGCTCAGCGCACACGAGCACTCAGCTATGGCTCATTAAAGAATTTACACAGCTGACGGCGACGATAATCAGGCTACGCTTCTTGTCATAGCTGAGTACTTAGAGTGTGCATGGTTAGGAGACTCTTGAGAGTTCCGTCTTGTACTTCCTGCAGCAGGGCTCTTTGTTGAGCTTCCTAAAGCCTGAGGGGATCATAAGTCTTTTAGTGCGCATAACTCATGGGGGTCATGAACTGACTGTAGAATGGCATCAATGAACTTTGACACCACCAAGATCACAGGTCAGTCTATGGACAGACTGATTTGTTCTTTTCGGTGTTGCTTGCGGAATGGTTTGTTGATTCTAGCTGAGCGTGATGTGACTCCTCTCTGAGACATGAGTGGAATCGATTTTCGGAAGTTGTCAGCGTCATCCAACTGATGAATTCGCATGTCATATACACATTCATACTGGACATTGAGGTTGTTTCTGCCGTTGACCACCTGCAAGAATTTCCAAGCTCAAGACATGGAGAGGGGACAAGCTTGTGACGGCCTTGCCAAGACGAAGGAAAGTCAAGAACCGGGGATATGTGCCCCATTAACGGCCCATTAGCATTGCGCGTCAGTTCCATCTAATACGCGTCTTGGGAACGGTCGAGTATGTAGCTTGGGCTCGGCCTGCCCGGGCCCCGTGGTCCCCGCCCCACCCGGCCGATCACGCCGGCGCGACGATGATGAGGTCGATCGGAAGCCTAGGCCAAATGTCCTGTCGGCTGGCCCCGGGGGAGCGACCCTCACAGTCATCCTGGAAACAAAACACAAAGCAATACTTGACTTCGACTTGCAGAGCTGAGCAGTGCAGAGCACACTTGGAAGTTGTTCCGGTGTTTTAAGAAATGCCATATGTACACTGTCAATATATGTGCCGGTGTCCTCCCTGTGATTGTATTTATGTAAAGTAGATGTATTTATGTGTGTGTATGATGTAAGTATTTAATGTATGTATGCATGTATCTTGGCAAGTGGATGTCATGCCAACCGTTTTACGGTTTTATGGAGAGTCTTATCCAAGATGGATCGAGCTGTCACACCCACCGCAATAAGACTCTCTGTGACATCCTTCTTACATACACACTTAATGTATGTAAACTTACAATATCCATGTTTAAATAAATCAATAAATCAATAAATGTGGTGGTCATCTTCTCTTTCCAGATTTGACTATCTCCATCAAAGAAAACTTGAAAACCAACCACCCCAGCATCTTGCAAGGTAAAGTATCAATCCTCTGCTTCTGTCTGCCCCAACTGGCGTCTGCTTGAGCTGACTGTCCTTGAACTATCTGTGTGCGTTTTCATAGTTCATCCGTCCGATGTCTGGATTCCAGGTCACCAGTCGGCCCCAGAAGCCAAACACCACACCAAACGCAATCTACTCCGTCAGTCGCTGGCACTTTCCTCTAATCCATCCATCAGAAACACTTTACTCACCCAGTCTCCTCTGTTATCCAGACCTCTCCTTCGTCTGCCCATCACCCCGCCGTAAGCCCAATCCTGCGTAACTCTCGTACCTCTCCCGATCTGCGTTCTGCCGAACTCGAACATCGTCCGCCGATGATCCCCAGCGGCTCCCAGGTACTCGTCACCCTCGATATCGATGCCGCCTACTTCGTCGATCTGTCCGGCTCAACCTCTCCTGCAGCCATCAAGGAGAGAATCTATGCCAAACTAGGAATATATGATGACGATCATGCCAACTTCAGAATCTCCCGCTGTCGAGCCGGCCAGCCCGTCGGCCAACCACTAGACGACTGGCAACTCTGGGATATGTGCATGCGAGCCGCCAAGGAGTCTGACCCACCCATGCTCATCGTCCTCTCAACCATCTCCAACAACAATCAACCACTCAGCTCTCCCCATCATCTACATCATCCCCCACCACCCCTGACCCCTTCGGCTCATCATCAGCAGCCAGCCTACCATCGTCATCATAGCAGTCATAGCTCTCATAACCTCAATCAGTCCCCAAGCTCACCCGACTCTTACTCTCATCTCAAGCATGACTATCGTTCATCCTCAGCCGGCAGTCGCGATTCTCCCGATCCATCTCAGCACCATCTCCCATCTCGCTGTCGCTGGCAGCGCATCAGTCGCGAACAACTCCAACACGCTCGAGATGGCTCTTCATCCTCATCCCACCCTCCCCTACCCCCTCTGGTCCACACCTCCTCATCTGTCGATATCCGAAATCAATCATCCGCTTCTGTTTACATCCCAAACCATCCCTCACCCGTCAACAGCTCCTTTCCTGACGATCACCGCCCTTCCCCTAACTCAAACACCCCTTTCGAACTTCCCGTCTATCCCAACTCGCATCGTCCCCCTCGCCCTCAGATCGAAACCCCTGATGACTGGATCCGTATACAGCACCCATCTCGTCTCTCTCCTGAACCTCATCCCCCACCAAATCCCGCCCTAGTCGACGCCCCTCCGATCCTGCACCAAAGCTCGTCCCATCACTATCCTCTTCTCAGCCCCCGCTTCCTAGCCACACAGACCCTCGGCTGGCTGACTACCACCGTCAACTTCGATCCGCTAGCTCGTCCAACTCCAAGAACGCGCCTGCTACCGCCACCACCCGAAGATTCCCTGCCACCAGTCAACCATCCAACCGGAGAGATCTACAGACAGCCAAGAGTATGGAAGAACTACACGCCCAGCATTCCAGTGAATCACGCAAGCGAACCACCCCAGGCCTCACTCATCCCCCTCTACCAAACGATTCTGCCTTCAAGATAGCCGCCTCTCCGGCTTCGAGGGCTCCTCCTCCACTTCGAATTCCTCGTAACGATCCCTCACTCCAACGCCCAAACCAACCTGCTCGTCCTAGCTACCCCCCTCAGACATCTCCCAGCTTCCCATTCCCTCAGCCTACGATCAATCCTCACATGCGATCCTCACGTCCGGCTGGGCCACCCGGATACGGCTCTAATGCTCCGACATCTTCCAATGGTCTACCCCGGATCGACCCTCGGAACGTTCTCCCCAACATCGGAAGACCTCCTCCAGTGACTAGCTCTAGCCTTTCAGCACGTAATCCCCGCGTTTCTCTACAAATCTACGAAAATAGGTATCTCGATCAAGCTAGGCCACCCCCACGGCCTCGCACTGGTGATGGTTCATCACCCATGCGACCTAGCCAATTTTCAGGTCAGGTCCTGTTCACTGTTTGTCTCGAAGGCTTGGGCTTTCCCTTCTTCCTTGCCTTGTTCCCCCTCTCCTTCATCATGCTTATATAGTAGTCAATGCCCACCTTTCGCGTATGAGCATGCTCACAAGAACATCGTCACTAAAGTAATTTTCGATCCTGCCTCTTCCACACACACACACACACGCACACACGCACGCAGATCGACAACTGCAAGGCTCACTTGCGCCTCAAGCATATTTCCAACAAGCACCTGGTTATGCTTCCATTCCTCTCAGACCTGGTGAGCTCTTGCAGGATGTTACAGGGGCCGGTCGACGACGGGAACGGGATCAATCGCGCGAATATCGCAGTGAGCTCGAGCGAGAGCCTGCCAAGCGGAGACCCAACATGGCATCTCGTACGAATCATCACGTATCTGCTTATAAATTTGAGTACTGAAAATCGATATTTTTTATGTCGTAGCTACGATCGGTCAACCCTCCTCATCAAGATTCGCACGAATCGAAGATCAACCCGAAGGTTTCTTGAGGTCACCTCTGACCGGTCCTCTCGAACGTTCCAGTCGACGCCCCGCCACAGAAAATAGCCGATCACGACCTTTCGACAACGGTTCAACCAAACCTTTTGAACCCCTCTCATCAACAACATCGCCCGCTTCAGGCCATACCATTCAGGATCCATATGGAGGTGTTGAATCAGAGCTGATCAGACAGAGAGGTACTCCCTTGTTCGATCTCTGACTAAGTGACCATCCCAATACTAAAGTCCAGCTATGCTTCATTCAGCCAACCTCGACTTTGACCAAGAACATTCCTCCGAACAATTGGAACGTTCTCGGAATTCGAACAATCCATCATCGCTGAGTATGTCACAGGCTAATGCCCGTCTCACCGGAATAGGAAGACCAGAGCGTCGATTGGCAAACGGTTCAGCTCGGAACTCCGATGAGATGAAATTACGCGATAAGAGCCTGGGAGAAACCAGCCCGGAAGATCTCACGGTTCCTCTAAATCAACTGACGCTTGACAGTATCCCAATCCCATCTTCAACAGCATCTGATGAGGCCCCGATCACTGAACCTCTAAAAAGGCTCACCAGGGGTCGGTCCTCGACGAGTGCTTCAGCATCCACAGGAACTTTCACAAGTTTCACCAGCTCATCCTTCACAAACCCTTCGACGACGGCTTCGGTCACTACCCCGCCTAGCATGACCAAGATGTTTCAAGACCTTGATGATGATGACGATGATGATGTGGTGGGGACGTTTGTGACACCGATGCAACCGTATGCCGAAACTGAAGAGAAGCCAGGAAGTCTAATAAAGCCTAAGCTGAGCTTGAAGACGGATACCATCAACCCCACTGGGACAATGAAGTCCGATTTCAAGGTGCCCCGGATAGAGAAAGAATCAGCGAGCGAGAAGCCGATAGAAAACTCGGTAGGATCATCGAGTTCGACCTTAAAAGGACAAACCCTGACGAACAATGGGAACTTGAATGTATCGTCTTCGGCTGACCAACGAGACAGCCGACGGATCTCGTTCACAGGGGATGATTGGGCGGTCCGGCCCCCGATCGACGCGGTGTACGAGAACCTAGAGGACTTTTTTCCGCACCACGATCTGGACAAACCGATCGATATTGGAGTGGACCCGCCGGACCTAAATTCGCCCTCGAGTCCCGCGACGGGCGGACTTAGTCCGGCGGCGGTCGTTCCAACAATGACGCCGACGGCTCACAGCGCCTCTTCGATCGCCCGGCTCAAAGGCCGCACTCGCTCCATTCGCGTCGTGGCCCAGGAGAAGAAAAAACTCCTCAGACGCACCGAGGACAAGGCCCGGGCGGCCTCCCAGAAACTTGGCACCGCTGATAGACTTGCTCTCCGTGAATCAGGCGTCGAGATCGACGGCAGAGGCGCTGCGCTCCTCAGACGTAAATCTACTAAGCTCTGGGGCGCTAAGATCCAGGAAGTCGTCCCTGGTGATCAGGTCTCTATTCCTCCTATCAACGAAGCCACCATGGGTGATGATGCCAATAATTGTTGGTTCTTTCTTTCTTTCTTTATCACGCACTTTCGCTTCTCGTCCTAATTGATTCTCCTTTCATTTTAGTCTCTTTTAAATGGGTTAAGGGTGAATTGATTGGTAAAGGTAGTTTTGGACAAGTTTATCTGTTAGTGGTTTCTTCCTCTCACGTATCATCTAAGTATCATAAATACTGATCTGTAGAGAGTTACTTGACACGAAAAAAAAAAAAAATATAGAGCATTGAATGCTACGAATGGGGAGATGTTAGCGGTCAAGCAGGTTGAGCTGCCCAAGACAAGAAGCGACCGGGAATGCGAACGGCAGAAGAGTGTTGTCAATGCGCTGAAGTCTGAGATCCATCTGATGCGAGACCTCGAGCATCCTAACATTGTCCAATACCTAGGTATGTATATCCACTTTTCCTTCCCGATCACCTGTTGTTAAAAGGATGGGTTTCTTTTTTTGGGTGTCACTCAATCTAGGTTTTGAAGAGACAACGGTGTATCTTAGCATCTTCCTCGAGTATGTCTCCGGTGGCTCAATCGGTAGGTGTCTTCGACGACATGGTGCCTTCGAATTAAACGTCATCAAGTATTTCACATCGCAGATTTTGGAAGGGTTGAAGTATTTACATGGCCTTCATATTCTGCATAGAGTCAGTATGGATTTTGGGACAACGAAGACCAAATAAGAAACATAGCTGATTGAAATGTGTCAAAAAAAAAAAAACAGGATCTAAAAGCGGATAATTTGTTGGTAGATTTCAGTGGGAATTGCAAGATCTCTGATTTCGGAATCTCGAAGAAATCCGAGCATGTGTACGAGGACAACACGCAGATGTCACTACAAGGGTCGATCTTCTGGATGGCCCCTGAGGTGGTCCACAATCCGACCAAGAAGGGATACTCGGCTAAGGTTGATATCTGGTCTCTGGGCTGTGTGGTTTTGGAGATGTTTGCTGGACGCAGACCTTGGTCTGATGAGGAGGCTATTCAGGCTATGTTTAAAGTATTCACCTTTCTGCAGCTCGGTTAATCTCTTCTCTCTCTGATCATTCTGCGATTTGTTCTCTTCCGCTCAGTTGGGCGCTGAACGATTAAGGCCACCCGTACCACCGGACGTGAAGCTGGGTCGAATGTCGGACCACTTCTTGGCCCAATGCTTCATCGTGTATGTCCTCTTTCTTCCAAGCTCCCGTCCCGCCCTTTCTTTCTTTGAGTTTTGGGAGAGAGAGGGGAAGATGTTGAGGCTGTGTTTGTTTTAGGGATCCCGAGGCTAGACCAACTGCTGATAGATTAACTGACCATCGCTTCTTGGAGATCGATAATAAGGCCTGGAGGTTCGAGGACTCGGAGCTTTATAGGTCTTGTCCTCCTCTCATCTCTTCACTATCACCATCCTTCTCGTATCTTCTTCTTCACTCACCAAAAAACCGTTGGGTCGATCAGTAACTGATTCACACCTGGTGCTTCGGCAATCCCTTTTTTTCTCTTCAGATCGATCCGGATGCCACATTGATCCACTCCTCTTCCCTCTTCAACACACACTTGATCCATATCCTCTCTCCTCACTGGTCACCTGCTGATTCAGCTCTTTTCTCTCCTTCTTTATCTCATCAAATCACAAAAAAATAACAATTTTAACCAAGCCAAGCCTTTCTTTGTATAATTATTTCAGTCCTTGTTTGTTAGTTTGTTTGTTCTTTTTTTTTGGCCGGTTTGGTTCCCTCGTTTTATTCACATACACACTAATTTCTCAGCTGGGTTTTGCTTCTTCTTGGTTTTTTTTAGATGATCATATAAAAATATATGTTATATGTGGTAGGTAGATGGATGAGAGTGTATATAGAGATTTTTAGATATATATATATATATATATATGCATATAATAATTTGTGCGTGTGTATAAGTGTGTGTATATGTATGATGAAAGTTGTCTCTCTGCTTCTTCTTTGCTTATTCCTTTCCTCTCTCTCTCTCTCTCCTCTTCTCCCTTCTCTCCCCCTTGCTTTTACGTTTGTTTGTTTGTTTGGTTTTGTGCATGAACATAGTATCTCTAGAATTTATGTTTTGATTCTGACCACTTCTTTTTATTTTCTGTTTTCTTTTTCTGGGATTTTTTTCTTCTTTTCTTAAATGCATAAATATATTTACATATACACTGTTGATTCATGTGTTTTTTTTTTTGTTCTTAACTCAACTGAACATAAAATCAAAATTAAAATGAACATATACATTTTGATTAATAAAGTACATAATTCAAGTTGTCCAGTTGAAAGCATCTACCAAATTGCATCAGCAATCAAGACCAGCTCCTTCCAAGGAGCATGATCCCATGATCAAATGTATTATCTAAAGAAAGGGTGGATTATTTTGCAGGATCAATGGACAGTAGCACTTCCTTCCACTTGTATGAGTGTCTCCACTGTGGCAGCTAAAGTGTGAGACACTGATAAAAAAATCATGTAACTGACAGTAGTTGGCATGCAGCTGACCCACAGTGCAACTTGGTAATCCACATATAACTGTGTTGTCTTGGGCAAAATTTGAGTATCAACACAGGTCTCAGCAATGATCTTGAGAGGGGATTCTCAGGTCAGCAAATCCTTCCTCCAAGCCACACCATATTTCTGTGATTTTTCACAAGTTTTAGGTAGGATTTTATTTCTCACATTCTTATGATCAGAATTATTGTTTCAACAAAACACTTTGGTACTACTGTGGTAAGCCTGTGGCTACTTGGAGATTCTTATGGAATCAACTTCTGGAATGAAAAAAAAAAAAAAAAAAAAAAAAAAAAAAAAAACATTGTGGTAGGGGTTTTGAGGAACCTACTGCACAACATATCTCATAGTATCCTCCAATGTTTTTTTTTTTCTTTTTCAAAAATAAATGGGTGAAGGAAATTGTTTAACTGAATTCACACTTTTGTTGACAGAAAGAGTGTTGAGTTATTGGCCAATGAAGGAGAGGGGAAAGAGGGGGGTCTTCAAACAAACTCAAAGACACACTTGAGTCCCCTCAAGTGTGTCTCATGTTGGATCAAAAACAGACCCAATGTTGAAGTTCACTTGTAGTATGCTAGCTTTAATAGACAACAGAAAAGCAGTTGAATTAAAATATGATTCAAAGAGAGACACATTGAACCAATTTTAACACTGCAATTTAAAATGGAGAATAGAAAGAAAAAGAAAAAACTACTGATCAAGGTTTGATAACCACTTGATTGTGTTGTTTGAACACTATCATGCTATGTACTACGGGGATGTCCTGAGACGGTCACTGAAAGTCCTCAGGAGGTCCTTGGGGTTTGGGAGTGGACTCTCCAATCCTTGGGAGTTGATTAACCAAGCCCCTAAGATATATAAGGTTAATAATTTTATGTAAGAGTTAAAATGAAGAAATTTCAAAAAAAAAGTATTATTCTTTGTTTGATTTGATTACTGTTAATTAACCTGAGGAGGTGGGGGAGGGGTGTAAAGAAACAGAAACAGGAAAAAGAAGAAAAAAGAAGAAAAATTTTGGATGTAGCCAAAAAGAACTGGCTGTGAAGATTTTTTGTAACAGAAAACTCCCCCATCAACCATTTTGACCCCTCTTTTGAAAGATAGAGATTGTTGTGTTTTTGATGTGGTTGATCAACTAAACTGCAAAATGTTTGATGGATGATCTGGATGATTTAGTGCTGAATTCTTAAAACGCTGGACTATGCTGTTCTTATTTCTCATTTAGGTCAATAAAATAGTGTACATTTGAACCTATGTGACAAAGAGATTTTCTTGCAAGAAATGAGGATTGTGATTGGAGTTCCAAAGGTACACAAATTGTGAAAGCAAATCAATGTTGGGTGTTTTGAAATTTAAGACAGTATCAATGTCTTTATGAACAGGGTTGGGATGCAAGATCATAGAGGAAAGCATTTCTAGTAATAAGAATTGGGTGTCTGAAAACCAATCGAGTGGGTTATCCTTTAGTTGTACAACCCTATCTAAGATTGGATAGTGCGCTTGGGGTTGGAAGAGCAAGAATAAAATTCATAAGCTTGTTGGTCTCCATAACAATCTTATCTTCTTGTTTTTCAGCTCTGGCTCCCTGGAGGTTTATGTGGCAAATGGTGTTTATAATCAATCACCAATTTGTTTTATCTTTTTTAAGTGTGATTTGGCTTATGGCATTGCATACTATGAATCTACTGTAATCTTATCTGTAAACTAGTATTTGCCCCCAATTTTGGGGAGGTTGCTTGATTTTGCCCCGAATGTTGGGGGGTTTTACTTGATGACCTTCTGCCCCTTTCAGTGTATTGCTTATGAAATGGGCACCTGTCTCAGTCCAACGTCGGCGTCGACAAATGTGAATTGGAGGTCGACGCCGGCGTTAGATTGCATGACACTTTGTTTGGCTCTCTGAGCCTATTCTTTTAGTTATATGTAGATACACTACAGGAGGAGAAGAGAAGCTGAGGAAATAGAGCAGCATGAAGAAAATCTGGGCGATTGAGATGACAAGAATAGAAGAAGGAAAGAAAAGGAGAGAAAAAACAGAATAAAAAGAAAAAGAAGAGAGTACAAGCAAATCAAGAGACAGCATTGAGAGCTACAAATCGGCCGGTCATTTGAAGGAATCTTGCAACAGAGGTGTCCACCCTTCTCAAGAGCAGAACCCTGTCGAGGCCAAGTTGCGTAAAGATCTTCGAAGATTGGATCGGATGGTTTTGAATCAAGGGTAGGAATTGAAAAGATGAATGGGAGTGTGCCTGCCTGGGCAGAAGGGACAAATGGGATCAAAGTGCCTGGTAATGCAAAAAAGAAAATAATTCAGTGTGCAATGGCCAGAGCCAAGTTGATTTATCACCGAAGTTGTGGTGATTGGCAATGAGGAAGGGGAGGCAGCAACGGTGGTGCGCAATTCAGCATTTGCCAGTTGAGTGCTCTTTTGGTTGTTCCCTTGAACATTAAAAGTATGGCCGGATGCAGGGTTATCCACAGCCTCTTTTTCAAGCAAGTCTTCCCATTTCATTTCCAGTGATGTCCTTGTGACCCGGGCACCAGACTATGACGACCTCTGCCCAAGGAGGTAATGCCGCCAAATTTTTGTCGATGACTTGGAAGAAGTGATCGACCCGGTTTCGAAGAAGCTGGGTTTTTAGTCCTTTGGATGACCCCTTTGCAATGTTATTGACAAGGAAGATAATTTTCCTGATCATACGGCCCTGACATAGTTTTCCAGCTAGGCTGGTCGCAGCAATAAGGCTCACAGCTTCAGCCTCATGATTGGAAACAGCCAGGTTGGTGCTGTTGGTGCCCATGGATAAATGCATGGAAAAGACTAGATTGAGCGCAAAAAGCAGCCCTTGCACCTCCCTTGTCTGGGAAGAAGGATCCATCACTGCAGATTAAGAGATTGTCTAACCAACGGTTCCTACGAGTACGGCTGAGTCATTCCCCACCAAAACTGGGATCTAAACAAGCTCTTTCGAGCACACGAGCTACCTTGTTAGAGGCTAGTGGTCAGTCCTCTCAGGTGATGCAACCACCGGGTATGTAGTGGGTTTGTTGGCAGGAGATTTAAACAGCATGGCAATCGTTTGAGAGGGGCTAGTATTCATCCTTCAATTACATATTTCCTCATATCCGTTACAATCTGTTATTTTTGTTACCCATTTCATCTGTGATAAGCATGGCCCAGGGCCAAATCGACCCAACTCTGGCCATGGCAGCAGCAACACTTCTCAACCGGAAAGCCCAGTTGGTGATGATGACCCCGGCTATGTAGTGAGCTGTCTCGTTGTCGATCCCTTCTCCATAAAATCCTGTGCCATCTAAGTACAATTCTTCAGATCACTTTCGCAACCTCAAGGAAAAACTCATCGAAAAACCTGCAACATTCATCTTATCACATCTCTCGAAGGCCAACATAGAAAAAGCCAAAACATTTCTTCCTATCACATGCATAATATCAGTTTTCCTGAATTACCTCCTTCCTCTCTTCGAATTGCTCTTGAAGATGTATTCGCCCTCGCTATTTTCGGCTATATAATATTCTACATTAGTGAGTTTCTTTCTTTCTCTCTTTTTTTTTTTTTTGAGACTGGTCACACTACATACAATACCATACACAAGAACTGATTTTGTAATGTTTTAAAAAGTTCGTAAAATTTGCACTCGCCAAAACAGTCACTCAACAAACTTTGGTCCAAAGCAAGAGTCCGATGGTGGAAAACCACATCGACAAAGTCAGACTATCTATCTGGTCCATTGTTGCAAAGACCAACATAGAAAAGGCCGCAACATTTCGTCTGTCCCATCTTACAAAGACCGATCCTGGTATTAGTAAGCATTCAATATACACATAAATATTCCCTTTTTTCCAATGTCCGTTCTTAGTCTCACTTCTTTCCTTCCTTTTTTTTGTTTCCACCAGAAGATATGGCAATGATTGTCCTCGTTGCTTTGGGTATCTATGCCGTGAATTGAGGACTGCCGCTCATCTGGAGGAGTAAAACAACACGCCTGTACCCTGGGCCTTGCTGGACAAGGTGGAAGAACTTGCATCAACTTCATATATACATTGAATTTGATTCTTTGTTTTCTTCTGCCTTCCCCTTATATTATAATTTCCAGTACAAATTACATACTCTTTTTCCTTAGATTTCTTCTTCTTTTTTTTTATTTGGTTCTCATTCATGTCTTTTCGATCCAAGATTATGTATCCATCAATTCGTCTACTCAGCCATCTGAACAACCTGCCTACATAAGCTGAGTCTGAAGACAACACAAGCAAAAAGAGTGACCGAAGAAACCTGTTGAGGGAAACAGCAGCCAAGTCAGCTTTGCAGCCAGCATTGTCACGGGCAAGCAGCTTTCACAGTCTCGAATAGACCTACTCTTGTCGTCTTTGCAGAGGCGTATGTATTTTTAGCCTATGTTACGGAAGAAAATATATACGAAGCCTGGGCTTGGCTCTTCCTGAGGCTGGGCCAAGATTGTCAAAACGATTATCTCTTTCGTTCATCCTTAACCAGATATTAGGTGTGTTGTCGAGAACATAAGTAGCTTTCTGGACGGAGAAAGCAACCGCGCGGCTATTGTGAAGGTCAGACCGACTCACAGTCCTCGAGCACTTGTGACAGTCTACAAACTCCTGCTGCAAGTCTTTCTTCTCTTGGCGTGATCATTGTGAAAAAAAAGGGGAAACAAGCAGATGCAATGACTGCTGACAACGCGACTATAATTTGGTATAGTAACATAGCAAGAAAAAGGAGAAGAAGAGGCGATTCGATTCCCAGTTTGATAGACTCAAGACGTATGGCATGGAAAACCGTCGAGATTTTCCCGGGGACGGCACACAAGGCATGTAGAGATAGAAAGAAGGTGTGGAGGCACGTGAATTCTAATGGTGGATGATCGAATACGTGGGAGCATTGAGAGTTTTCCGGCCTTCCAGAAAGTCGATTTCGATCACAAACAGATACTCCAAGACGGTTGCATTGAGCTTGCTGACCAAGTCACCTGCAGCTTTAGCAGTCCCACCTAAAAAAAAAAAAGATGAAGGAGTATCAACGATCCCCAACGTCAGATCTTTATTGGCACCCATGTGATCATACGGTGATAAAAGCGCTAGCAAGAAGGCACATTTGAAGGGTCTCTTGTTTTTTTCCTTTTTTCTTTTGTGTCTGTTACTTACCTGTGGCAATCAAATCATCAATCACTATCACAGTTTGGTTGGGCTTGATAGCATCGCTCTGAATCTCAGCGGTATCCTAAAAAAAAGAAGTCAGTCATTCCGCCCGAAAGGGTGAACAATTTCAAGCAAGAGAAGAAGAAGAAGAAAAAAAAGGGGGGTGGAAATCGACCTACAGTGCCATATTCTTTAGTATATTCGACTTTCTCAACCGGGCCTGGAAGTTTCCCGGCCTTCCGAACAGGCACAAAAGCGCATCCCAATCTGAGAGCGATGATTGGACCTAGGAGGAAGCCGCGCGCATCCAAGCCGACGATCACGTCCAACTTCTTTCCTTGTTCTTTCAACTTGGGCAGGATGGTCGTCGTAATGTGGTGACAAAAATGGCCGATTAAGGTCTCAAATGTCTGCGGGTCTTTTTTTTTTTCAAAGACCATTTAATGCAGGTCAGTTATCTTCATAGATCAGTCGCTTTATTGATTCTCCTGAGGGGGAAACAAAAAAAGAGTTACTTACCTCGCAAGATGGGTAAGAAGTCCAGAAAGTCTATTCCCTGATAACAGACGAACCCGATGGGAGGTCGAGAACGATCAAAAAAGAAGTACAATGAACGAGGCAAGTTCGGATTAGTGTTTGTTGTAGGTCGGAGTGATCAGCTTCATCATCGCTCGACATTTGACGACCGAAGAAACCACTGTCCCGTCATTCTGTGAATGAAAGAGCAAGAACAGAGGGGGGGGGAAAGATAATTTAACCGACTTTTTTGGGGAAGTCCGGGCTTCAAGACGAGAAAGCAGGAGAGCAGGAAAAAGGTCAGACCCTAGAACATGCTGCAGCTGGTTAGGATAATGTGGATGACCATACTTACTGGCGCCCCAGCTTACTCTTCAACAGTTCCACGTCGGCCATCTTCTTCTGTATGTGTTCCGATTTCAAGGATGGTATTTATGTATCGACAAAGAAGGAAGGATTTGGGCGGAAGTGCGGGGCGGGGAGGTTCAAGAAGGCAAAGATCACTTGATGTGTCCGTTGCATATCCACATCAACATCCCCCAAACCAAGCCAAAACACCACTCACACCCTACTCAGCACCGAGCAGGCATTGCAGACTCCTCGATCAGCCACTGGGCCGGCGCGCACATACATTTGATACCCGGATGGATCCTCCCCATAAAGGGAAAACAAAACCCAGACTGGATAAAAGATTCATGGATTTTCAGTGTACAAACCTGAGATCAAAGTAAAAAAAAATTAGAGACAAGTAGGACATGAAGCAAGAGGAGGAGGAGTGTCATATTTATTTTAAGCGGTTTGCTTTCATATTTGTGGTTGAATTATCTAAGTCAATGTAAAAGAAAATAAAATTATGGCTCGCGATAAAAAAAAAAGAAAAATGTACGCATGAAAGAAGAGAAAGATAAAATAAAAAAAAAGATCACAACTAATGAAAATGATGATTGGGTTGCCGCTTTACATTTTATAAAAATATGTTGACGTGAAACGATGATTACTATATGGATTTTTGATTTCATTTTTTTTTTTTTTTGAAAAAAAATAAAAAAAGAGAAAAACAACGACAACAAAAAAGAAGAAGAATGAGTCAAGTTGAACTCAGTTTGGACTTCTTACTCGTCACCTCAGAGGGTAGATGAACAGAGTGATCAGGCAGATCAGAGAGAGGATCAAGAAGCTCAATGGGAGAGGATTTGCGTTTGCCGAGCAAACGAGGAGAGGCCTTACTAGGAGGAGGGATTACAAGCGGGAGGTTGGCTTCAAGTTTTACTTGTGGATCATCATTAGGAAGATGGGCTACGATTAACTCTGAGGAAGTACTAGTAGGAGGAATCGGATCAGAAGACTCAAGTTTGATCTTAGTGCTCTCACTCTCTCCGCCAAAGAATGCTTCATCAAGCTGAAGTAAACATGTCTCTCCATCACCAGTCGTAGAGTCGACTGCTTGATTATCATTATTACAACTACTACCAAGCTCAGTCAGCGGCTCAACTCCTCCAGCTCCATTAGCTTGCTCTCTGCTTCCATTCTCACTCCGACTCTTCCGCTCGGCGTCCAATTGAATCCTCTTCTTGAGCCGGTTCTCCTCCAGTTCTGACTTGATCTTCATCCGGGCCTTGTTCCGAATCGTCTCGTAATGACAAGTCGCGTGATAGACCACTCGCTTGCCGGCCTCCTTCGTCAACTCGACCGCATTCGTCCAGTAGAATTCCGCCTCATCCTCATCGAACCGAGTCTCGAATGACTCTTGGCAGATCGGACAGGGTTGACTAGCCAGGCCGGGCGAGCTGGGTCGAACGATTGACTTCTTCGAAAGCTCGGTCTCCGATTTTTCTTCGTCTATCGATTTCCTCTTCTTGCTCTGACTTCCCTCGGCCTTCGAGTTCTCCCCATGGCCGGCGATCCCAAAGTCGTGAGAGTCGATCCATTCGGATTGTAATTGGGACCACATCCTCTGTTGTGCACGTTGTCCCGACTCATGCACTCGCCTCTGAAGTCGAAAGTGTCGATCAAGTTGCTCTGATGCCCGCTGACTCCCAATCTTTCCATACAAGAAGCGACTGCCATCCTGGCGACAGAACTGAGGAATGTGTGAATAAAGGATGTCAGCAATGTCTGCTGCTTTGACGCGATTGATGGATGAGTTTTGAAGTTCTATCGGTAAACTGGCGATCATATTTTCGTATTCAACTATGGTCGGATCCGTGTGCGAGGCCGGGAGACTTTCGCTAGTGCTAAGCGTGGAGGGCGCGGGGCTAGGTTGCTGAGTAATCTCGATCGGTCGGTCTTGAGCACCTGGGTTGGGTAACAAACCATTGTGAGCTGCCGGATTCAGATAAGCAAGCGCGGCAGCTAGTTGCTGGCTGTCGAACATATTTGTATTTGATTGTTCTTGCGCAAGCTGAGGAGCGGAGGAGACAACAGCGGACTGTGAATGCTGTTCTGGATGGTTAAAACCCAGTTGCAGATTTGGATCAAAGTTGAAGGAGGTTTGATGCTGAGAAATAGGATGAGTTGATTGATTGACTGCCTGGAGAAGGATATTTGGATTGGTGTCTAGGAGTCTAGTAAGACTAGCAAGTGAATCAGAGTCTCCATAGGGTTGAATTGAATGATGAAGAGGAGGAAGGGTAGGTAAAGGAGCCATCTGAGGTACAATTGCCGGTAAATGTGACGGTAGAATACCACACTCAACTGGGGCGGGCGGGAGGAGGCTGGCTTTGAGAGGCTGGAGCTGTTTTCGGATGTCATCAACCTGACTGATTGTAAGTTGCTGGGTCGCGATTAATTGTTCGAGCTGAATCGGATCAATTTTGTTTTGCGAAAAAAAAAATAACAACAAGGGTGTTAGCATCAATATGTGACCGAATGGAATAGGATGAAAAGCGGAGTAGCTCAACTTGTTGGAGAGTGGCAATTTGAGCCAGGTTAGATTCATCGGCTGGATAAGCTGCGGCAACCTGGTCGCGTTCCGATAAGATCCTTCGCACATCAAATAAAATGCTAGCCTTTTCGGCAGGAGTGGCAACTGCTGGTTGTTGTTTTATCTTTTCCAGAAAATAAAACAAGTGAGTGAGTAAATTGGGGGGGGGGGGGGCTTTCTGTTATATATAAAAATTCCAAACTTGGGTCTCACCCCACTCAGGAAAGCTTGGCTGGCATTAGAATCGTCCCGTCGCCAGTTACCAAAGACGCTTTCTTCTATCCTTCTCTGGATGTCCGGATCGAAGAGCTCGGTTTGGTTGGCTGATCCAGTTCTCCAGGTTCCTAGAAGTTCCTCGAATTTGACCTGTGTATGGAAGAGGGCAGTGCAAAAGTAAGGCCGTGAGATTGGGTTCGAGTGTCTGAAAGGGAAACGGCAGGGGTATTTCGCGGGGCCTGACCTTGGTGATTGGATCGACGTCTTCAATATCCCGGTAAGCAATTAAAAACAATCGTTCAATGAATGGTTTGAATAACTGAGGAAACGGATGACCCAAGTTCTTGCAAATTGAATCCAAGACGTAAAATCCAATCAATCTGTGCGACGGATGGCTCTAAGGAGGAAAAAAAAAACACGAGGATAATCAACAAACGGAAATATTAAGATCTCGAGAAGTTGGGGGTTCACTTACGTTTCGAATGTGTTGTTCGATATCCTTGACGATGTAGGTAGACATCCGATGGTGGTAGACACTGGCCAGGGTGGTGAGATCGTTGATGATGTACTTATTGTTATACTGGAGTTGGTCGAGGCCGAATTTGAAGAACCTTCGAAACTCGTTGACATCATAGCCAATCGAGGGTGGTGGGGCAGGCAAGCCTTGCATGGTTTGAGTATCCTTCGGTGGGATGGGATGCGGAGAGGGGAGGGGAGTCTGAGTCGGTTGGAGAGACTAGAGGAGATGAGTTTGCCAGCTGGAAGGGGATGATGATGATTAGTAAAATGGTCAAGAGGAATCGAATGTTTTTCGGGTGGTCTCAGTGTTCTTGTTACACAGGAAGGAGTGCGTTGATGGTTGGTTGTGAATATTTGTTTAAATATTTGTATTTACTGAAGATTCGCAGAGTATGTGTATTATTTTGTGTAGAACATCGACAAGACAAAGGAAACTTGACAAGCTTGAAGGGAAGAAAGAAATAAAAATATTAAAGAGAGAAACAAATCGACCAAGGGTGATGAGAGATGAGAGATCGATGGAGGATAACCCAAGCCAACCAGCTGGGCCAAACTGAACCACCGGCCCGACGGTGGGTCGACGAGCACGCGCCGCGCGGAGTATGTACCACCCCATCCACCATGGGCCCCTCCCGCCCCCGCGGCTGCCTGCATTTTTCAGAAGCTGCCAGCCGGCAACAAAGCACAGTCTTCCTTTAACAAACCCAACATCCAACTGGACAGGCCCTTGATCACAAGCACTAGGGGCAAGACTCTCAATCAAAAGATGTGTTCCTGAAGTATCATGGGGTCTTCAAGAACGTCTTCTTAGAGCAGAGGACTACCGGCGGAAAACGCGCTCTTTTCAAGATGGAATGCAAAGGGGAGGGGGGTCTTCATTCCCCCATCTACCCTGCGACCGGCAAAAGGGAGGAATCCTTCACAGGAACCTGGTATGTACACTCCTCCTCGGCGAATGGTGTACCGCTGAATTGCACCCCGGAAACTGGGGCAACTTTGTACCCGAGTTCATCAGATTTCTCTACGGCCTGTCCCGATTTGTTATGGATATCTTCTGTTCGACAAGCTCTAGAATTTGCACTCTTCAGGGGTACTGTTAGTTCTAGGTATGCCAGGGAATGTCCCGATGCTCTTCCTTCGTTTCGGCTCCCCAAGCCAACCAAGGCAGGGTTGAAGTGAGATTCTTGCCTCCTGATTCTTCTCCTCTTCCATATTCCCCGCCACCTTAACCCGATCAGGTGGGATTAGGACGAGCGTTAAGTTAATCCGTGTCATTTCGGAAACTCGGAGAGTAAGGTCCCAGGAGTAAGCGCTGTCGCGTCGCCGGTCTGATAATCCGAAGGAGGCGCTGCACCTCCTTCCAGAACTTGGATACAAACAAAGCACCTCGATCAGAGACTATCTTATCAGGTAAGCCATGAAGACGAAAGATACGATCAAAGAAGGACGCAGCAAATTCCTCCGCCGTCCACGTTTCATTTGCTGGAATCAGATGCACTCCTTTCGAGAAATGATCTACTACCACCAGTATGGAGTCGTATCCCGACGATAATGGAAGCTTCACGACGAAATCTAAACCGATAGTACTCCAAGGACGCTGTGGAACATTCAGAGAGGTCATTAATCCGGGGGGGCGTTGGTTAGAATGTTTTGATCGCTGGCAGGAAAAACAAGATTTTGTATAATTGATAACATCACGCCTAATTCCTGGCCAGAACATTGTTCTGCTGATGAGATCCAGAGTCTTGAGCGATCCTAGATGGCCAGCCGTGGGTTCATCATGGAAATCCTTCAGAATACGGGCCCGGAGTGACTGAGGTACAAAAATCCTGTCCCGCAACCACCATAGATCCTCTCGAAACACCAGGTCGTCCTCCTCTTCTGGATCAGGAGGTTCCTTTTGATAGGCTTCGCGTAATAACTCCTTCAGGTCTGAGGAAGGAGGGCAAAATGACCAGTCGGTCATCCTTTTGTCAGCTTCCGTTTCAACTTCAGGGTCCTTATCACTTTCAACCACCGGAACAACTTCCCCAATATCGATTCTCGGGTCCAGATCTTGAGACAAGGAGCCTCCCACCCGCACTCCATCCTCCGCGTGAATGAGAAGAGTACGCTGGGAGTGCTCTTCTCCGTCTTCAGGGAGAAAGTCCGGACGGCGCGTGGGGGGATCGGCCAGGTTGCGTTTTCCTGAAACATGTTTTATCACGAGATTAAACGAAGACAAAAAAACAGCCCATCGTGTTTGCCTGTCTGACAAATTCTGGTTAGTAAAAAAATACTTCAGGTTTGCGTGATCGGACAATACAATGACCGGTTCCCTCGTATCCATCAACCAGGCCCTCCATTCGATAAACGCCTGGACGATGGCGCCGAGTTCCTGATCGTGACATTGCCAAGAAGCTTCATTCTCGCTCCACTTCTTCGATAAAAACGAAACCGGCCGGAGTTGCCCCGTCTTGTCCTTCTGCGATAGCACCGCTGATAAAGCATATTTAGAGCTATCAACATGAAGAACCCGTTCTTTTGTAAAATCAAAATGTTGAAGAAGCGGGGCCTCGGTAAAACACTTCTTCAGAGAAAGAAAGGCTGTCTTTGACTCAGCTGATTGCAACCCTGAAACTGTGTTTTCATTTTCCTTGGTCAACGAAGTCAACGGGGCCGCTATCTTGGAAAATCCTGCGATAAACTTTCTGTAGAAATTGAGATAACCTAAAAATTTATTTAGCTCTTTCAAATTTCGAGGATAGGGCCACTCTTTCACAGTACTTAGCTTGTCTTCCTCCATCTTCAGGCCTTCCGATGATATGACAAACCCTAGAAATGTAACTTTATCAGCGTAGAAGGAGCACTTTTCAGGGGATGCAAAAAGAGAGTGTTCCTTGAGTCTTTTCAAAACCTGGAGGACGTGAGCCTGGTGTTCTTCTCGTGTCTTCGAAAATATCAAAATGTCGTCAATATAAACAAAGCAGGACACTCCTAACATCTCACGTAACACAAACTGAATGAAACGCTGGAAACAAGCGGGAGCATTGGCCAACCCAAACGGCATAACCAAATACTCATACAGACCCCATGGTGTGCAAAACACGGTCTTCCACTCATGACCTTCAGCTACCCGCAACAAGTTGAAAGCTGCTTTAAGGTCAATTTTAGTAAAAAACTTACAACCTTGTAGCTGGTTCAACAAGTGCCCCACTATGGGAATCGGGTAGCTGTCGCGGACAGTCATGGCATTTAGACCGCGATAGTCCACACAGGGTCTGGGCTTCTTACCTGGCACTCTGACAAAGAATATGGGGGCTGCGGCACTAGAGGAAGAAACGCGGATAAAACCTTTTTTCAAATTTTCATCAATATAACTTTTCAATTGCTGCTGTTCATCAAACGACAAATTGTACAAACCCCCAAAAGGGGGGGTGGCTCCATCCTTAAGATTAATAGAAATATCCATTTCTCTATGGGGAGGGAGTGTGCAATTCATCTGCGGCATAAAAACATCAGCATACTGACGAAATTCTGGCGGAAGAGAAAAGGGGGGAGCGGAAACTGTCTGAAGAGAAAACACTTCATTACCTCCAGGTTTCCCTCCCAACGATGCAGATTCGATCACGTAGAGGGGGGTTGACCCTAAAGTAAATTGGTGTCCTCCTTTCAAACTACCTGATGCGACCCATCCCTGCCGATCCAACCATGGCAGACCAAAAATGGCATCAACTGATCCAAGACGTGTGATACCGAACGAGCTTTGAAGTGTGAAGGGTTTTGAATCGATCGATGAGATCTGAATCATACCGGCCCAATCCTGGGTGACCAATCCTCCGACCCCTTCTCGTCCGTCGAAACCCACACAGCGAATAGGTGTATTCCGGGGTCGAATCTTGAGGTTGTGTTGACGGACAAAACTTTCATTAACGAAATTAGCCATCGCACCGGTGTCCACAAGGATGGTCGCAGGAATCCAGGATCCACCCGGACCCCGGAAGGAAACCGGGACTAGCAGCCGGTTCCCATTGGATCCTTCCAATCTGACATGAACCGTCGCCAAAGGAACCTCCACCGTGGCACAACTTTCTTCATCATAATCTTCATAATGCTCGTCGAACCCCATGGCGGTAGAACTTTCGCCCTCCCCGATATGACTATGCGAAACGTCGAGTGGTGTTTGTAGACAATCTTGCATCGACAATGGTGTCGGAGATGGGGGGGGTTGATAAGTCAGAAAGGATTGTGACTGAGGAGATGAGGTATTGATGTTGGATATCGATGAAGTGGAAACAGAAGGGGTAGCAGCACTCTGATTCCGACGACACTGATCCACAAACGCCTGCCTCTTCTCAGTCGTGATGAACGGATTCGGACAATTCAAACTACCCGTGTGAACTCCAGGCACAATCGGGGCCAAGCAGCGGAAGCACAGGTTTCGAGCGCAACATATTGCTCGTGCTGCATCCAAAAGAGATTTTCCCGCGTTCAACGGGAGGACTCGTGCCGCGTCAATTTCCATGGCGTCCGGGTCTCGTGGAGGTCGAGGTGGTTGAGGTTGAGGGTGTCCGAGGCGTGTTGAAGAGAGAGGGAAATGCTGAGTTCCGGAAGGCGGATCCGGAGGTAACAAAGCGAGAATATCGAGTTGAGCCGCCGCATCTGACGCCAACTCCATCTTATCATCGAGGGTTCTTGCATCGATCCATTGCTTTGACATCGCCTTCCTAACGATCCTCGGGTTGAGGCCCTGAGTGTATTTCTCAATACGGGTAGCTTCAACGTCTTCAACTAAATAAACCAACGATTTGAACTGAGAATTGTACTCCCCAATCGTTAAATTCCGCTGTTTACATGCCTCCAAGGCCCGCTTTGCGTTTTCACGCATGAACTTGTCCCCAAACACCGCGATCAGTCCATCGAGAAAAGCCGAAACTGAGGCCAACATGGGGAGCTTGAAGGGCTGTCCGTCCAAGTCGCCATACACATCGATAACCCCTTGTTGACGGGCGTTGTCGATCACCAACGAATTGTACCAATTTTTGGCTGGCGAAGGCGTCTTCTTCCGCTCTGCTGGATGGAACCCGAAGTGTCGCAAGATCCAGACCACTTTCCGTTTCTCTGAGGTGAAGTTGGGGTTGTGACGAAGGAAATCCCGAATCAGACGAAGAAAGGTGAGCAAATGACCGGGTTCTCCCAAGAAGTAAACATCCTTCAGTTTTGACGGCTCCGGTTGGGTTTGCTGATCCGGTTCGGGCGTGTCCGAAGGGGGCGCCTGGCGTTGAAACAGATTGTTGGACAAAGGAGCAGCGAATTGAGCCGAGGGCAATGGGTTCTGCAACTGGAAATGGGGAGGCACCGCGCAATGAGTATGATTCTCCTGTGGGTGGGGTGGCACATTAACAGGAGGAGGGGGTTGTAGAAAAGGGGAATTCTCCAAAAGCAACATCATTCGGTCCATCGATCGTTGCATCCGAGCTACCTCCGCCGTGACTTGATCCAACTCCTCCCCGCGAACTACTCGCGTTGACAAATTTTCCGATTGTTGTTGTCCTCCCGAAGCGTGATGTTGCTCGATATCATCCTGAGTCTGGTCGCCTGTGTCCAACAGACCGTATGGTGGCATAGCGGGGCGGGAGCGACTTCTCGGGTGGACGCGTCGAACAGGAAGAGAATGATGAAGTGAAACCGGGAGAGAATGAGGGAGTGAATGAGATGGGCGAATAGGAGATTGTTGAGAATGAGAGATTCGCGTCGTCGATGAAAAAGAAAGGTCGTTAGGAAGTTGAGTGGAGGGGGTACGATCAGAGCTGGAGTGTATGGAAAAAAATTCGTCTGAAGAGAATTCCGACAGTTTGATAGAGTGGATTCAAGGTCTATCGATAAACAATGTTTATGTAGTTTGGTTGTGGGATTTATAATGTAAAGAATTTTCAGGGATCTGAAAGTCTTGGCAGGTTGCAGGAACAGGGTGCAGGGAGGATTTTCGAAATCCTAAAGTATAAGTGATGAAACGTATAATATATTATAATATGAGAGTGAAAACAAGATAAATCCCATGGGGGAACAAGAGCGGGTTCGAGAGAGAGAGGTTATTTAAGACAAATTTTACTCGACACGCGCCGGGATCTCAATACTCCTCAACGCGCCTAACAACATAATATGTGTAAGTAGAAATAGAATATACATATTATGTATTTATGTATAGAAAATAGCTTGACATGACTAGAAATAGAAATAAAGAAACATGATCTGTGGGCGTTGTTGTCTAGAGATTGATTTTATAGAAAATAAAGAAAATGAAACTTTTGAGTTTTCGTCCTGAGGTCGCCTATTGTTGACACATATGGTCTGAGCCCGACGGCTTTCCCGCTGTCGTGTGGCAGAGAGGGGGCATTCAGCGCCGATGCTGTTATGTAAGTCCTGCGCTCCGGCAGGTATCTAACAAATGGCTAGGACAACATCCTATCCGATCAGCCATCTCGCCCGGCTTAGCCTCTCGAGTCTATTAGTCGGGAACCAGTTCTTCACCAAGACCCTTCAGAACCTTGCTCCACAACCAACAATTCTTTCTCCCTCGAATAATCCCCGAAACCAAAGCTTGTTCATGCAAACAGAACGAGTGTCTCTAGCAGTTCGGCATGAGGCGAGACAAACTAAGTGGCTGTACCATGGAAAACTGATTGGCCAGATCAGGGGGAAAAAACACGTCTTGGACAAGTCCGCTTCTCACAAAGTGGATTGGTATACAAGAGGCAATTTTATAAGTCAATTGATCGTTTATTTTGACTAGATTTTGTACTGCTTATATCTGGTTCTGTGGTTGGATAGAAAAGAGACAACATGCGGCCAGGAGTAGGTTGCTGGGAAGATGAATTCAATGCAGATATAGAAGAAAAAAAAAAAGATAATTTAAGAAGGTTGAGTATCTTTAAGAGTGAAGAATAATACCAACAGGTAGACTATTTGGTTTGGAAGGTCAGAAATAAGTCCATGAGTTCAAAAACAACAAACGAGAAATAAATGGAAGCAAGCTGATGGTTTTATCAACCCTATCATATACTAAAAAAAGAAGTAGCAATCAATGGAGTCGTGAGTCGTCGGCCGCTAGGTTGACACAGCCTCAAAATTATCGTTAGAGATTTGTTTTCAAGTGATCAATTCTTCTTTCCTATTACAAAAAAAAAACACAAGCAGGCGTTAATGATTGCCAAGAATACTGATTGAAGTAGTCGGAATGGAATCTTACCACCCGAATTTAATTTGCATGGCGACTCGCACGGTGCAACAGGGAGGTACATTCCATAGGTTGATAAGGATTGCTCATCAGTTGTTTTCGTTGGAGCAGCATTGATCGAAATCCCGAGTAGGAGTTGACTGAGCAGTAGCAATGTTTCCAATTTGAAACCGGTCGAGCTGATGGTAAAACGCATGATCAATTCGAGGGCTGACTAGCTTTAGACAGCAATTATAGACCAAAAAAAAAGGTGAGAAGGCAGTCAGTGGTTTAAATATATGGTATCGGCGTTGGGTGAATGAAGGCAGTGCTTAAAAATGGAACCCACATTGGACTTGACTACGATTAATAATACCTTGGGGCTACTGTACTGAGGTCGAATTTCTCGAGATGACTCAAGTCGGGATTGGATTAAGAGGCTTGGTTTTAGTGGGTTGCTTGATAATTTCAGCCTGGTGTCGGAAGCAGTAAGCAATCTGGAATTCACCGGGGAAACTGGAGGGGAGGGAAAGGAAGCCAAGTGCTGAAGGTGATACTTAAATATTATTAACTTCAGTCCCCGGTGACGGTCGGACCAGTGAGCTCCATTTCTGGGGAGCTTTGCTTCGTCTATGCATATCATTGGAGGACTTCCCGTCGCAATCTACGACCCTCCCAGAAGTTGATTTACACCCCTTAGATCTATTTTTTTCATCAAAAAAAATATTTTTTCTGAAGCCTTCCGGAAACAGCTGTAATGTCAGCTGGTTAAAATCTTAATCGTGTTGTTAATTTAGGACTGAGTGAGGTCTAAAAAGCACTCTAAATCGCGACGGGAAGACCTCCATTATCGGTATTCTCAATCAGTCAGACTCTTTGGCCGGGGCAATTCAAACACTTGAATTGCACACATTCACCATCGTCTGATCGAAAGACTGGAGGCTTCTATACATACTTTAAAATTGCATGTATCTTTTGAATGAAATCTTGCAAGCCAATATTGAAAAACTGAGAAGCAGAATTTCAGCGGTTCGAGCCTGGTCAAGGGTTATCAATTCACTTCCGTCTTCTCACCTTGTGCTCAAGCTGCTACAGTACAGACAAACTCAACTGGGATACATAGAGCATGTGTACATGAGATGGCAGAGCACATGATGGAAATGTATGGACGCCAGTGCAAGTTGTGAATTCACACTTGGCTTCCACGCTTCCGCCACATGCTGGGGCCGAAATTCGTCTGCTACGGATGCTAGGAGCCGAGCCGAGATTCCGCTGTACATAACGGAAAGCCATGGCCGATTACGTGCTCTTCGGATTCGAGTTGGAGGTGGAAGTCTTATTTACATAATGCTTGGTTTCTCTCAAAGGTGTCTTTTCGGCCAGGGCACCCAGGGCCATTATCCCTCTTCGCGTGCCGGGAGTAAGAAGAGTTTTCAGCGCTGTGTCCACGGCTATCAAAGCCGCTTCGGCCAAGGAGCGTCCCGCGGGGTCGACGCGAGTCACGAGTGTCATCGGGACCCTCTGTTGAACTTCGAGGCCGAATTGATAAGCTGGAGGGTTGGGTACAGCTTTTGCCACCTCAAGAGTTCAGACTGCTCACTTTTCGCTGGGTAGTCGTCAGATGGCCAAGCGAGGTGACTCATCCACATCGTTCTTGCACGTTGGTTGAGTCTGTTTTAGACCAGAAATAATTCAATATGATCACGAGGCTGTTGTTATCGGTGGCACTTGCGCTCCAGAAGCATGTGGACGCCAATGTGTCCTCTCAAGATGTAACAGGATGTGGATGTGCTCGGCTCATCATCTTTTACTCTTCAAACCTGTGACAGGGAAGAGCTTGTTGACGTGCATTGTGAATCATGTCCAGTCATGATACCCAGATACTGATCATGTGATGAAATTGGTGAAGCTGGAAGTACAAAGTCTGCATCCAAGTCCTATCGACGACCTTGAGTCTCACTTGTAAACTTGAATGCAAAGCGCCAGTAATAGTATACAATCTAATCCTGAGACGCTGGGAGGAAGCAATGTCGAATCGATCAGACCCAGCCAGGCTTATACGCTTCTTCCAGCGACCGGCAAGTCCATCAAGTTTTCAGTGAGAATCATATACTATTTATTTAGGCCGGTGTGTTGATATGACCGGTTGGAGTTCAGGATCTCTAAATCCACCTCCTTCTAATAGCCTAACCGCATCCAATCAACCTACATCATGCTGGGACTAAGTCACTGCTTGTTGGCAATTTACTTGGCTGGAGGGCTCACTCCAGCGGTAGATTCCAGACCCAGTCCTTCACTATCTCATTCACACGGAACATTCCACCCACCAGTCTCAGATCAGGCCTTTGCCCCTGATCATACTTGGGCCAACTGTGACCCACTAAGGGGGCAAACGGCATCAACAAACCCCTTTGACTATGACGATGATCAGCCTAACAATGACCAGAGTGCGCTAGGAGGTATCAATTACAGCCTTCAAATTCTCACTTCCATCTTTGTAGCAACACTTCTTCTGATGTGTGATTGATATCTGGTCTGATTTTCTGCGTCAGGAATCCAGCCATATTCTCTTGCAAATGCCCAGCATGGTAAAGATCATTCCTTGCTGTATTGAATCATATCTTGTGAAGTGCATGCGGTTTTTCTAATCGTGTGGTCAATCCTTACGTTTTTTGTTTTTTGTTTTTGGTATTTGGGGTCAGCAGGGTTCGGGGCACCATCCCACACATTACATACACAAATTGCAAGCCAACGTCATGAACCAGACCTTTCATCGGGTTGGAACCCTTTCATGGACCCACACCTCGTCGGCCCCGCCACTCAAGACGGACACACTCCTGCGAACGGAAGGCTGTCTGTAGAAGCTCCTCGTCTTACATTTGAGCCCCCATCGCATGCTTCTCAGCAATTCAATCCTTTTAATGATCATCCTGGTGAGCTTCCATCAATACTTCAGCATAGTGATGAATATCCATAGCAGAATTCCAAAAAACATCCAATGATTCTCACATATGGCATTAAAGCCTTTGAAGCAAAAGAATTTGAGTCGAACAGTTTCCTCACTCTTTTCGGCAGTGTTACATACTTGATAGCATGGAAATAGCTTCTCTCTGATGATGTTTAGCACAGCTTATTCTCAATAAACAGTATCATATGAAAAGCTTGCGTTAAAACTGATTAATGATCGAAACTGACTGATAATTGCAACTTTAGCAGCAATAGATGATGGACTACTTCAGTTATTACCCAACGTGCACAACTCTAATCCATTTGTCGGAGATGATAGTGCACAACAAATCAGTTTATACAACCCAGTGGCTCCAGGCGCCTCGACAGGTACCCTCACCGGTAGTCATCCACTCCATTCGGGTCTCGGAGGAGCTTCTGATACAAGCGCACACCTTTCGGGAAGTTTGGCTGGCTTGAAAGAAGATGATTTGACCTCTATCATGCCTGTTGATGAGCAAGCATTGAAAGACTCTGTGTTTGGATCTAGTGCTTATGGCTCAGCCTCCAATGATCAAGATGAGGCTTTCCGTAACTTTTCCAATGCACGAAACCAAGAATTACACGGCTCCAGTAAGTCCAATCATCTGATGATATATAAGATTTGGCGTACAATCCTGATTTCTTTAACACTTCTTGTTGAAAGCTCAAGTTTCCAATTCAAATGGTTACCCGCCACTAATTGAGTTCGATAGTATTGCAAGTGAACAAGAGAAAAATAAAAAACCTTTGCCAGATCTTGCGCAGTATGCTGATGGGAAATTTATTATGAAGATGCTTTCGAAGTTTGATCAGGCTCTCAAAGAATCAGTCCCTGGAATCAAAACCAATGCTCAGAAGGATTATGCTCAAACATTCGAAATTCTACTTGGGGCTACATTAATTCTGAACGCCAAACTAAGAAGTTCCAAAGGAGAAATTAAAATAGAGGAACTCAAGGCACATTCGGAGCCCATAGCTGAATATGTCATTCAGAAATTCTGTTCCGTTCTGGGAAGTGGGTTTGAAGACAACGGAGATGTGATAAATAAGCTGTTGATTGAGCTTTTTACTACTGAAAAGGACCTCAGGGATTATTGGACACCGGTGTTAGAACTTACTCGTGCTTACGCGACGAAAACTTTAAAAAGTTTTCATGATCGAAATGAGTTTATGGATGCTTTGAAGAATGTCAACAAGTCTCGCTTCATTACTTAGACTGATTGGATAAAGAGCATAAAAAAAAGAATCAAGAAATCAAATCAAATAACCCAATTCAAGATGATCTGTTTGATGATCTATCAAGAATAAAAACAGATATTCTAATCTAAAAAACAAAATAAAAAATTGAAGTAGAAATACACAGATATTCATGGGCCTATTTTTAATCAGTCTATCATTTTATAGAGCTTTGATTTTGAGATAGTGGCAGATTTTTCTCTCTTCTTTTTTTTTTCTTTCAAAATCTGATTTTTTTTTACTGTGCTTTAAATATATTGCAATTTGGAAATATAATTTTGGCTTTCAAAATTCAATTTGATAGCTTGAAATTTCCAAGCTCTTTCAAAACAAATTTTGGGGGTATTAATGATTGCAGGATGTTCAAATGGAAATAGTTGAACCCCCCTTTACTTAGAAAGAAGGCTCTCTACCAAGAGATCCCATTTTCTAAGGTAATGTTCCACAACACACCCAAAAAAGAGTGTTTTGCAGCAGTTTACAAAACCTGAAAAAGGTTTTTTGACACAGTCACCCCTCCTTACGTTTGCATGTATTTGAATTCCCTTTCCAGAGGATTTCAACATGCTGCTGGGTGCGACATGCAGATACACTCTCAGAAAGTTTGTGTTTAAATTCTTCACATTAAATATCTGTCATATTAGTATTCAGGGCTCACTGCCATAGTGCCATTGCCAAATTGGGAATTGGTGAACATCCCACTAGCCCCCATTCTTAAAACCATCAGGGAGAACCAGAAAGCCGTTGAAACTAGATAGTAATCATTTCACTGGATCTGCCAGCATATTCACCCAGAACTGTGGATTATCAGATAACAACAGATTAGCAGGCAAACCTCTTGGGTTGCTTTTGTTGGCTAATCATTTTCCAAATATGCAACTGATTACACTGGGGGCATTTACCATAGCACCCAGGCAAATTTTCTATTCCGCTTGACAGGGTTTTATCCTTGGTGACAGATACAGAAAACATTTTAGAAGAGGTGGGTGGATGGCTCAGAAGTTAGATTAAATGTCACAAATACTTGGGAAACGATTTGGAGAGTGCTTTTATGGAATCAAATCCTTCCTGTAGGAAGGTGAAAATATTTCCCTTTCTCATCTCCCCTCCCACTCTTTCTGTCCCCTGTTTACTCAACCACAAGGATGTTGAATCCATTTATGAGGCAGTATCTCCACACAACAAGCACATAATAGGGGGTATAAAATATGAATAATTTGAAATCTTAAAACCTCATTATCTCCTAAACTAGAGATTGTTCCACGGGACTTTTTCCAGGTACCTGGTACCCCTCGCACCCACCCCGCAGTGGCCAGGAGGTGCCAGATGCGGTGCCAGGTGTCTGTTTTTGGGAAAAAATCAGGAGGTACCCCAGGTACTGCAGGTACCTCCCCACTTCCCTAATAAATATAAAAAAATTGAAAAAATTAACTATACACTTTCAACAGTATGTCATATCCAGTACTGGATATACAGTAAGAAAAATGGATATGCAATATTTTTTCCTTTTTTTGTTAAACTAGTGTGAAGAAGTAAAAAAAAAAACAGCACATCCAGTTTCATTTTACCACAGATCTAGTACAGGATATGAAGGAACGTTGAGATAGCTAGTGGAAATAGGTGAAAAAGAGAGGGGAGGTACCTGCTGTACCTGAAACAGGTACCTCCGGTACCCCCAGGAGGTGTCTGGTGTGGTACATGGTATCAATTTTCTTGAAAAAAATGAACAGGTACCTAGGTATAAACAGGTACCCAGGTCTCAAGAAACAATCTCTAGCCTAAACTAACCCACCATTTCTGATGGATGTATTTTTGAAAGGAGAACAAGTGAGCGTTCCAAATCAATCATAACACACTGTTCAAAAATATTTCTTATTTTAAGAGTAAATGAGGTTTTAATTTAATTTCTCACATTTGATACCCCCTAATATGAAGCTGGTATGGGCTTTATGAATCCATGTATTTTTTTTTCTGATATTCATCACATCTTTGGAATTTGTCAAACTGGTTCCAATAAATGACCCTTCAAAGTCCAAAGGAATTGCTTGAATTTGATAGCTTATTTTGCTGGTTGATAATTCCAGCTTTCTTAACAAAAAAAAAGTGAAACAACCCACAGAGGTTGGAAGAAAAAAATTCAAGATGAGACAACATTCAAATATGTTTGCATAAATAAAACTCAGAATTAAATTTTATTGGTGTTTAACACTTCAATTTTGGAGGCTTTCTTGGCAGTAACTCAACTTTACTTCCAGTGTAACAATCTGCTACAGAATGTACCATCTTTATAAACATTATGCATCCTTTCTGAGATGACAGTGCTAAAGCCAATACCAGTTTTTTTGGTTTTACTTAGTGCCTGTACCATGGCAACCAGGTTTTTCCAATTTCCAGACCAATTTCCAATTTCCAACTTGGGAATTGAATTTAGGGCAAATGATGTGCCCTACATCCCCCTTGATTCCCAACTTTTTGGTGCAAACCTAAAATGGAATTTTGGGTTGTGAAAAAAAAATCACTTCTCTGGATCCCAGATAGTGCACCATCTCAGATGAAAAGAACCAACACCCATCCCTGCCAATCACAAAAGTGGATTTTGTGAGACTGGCTAGTAGTAGTAATGATACTCCTGGAGCAATTTAGGCACCCCAAATGAGGGGAAAAAATATTTTAATAGAGGTGAGCTGATAAGCTGGCATGGTCTTTTACTCATGAAAGAACAAGATAGTTTATCTATGTGGATGAAACCATACACATGGACTTTCCAGAGGGTTTTCAATCTGGTTGGTCACACCATAGACAGGGGATTCAATGAATGAATATTCACCCCTTTCCAACCCCTGACAAAAGGAGGGTGTTAAAAGAATAGGAAGGGAGAATTGGTGTACACAAATGTGTTGAAATTATATCTTTTCCTTTGTTAATTTATAATAAAAACAAATTTTGAGACTAGTGAAGTATATTTCTGAATTCAGTGAACATAAATGTTTCTTTATTTGTAAATGTTTCAAAAACAACTTGAAAGATAGCCCCAAAAACCTCCACTTTTGATGTATTTCGTATTGAATAAATTGTTCAATGACTATCAATTTCAAGGATGATCTTGCCCTTGTTTCTTCACCTGATCACAAGAATATCCCATGTGATTCTCTCAACTGTTTTTTATCCAGACTTATCTTTCTCAGCAAGTACAGAAACGTGTTTGCATTACTAAGAGCTTGAGGGATTTCGAGTGTTTTGTACCAATGGTAGAGAAACCGGTGGGCATAGCGCTCCGTATATTCTGCCATCTGTCTTTGCTCGTTTGGACCAGGGAGTGAGTAATAAAAGAATTGGGCAATGATTTTTGAGCAAATGTGGAACGAGAAATTCGGGGAGCTGTTGTAGAGTGCATCCTGATTAGCCAAGATTGGAATGCTGAATTTGGGACTAAGTATGAACTCCCTGACGGTGGGTGCCAATTGATGAAGATGATTGATTCTTTTTTCTTGATCAAAGTTCAGTTCATTCATCAGTGCCTCGGCCACAAGCAAGACCCTCCACAGGAAAAATTTAAATGCTCTTGCCAGTTCGCTAGCAGGAACTAATTTCTCATCAACACCCTTCACCCAAACAAAGCTCACTTTTTCTTCACTTTGATTGTGTTGTTGAGCGTTGCTTTCTGCAAGTGATCCATCATGTCCTGTGGGCTGAGCCTGTAGTGAAAAAATCACAATGTTTTCCACTTGCGCATCGATGCTTGCGAAAAACAGGGATGTAAAACTGTTCTCCAAAAACATGATGTGGCTCGAAAAGATCTCATGTTCCGAAGTAACCAATGGTGAAATAGCGTCATATAAGGGACTAATGATTTGTTTTTGGATTTCCGATGTAGCTATGCTGTTGATTATTGCCTGATGAATGGCTTCCAAATTTTGATGGGGTTGTTGATCTGAGACTGGCACAAGAAAATTTACATTCTGATGTTGATCCAGTTGGTTATCAAGCAAATCCATGTTGTAGTTCAGTTGTGAGGGATCGAAAAAGTTTTCTGAGAGGCACCAAGTTCAGTTAATTGGGTGAACAAAAGTTTATTTCCTAGGGGTATTCAAGTATCAATAAGGGCTCACCAGGATGACCTGAAGAAACTGGATGAGCCGGACCATACACTTGATTTTGATGGACCTCCAAAACATTCTGTTGACCATTATGCGGGTCATCGGCTACGAGGCCTGTAGAGGAAGAACACCTTATAGGTCATATTTTACACTTCATTGTTTTTTATTGAGAAGTCGCAAAAACCGTTTCTGAAAAAAGTAGATTATCAAGAGCCAAGAAAAACTTTCCTCCATCAGAAACATGCAATTGTCGCCCAAGCGAAGGATGCTCGACCGCATGACCCAGGTTTTCCACCCCAGGAAGAGATCCGCTGTCCTTGAGTAAATCTACATAGTATGACAAAAGTTGCAAATCTGATGGTCCTTCAACGGATTGTGAGTGACTTGCTATCAAGGGTTGGGGCTCGGATGGAGAGGTGAACGTTGCCCCGGTTTCTATTGCAGCATCAAGTAATCAAACACAGTTAAAAATAAAAATTCGATCTAAAACCAATTGTGGACGGAGATCGGAAGCCTGTTGAAATACCTAGGAAGTGATGGGCCCCATCATCGCTAGGCTGGTAATGAACCTGCTGGCCACTTCCAATGACATCTGTCCTGGGACGCTTGGATAGCCGTTCTGCTTCTGACGAGGCCGAGCCTACAAGATCCCCCCACTCCGAGGGTGAAATATGGGTTGTTCCAGGAGGTAGATGGAAAGAAGGTCTAGCGCCAGCAGATCGGATGAACCCACTGGCCAATTGAAAAACCAGCCAACTGTACCCAATCGTTAGCATTTTAGAAATTTATAAAACGATGAGAGATAGAGACGTAGAAAACCCAGCCGAAATGGTGTTGAGTACCAGAGGGAAGCGGATTGTACTTTGTGAAGCCAGCTCCTAGACCTTGGTAAATATACCATGCCGTCACACTGCGCTCCACGGTGTATTGTGGTTGGACCATAGGCTTTGTGTTGACTGGTGTGGGTATACATACAAAACATGGCACAATCCTGCGACGATGACCTGCGGCCAGTTTTGACAAGTTGTACCCTCTGTCCGATCAACCTATTGCATGCCGATGACAAAACGAAGGGTTTAGGAGAGGGCCCTTCTCGGCCGCTGCAACGAAACTCGCCCTAACTCATCAGCTCACGCAGCTGATCACTGGCGTCTTCAAAATTGGTTTCATTTTTTTTTTTTTGCCTCATGTGTGGAGTCAAAATACCTGGACATAGGGGCCCAGTGCCGCCAACTTTGCCGGAGCTGGAGCAGTCAGTTGTTTAACTGAAAGCTGTTTTAAAGCAGGTATTTGATCGTATGTACACCCCCAGTGCAGATGGACGTCCAAGTGGCAGGGTCCAGGAGGCTAGCACCAGGACATCAGCCCCCACAGATCAGAGCATCCCAGGCGTGTGCTCCTCCACAAATAAAAGGCCAGCCCTGAGACGTCCTTGTGGGGCATCCATGTGACGTCCCCCCAAAGCATCCCACTGCCGGCTTGGAGGTATTTCAGGGCCATCTCCTCAAAGATTTTGCATCAACAGTATTTGGAAATGTGGCATCTGTGAGCCGTCACACAGACAGCATTGCAGCATTTTTTTGGCAAAAAAATGTCCTTCTTGAGGTAATTGTACAGCACATACACACACATCCACCAGCAAGCTCAAGGATACTCAATAACCCCACACCAATGTGCAGACAGTGAATCAAATAGTGAAATGGTATTTATTGTGAATAACAAACACACTGAAACATATGATTGGTTGTTTTACAACAAAAAAAAACCTACAAGAATCTTACTGAGAATTGCACCAGTGCAAACCAGCCTGAAAGAGAAACAACCACTATGTACAAGAGGAAAAAAATAGGTAAAAAACCCAGGTTCTTCAGACGTCCTTCGCAGGATCTTCTACAGCTTCAGTGTTCACAGCTGCATTGTTTGCAAGACCTCATTTGTGGGATCACATAAGTAAAATGGGGTAGCAGGTGAGGCACCACTCATCATGGAGAAAGGGGAGAAGTCACTTACCAAAACCAATAGGGCAGAAATTGTTGGAACTGGGATCTCTGATTTAATATCAATGTTTGTGAGGAGCTGAACCAAGTTAGTTGTTAGTTCACCAACTCACACATGACTTGAGAATTTGAGCTCACCAAGTCTTGCATTTTCCCTCGGCTGTTCCTTAGTTTATCTTGTACATAGTCGGAAACACTGCCTTGTGGATCCACTTCAACAAAGGTTCACAGGCCCGTCTGACTCCTTTACTGACCTCATTTGGTCTTTCAACTTGTTCTTCAATGCTTCATCATCCGCTGCGGGCCAAAACGGGATTGTGGGGTTGGCCGGTGGAGCAGGAGGTGACGATGCGGCCTGCTTCTGTCGATTGGCTACTTCGACGACACGATCCTCAGCCCCTTTTGCGTAAAGTACTGCCGCTACTCTAGCTTTCTCAGCTCGTTCCATGTTGTTGGTTAATGATGTGATTTGTCCTTGAGCTCCATGTTGTTCTGTCTTCAGCTCTCTAATTTTGTTCTTGAGTGCTCGGATCATACCCTCGGTCGTAGCACGTTCCACCATCAGAGTTTTGTATGTTTGCTCCTCAGTCTCCATCAATTGTGTGATGTTCTCCCGATTTAAATCGAGTCTCTTTAAAAGCAGTGTTCGCTCGTCTCTCAACATGTTGATCTACATTTCAAAAAGAAAAAAAAAAGAGGCGCGGTCAGTTGAAAATGAATCAAGTGAAGGGAGTGAAAATTTTTTGCTCAAACCTCGGCACGGGCACCAATCACTTCATTGCCGAGAATCTCTCGCTCGAACCTTGCAAAGTCTGCATGATCCAATTCACAACTAATTTCCATTTGCATCTCTACAAACGAGTCGCCATTATAGCCAAGATGAGACCAAAGGTCCCTCAATAAGAACAGAGCTGCTTCTGAAAGCTCTTAATTACCACGAGCAGGACCGGTAGAATTTGGGATCGAGGGTGAGGGAAGCGGCTTGGGTAGATTGGGAGTATTTGAAGTAGAGGAATGTAGGGGGTTTTGCCATGATTTCATCTGTTTAATGGCTTCAGCATCACTTCGGATAAGAGAAAACACTAATTATTAGATCAAACAGACTTCAAGCACAACAGCGTTGTAAAAGTGCTTACCAAGCTTGATTGACGGCTGCCTTCAATTCTGCTTGCCTTCGTTTCCTGGTGAAATGGGATAGAACCGATGGCCGCACGCCTTACAGTCCCGCCAGATCAGCTCATCCCGTCCGACAATCATCAGCTCAGTCTCGGGATTCTTGCAGCTCAAGCCGCGCACAAACTTGTCGATGAATACATCTAACAGCTCCCGGATTCGGTCGGCCTGGTGGGCACCATTTACAATGTGTCGGTCGTATTTCTTGTCAGATCAAACCCAACTGAGATTCTTGGTTGGTTTATTGAGTCGTCACACGTGTGCGGGGGCCTGGAGTGTCCGATGCTGGCGAGGGGGATTGGTCTCTGCCGCGATACTTGCTTTTGGAGTCTGATGATACTAAAACAGACATATTGCAAAGGAAAAAGACCTGAAGGGGGGGGAGGAAATCAGTCAGGGACAGTAAAACAAAGAATAGATATCAATTACGTTTGAAGGCCGGAAATTGAATATGTTCAAAGATGAAGGGAGATCAATGATGGATAAAACTGTAATCTCAATTGGGGGAAGGGAAGGGGGGGGGGGGATGAAATCAAGGACAGAAGAGACTTCTTCCACTGTCCTGGCTTGAAATTGTTAAGGTTGACAAACCGAAGAGACTTTGTCCCCTGTCCTTGCTTAAAACCCGTTATGTTTGACTGCGCGACACTGTTTCCCAATGGGGTTGGTTGTTGCTGATCCCTCATTCACCACCAGCCAGAGGCATGCTATTGCACGCTGGGTGTCTGTCCGTTTGGCCATGGCGGATCTCTGTTGAAACCATGGGTCAAATAAAATCACCCATGGTTTATTGAGTAATTTCAAAAATAATTGCTCCCTCTTATATTCTAACCCAATATATATCCTCTAATTTAATAGTAAGTGTGGACTGATGTAAAAGAAATGTTTGCAATGCCTTTTCAGTTCAATTTCCAGTCATACTTTGGTCAAAAATGGGAGCTATAAAAACCTGTAATCATGTTTGTTCATTGTTTCAATTAAATGAGTGTTTTAATTCAGAATCAACACTTAAACTTGGTTTCTTGCTCAGAGCTCACTCAAAATTTGCTTCAAAAAAATTCCAATGCTGACAATGTGCACATTTCACAGTAACTGTGCATAAATTGTTACTTTGTTTTTTGTTGTAGTTGTAAGACAAGTTACATTGGGAGTAACCCACATTTTGGCTACTTCCAGTTTGGTATATGTGTTTGAATTTAAATTTTTCAGGCCACATTTGGACAGCCTGTTAGATCTCATAAATCATTTAATTTATAATGCTGAAATTTTGGTACAGATGGGGGTTGATTTATAACCCAGGGGGGAATTTATGACGTATAACAGGATGACCAAACGGTCCTCAATTATTGAGAACTGAAATTTTGGAATACACACCTCAGAGCATCTCCACCGCGGGTGGTAAATCCGGAGTGGTAAACAAAGGTTTTACCTGATCATTTTTCAAAATTCAATCCTGTGTTACAAGCCTTTATTGTCTTCCACTGCCATTTGTGGCTAAGGTTGTACAAATGATTGATATTTTGCTCAATTGTTCTAATTTTTGGGCCCTTATGGGGATGACTGTTGTCCCCCTTTCAAGTGTTGAAGCTGGTTGGGCTTCTGGAAAGCATGGTAATGTCACAGGGAGACTCAGATGCCGTGGGCTCCAAGTGGGAATGGCTAGGTGATGGTTGGGTCGGTGTGGGACATGATACAGATGCCAGGGGGGGCGGTGATGGCCCAGGGATGGCTTGTGGGTTGCAGGCACGGCTCAGGGACAATGGCATCCCTGGTCTGCACTAAAATTTTTAAGTGGGACGTGACAGGGATGCCACATGTAGGCATTGATGTCCTGTGGACGCCATCCCGGCCCAGGGACGTCTCAGGTGCAATGGCATCCCTGGGCTGCACCGATTTTTGTGAAGTGCCCTGCGTGTGTATCCTGTGGTGAAGCCCTTATTGTATTCCGCTTCCATTTGTGGCTAAAGTTGTACAAACAGTTATACTTTGCTCGATTGTTCTAATTTTTGGGCCATTATGGGGATGACTGTTGTCCCCCTGTCAAGTGTTGAAGCTGGTTGGGCTTCTGGAACACAGGGTAATCTCATGGGGAGACTCAGATGCCGTGCCCCCCAGGTGGGAATGGCTAAGTGACGGTTGAGTCAGTGTGGGACGTGAGATAGACGCCGGGGGGGCGGTTTTGAACTGGGGACAGCTCAGGGGCAATGATGTCCCTGGGCTGCAATGATATTTTTAAGTTGGACATCACAGGGATGCCAGGCAGGGACCATGATGTCCTGGGGATGTTGTCCCGGCCCAGGCACGTCTCGGGTACAATGGCATCCCTGGGCCGCGCTAATTTTTGTGAATTGTGATGTCCTGGGGACGGCATCCCGTCCCAGGGACATCTCAGGGGCAATGGCATCCCTGGGATGCACTGATTTTTCTGAAGTGCCCTGGGTGTGTAGTATGAACGAGGGAAAATCCAGCAGATTGATTTTCGTAGCACTTCGTTCACAGTTTGTTGGCAAGGCCCATCTCTGTTGGATCGCCTTGATGATCACCAGCGGGTATCCAGGCCCAACTACCGGGTATTTGGTGCTCGGCTTGCGGACGAGCCATATCCGGGGCTGGGGGGGGGCGGATCGGAGCCCAACTCTCGTGTATGCCGACGAACAGCAGCTGGTCGAGCATCCGTCATGGAGACCAATCCCAAGCTGGCCTCCAGCTGAACTCCGGTTGGGGGACTTTCCAACACGAGCTTAACAAAGCCTCTCGATCGGAGGGTCCCGAAGGGACCCCGCGTCCCGAAGGGACGCTCTCCTGACGGGAGGCGGCCCTTCGGGCCCAGGGAGGGACTTGTGTTAAGTTCGTTTCCAACATAACTTGAAACCTCTCCTTCTCCCAGACATCCATTCCCTCCACCCCTCCAGATACACTTCTCCCTATCAAAGCATTCATAATATCCTCGTCTCGTCTCCATCAATATGCGGATCGGTAACCCATTACCCACCTCTCTGCCTCTCGAATGCTCGTGCGTATCTTCATCCATCCATCCGGCTGGTTATAAGCAATTCTTGGTGTACTGATAAGCTTGTCTATGTGATATCTTGTTTGCGATGATAATCTAAATCAAGTAAGGCTGCCCGGACTTTCAAGGTCAGTATTCTATGTGTATATACTCTCCGTGATCTAATCCCCCCTGAAGTCATTGAACTGATCTATTTATTTGGTTTTGGATAATTCTTGGGACCATGTGCCAGAGTTTCGTCAGTCCAACGAACGGAATCGATGGTCTCATACCCTCACACGTGCTCAGATCAGCGCACGGTTTCGCCATCTTCACCGTCGCCAAGGCCGGCTTCCTGATGTCCGTCCGAGCTGGTACCGGAGTGGTGGTTGCACGTCTGCCCGATGGCCGCTGGTCGCCTCCGTCGGCAATTGGGACAGGCGGGATGGGCTTTGGCGGTCAAGTAGGCGCCGAGGTCGCCGAATTCATCCTCGTCCTAAACTCCAGATCTGCTCTCACCCAATTCATGTCCGCCGGCTCACTCACCCTCGGCGGCAATGCTTCCGTCGCTCTGGGCCCCATCGGGAGAAACGCCGAAGGATCTGGTGCTCTCAACTCCAAGGGAAAGCTTGCTGCCATGTACTCTTATTCCAAAACCAAAGGTGCTTTTGCTGGGATTAGTGTTGAGGGCAGTGCCATCTTTGAAAGGCAGGATTGCAATGTTAAGGTCTGTTTCTCCCGTCTGTTCACTCTATTCCGTTCTCGAAAAGATAAAATCGTCCCTAATCGCTGCTTACCCTTCCTCCTCACTCTCTTAGGCTTATGGTCGCGGTGTGACAGCAACCAAGATACTTGCTGGTCACATTGACATACCCTTATGGGCGGAAGACCTCTCAAACATTCTCACGGCGCGGGCAGGAAGTTATACCGAATACATTGACCGTCATCCTCCATCAGAATCACCCAGGAATACAAGCTTTGAAGATGATCGTCTAGCAGGCGAAAGGCACGGCTATGAAAATACTTTGTTTGAACCGCGGAACAACGATTTTGAACGGGACGGCGCTCGTGAAGCCCGACCGCCTAGTGAACCATACTCCTTCGGGACCTCTTATACCTGTGGCTCCTCTGGCCGCGCCGGGCCGAAATCTCAGAACAGAAAGAGTATCTTCACCGTCAGTTCCTGGCGACTCCCTAGTCGTCAGAATTCCGCCAAGACCGACCAGAGTAGTCTCAGCCGACAAGGCTCAACAACTCCGCATTGGATCGACAACGTCAGATCGGAATCTCCACCGCCCCCAGGAAATTGGAACGCCCCGCCTCTGAATGACGGTGCCCATACATTCGGCTCCCACCAATCCACCTTGATCACCGAACAGTTGACCGAAATCTCTGCTAGAAATCACCACGATGAGGAAGATGATCTCCATTCACACAGAGGAGGCAAGAAGGATGAAGACGACGAAATTCAATCCTTATCTTCAATCGCCTCGGATGATGATGCGCCACTTGACTCGTTGAACGATTGGCATGATTCGCAGCCACACGAGAACACTACTGATTTACCACGCCGTCGTAGTGAAAGCGTGGCCAAAAAAGCTTTCCCTACCCGCGATTGGTACGGCGTGATTCAAGATGATGGCTTGGTAGACAAACCAAGGGATTTGACGCACCCGAATGGGATGATAGATGACTTGATGAGTTTCGACCATATTGGGCCACCGAGTCCAATCAATTACATGACCCGTTCGAAGAGTGATTTTCCACGGCGAACAGATGGGAAGAAATGCGGGAGGCTAGACGACTATTCGCAGGAGACACGGGACATCTTCGGGGGCGACATGATGAGCAAGACGAGCAGTGCGCGTCAGATGAAGTCATCCCAGACGGGGATCTGGGCAGACCTGCCCAAGAAGACCGCGATCTCAGCCTTCTCGTCGACCGACAAGCTGCATTGCTTCGAAGGCCCCGAGGGCCCCCAAGCCGTCCCGGAACTCCCCCGCGACCGCGAGCTCGAAAAGGACTTCTTGGTCGGCACCCGGATGCCCTCGGTCGCCTCCACAAACACCGATCTCGCCGGGTTCCTCGGGAAAGTCGTCGCGCAGTTCGATTTCCTCGGCGATCAAGCCGGCGACCTTAGCTTCAAAAAGGGTGACGCTATCCTTATCATCGAGAAAATTGACGACCAATGGTTAAGCTCTTTCCCCCTCTCTCCTACTTCTGTCTTACTTCCTTCATCATCATCTAATAAATTTTTTTTTTCTATCTGAATAGGTGGCTCGGGTCAATCGGTTTGAGGAGGGGGATCTTTCCCGTCAATCGGGTCTCGACTTTCAAGCGTTAAAGAACCCTGAGACATCCATAGAGCCTGACGAACCCAACCCAAGGAAACACACACATGTATCACTATAATCCGGATCATTCTTCAATCTCTCTCTATTCCTTTTTTTTCCCAAGCATTTCGGAGGACCTATTATGATGCTCCCGAACCGTCTCCTGTATACGGCCGTTACCCTTCCCGCTTAGATCTCCTTCTCTCTCTCTCCTCTGGTTTGTGTTGTATCCGGTCTTCGTCGATCGCTGTATGTTCACCGGGTCCTCTCTTCTCCTCGCTCGCCATAGACGTTATCCTCTTTCTCTCACTCTTCCACTCTCCATGTTCATTCACTCTGTGGATCTTTGTCAGATTGAATTTTTTTTTTTGGATGGGTTCATCTTCGGTTGGGTTTTTGGCTGGGTTTTTGGAGCTGAGCCTTCAGCCACTAGGTCTTCTTCTCTTCCTCTCCACCGGGCCTTTCCACCCCTCTTCTTTTGCCCGTCTTCTCATCATCAAACAACAACAACAGACCCACTCGAATCTGTGGATCCAAAAAAAAAAAAAAACCCAGCCAGCCAGGCCAATGATCAATGTGTTTTTTTTCTTCCTGTTTGTGTTTGTTTGATTTATCGAGCTTATGTACTTCCATTCCCCCAAAACCATTGTTTTTATTTTTCTTGTTGTTGTTGTTGTTTTGTGAGTCAGAAAAGAAAGTGTATGTAGATGTGTAGTCTTTATATATATAAGCCATCATTTGTATTGTAATCTTTTTCTTTTTCTCTTTCTCTTTCTCTCTTTCTCGGAAAAACAAAAGAAGCTGCACCACCTTGCAGGGAGAGGAGCCCCCACAAACCCTCGTCCTCCAAAAAACCCGAACGATGGGGCTTGTTGTGCCTCTATGTATCATGAAGACATCCGGGTGTAAGTTTGGCTATGTACATCATCTCATCGATCATCCAAAGTATTACTACAACTTGTCAATAAATCGGTGGTTTTTCTTATCCCTGCCAACTCGTTCAAAACCAATTATGTATTTACATAAACCAATTCAAAACACTCTCATTTCATTTTTTTTTCTTTCTTTCTCGCTACATATTATTTGAACCCTTTTATGCAACAACAATACCAACAATAACAATAACAATAACAATAACAATAAATAAAAGATAATAATAATAGTTTTTTTTTGTTGTTGTTGTTCGGATCACAGTACATAAGATAAATAAACATGATAAGATAACAAGATTTCATTCGACCAACAACACCACCAAAAAAAAAAAAAAATACAATCTATATAACAACCTTATAAAAGATTTCTTTTTTTTTTTCTTTTGAACACACTACACATTAAGTTCATTCATCTTTGACACACACGCTTTTAGTTTTAATTGTTCTGATTCTGACCCAAAAAAAAAAACCGCGTTCAAAACCGCCCCACCCACCGAAACAAAGAAACAAAAAGGGGGGGAGAGAGAGAGAGAGTTAAATGTTGAGGGCTTTATTGATAAGCACGATGAGATCGGAATGGCAGAGTTGAGCGGAACGGAAGAGATTAGCGAGGATCCGATTGAGGGCGGAATTGGAGAGATGGATGAGTTTCGGCAATTGGTCGAGCAGGAACCTTTGGATCTCTTTGAGCTGATAGTCCATCCCATCTTCGGTCGCCAAAGTAGCCGCAGTAGTAGTAGTAGTAGAAGTAGCCGCAGTAGTAGTAGAAGTAGCCGCAGTAGAAGAAGAAGAAGAAGAAGAAGGGATCGAGATGGGCGTTGTGGTGTGTGAGGAGGGTAGGAGAGGATGGGAACTGAACGAGGAGGCTGATGATAATGGGAAGATCGGCTGGTCGGTCCCGCTTCCACCTCCTCCTTCACTCGTCCGACGAGTCCGACTCGTCGAACCGGTTGGACTCGCCGGATGATGAGACGGCGAGCCGATCATCTGGCGCCGTTTCTCGTACTTCTCGATCAACATCAACGGCTTCGTGTACAGGCCCTTCAACTCCTCGATGCGTGGGATGATCTCTTTCTTAATCCGTTCACGCTTTTAATTTTTTTAAAAAAAAATCAATCAATCAAAGAGATTTACTCAATAGAAACGTGATGCTTGAGAAGACAAACCAGGAATTTGAGGGGACCATTCAAAGAGCCACGGAGGACGAGATGTTGGTAGGCCTGAAGATCTGAGAGAAGGATGCCCGGGGGAGGGGGGGCGGAGGGAGAAGAGCTGAGAGCGAAGGTGTGCTTGAAGGCGTCGACGAGCCGATCGGCGGCGACGATCCAATCGACGATCGAGTTCTGAGAGCCGATGAGGACGAGGGGGAGCTGGTCGAGGGCCTTGGCGGATCTCCTGACCTGATCGATCAGCTCGGCCAGCCCGGGCGGACTCGGCCAGCACTTTCCGCCCGTCGGTCGACTGTTGTTGCTGCTACCGCTGCCCAGACGCACCCCATACCGAGTTCCCAGTGGCCCCGAGCGACTGATCATCTCGCCTACTACCTCGTGCCGTCGTTTGGTCTGCTTCATTTTTTTCATAGTCAGCCCCTCTTCTTCCCTCCCATATATTTCCAGTCTTTCTAACTTACCTCGTTGATACTGTCCGCTACTCTCACCATCCCATCCCTCGCCTTGATCAATGAACTCAGATCTGGATCGTCAGACTCGGTATACTTGATGATCTGATCGAGTAGTAGCGAGTATTTCAGACACCTCTGGACGGGCTTGATCAGTAATCTAGATATCAGGGATAGAGTCAGTCTAAGGCTTTTCTTTTGTTGTGAATATATATGGACTGACGATCCAAGATCCCAAGCACTAGTCCGACCCTCACACAACTTCTTACAATCGTTTAAATACTTGATTCCTAGTTGTTCTTCTCTAGGTTTGTGAAGATGATGATGATGATGATGATGGTTATGGTTATGATGGCCGGAGTTGGAGGAGGAAGATTTGTCGAGTTTCTTCTGTTTTCGGTCGAGCTTCCGAGTGAATTCCTCTAACCTCTTACTAGCCGGTCCATACTTTGAACAGTAAACCGTGAAGAGTTTCTCGATCTTGGGCAACTGTTGATATCTCTGGTCAGCTTGAGTTGGTGCATTAGATTTTAGAGTGTGCTTGCTTACGAATTCGATAAAGCAGCTCCCGATCTGGTTTTGAGTGTTAGCCTGAGTGAGTGCTTCAGAGAGTGAGAGGGCGAGTTGAGTGAGCTGAGTGATGTTTGAGAAGATGATCTGGCGGTCGTTAGTCGAGAGAGTTGGGGGTGAAGGCGGGGGTCCAGAAGCTCGGTAGAGATAGATATCTCTGATGATGACCAGATCGGAGGCATAGATGGCTTCAGTTTCGACTAATTCTTCGATCGCCCTGGTCCTTTTGAAAGTGTTGTTGTTGTTGTTGTTGTTATTGTTGTTGTTTGTATTGATGATTGAGTTGGTGGATAGGATGGTCTGCCTGGTGGTGTTAGCAGGGGATGTGAAGGAGGATGAGGCTGAGGAAGGGAAGGCTGATGAGGATGGGGAGTATGAGGATGTGGATGTGGATGATGAGGCAGATGGTGAAGGTGGGTATTGCTGTTGTTGTTGTTGTTGGTTTGGTTGAGATGAGGTTGAGTGGAATGATGAGTTTGATGAGTTAGTGGAGGGTGATGATGGTGATGGTGATGGTTTGTTGGTGGTGGTGAGGTTGTTTGAGTGGTTCTGTATTCGGTCTACCCAGAGTATGGATTGGTCTTGAGTCTGATCGAGTAGTCTTTTCCTGGTAGTAGTAGTGGGGGTGTTCATTCTGTTGTTGTTGTTGTTGTTGAAGGTTCTTCTTGTGGGTGGCTTGTTGACCATTTTATTTCGAAGGGGGGGAGGATGCTAATGTCCCATTGCCGAGGTCAACTTCATCACAGCTTTTTGTTTGGTTGTAGCTTGGGTTGGGGGTTGAAAAAATGTCAGTTGGTTAGTCAGCAGATCCATTAAACTTCAAGGGGGGGTGATCACACTATGTATGTAACACTCAGCAACTCCACGGGGGAGTACGTCATCCAATCATTTTCAATCATTCAATACGGAGAATTGATTTCTCTTTCATGCGAATCAAATCTCCGACTACGAATCAGACAAAATTCAAACTAAAAAGGACTATAAAAACCAAATTAATCAATAGTTAACTTTCCTTATCAAGCTCAAAATCATCCCCCAAACATTAGTCCGCAATCTAAAACCCAAGCCATCAACAGGGGACCATCAACCCACAAAAAACACACATCAGCCTCATCACGGACGACTTAAAGTATCCATCCCACTCAATATGTACTTCTATAAAAGCATTTCAATCACAAAAAAAAAAAAAAAAAAAAAAAACTTAAGACCCTCCAATCATCATTCTTACATGCAACCGGAGAACAACCATCAAATTCATCCCGCACAAAACTAGATTTTCAATTCCATTGCCTTTCTCTTAAACTCCTCCTTCGAGAACTGCTTCGTCAGACTTCTACACACAGATCAATCCTCCTCCTTTTCTCTCCCTAGGTCTAACCATTAACCATCAGGGTGGATTCCAACCCAAAGGCCCATGGACTGTTCCAATCACCTTCATCAGTCCATCTCTCTTCATCGATTGATAATCTGGTCTGGAGTAGCCAATCCCGGGATCATGTCCCTCATCATCGCTCACCCCAGGACGATCTCACCACTACTCATCATTTCAGTATTTGATTGGACGACGCGTACCAAATTATTATAGGAAAATGCTCGGATGTACAACATATTTAAGTATATGGATTGGCGGAGTGTACATAGACGAAGGGGAATCACTTCGAAGCAAGAAGAAACACAATCTAGAAAAATATTACATACAAAATCCGTCCTTTTTTATCTTTCTACAGAGGACAGTGGGGGAGGGGTGGATGAGTGTCAACGCGCTTGATTAGCCCGATCACGAGTTATATGTGAGTCATGGCGAAGCGCGGGGCGAGTGCTACGTCTCAAAGCGGTTGAGCCGCGAAGGAGGGCAGAAGAGGCGGGTTCAAGCTGCATTTGATCGATGCCGATAATTGTAGGGAGCGGATTGAGGGGCGGGCGAGGGGCGAAGGAGTGCTGGAGCCTTGGATGGATCCAGGAGCCCCTGAGCAACTGGGGGACCGTTCTCTGCAGGCGGAACGGATGGCCATGTTGGCTGCGCGGCCGGGCCGGCACCGAGCCTGCCCGGGTGCTCCGCCGCGGCGCTTTCTTGCCCGCCGGACTCCCTGCTCCGCGTCGGTCCATCGGGCCACTCGCCGGGTCTACAATCTCCATCATCTCTGCTTCCGTCTTCGTCGTCGTCGATCTGTCGGCGCTGATCGCTTCAGCCTGCTCGGTATCATCTATCTCCATCGGCATCCTGCTGGCTCCATCGCTCATTCCCTCGTCACTTGTTCCACTCGGCTCAAAGGGATTGTTGAGTCGAGGCTCCGATAGACTCAGTCTCGTCGTCATCATTTCTGCAATAAGTCTCATCATCAGTCTTCGGCCCTTGGAAGAGCGGGATCACCCGGACTATAGTATACATATATCCTGACCTGAGAGCTCTTCCTGGGTGCTTCTTTCGACGGATCCGGACATCTTTCTGTTTAACGAGTTTTATGTGTTGTCGAGAAAAGAGGATTGAAGATTGTATCGCAAAGGGAAGGAGGTTAAAACTCAAGTTTTTTTCCGAGTTTGAAAAAAATATCTAGAGCGTTTTTAAGAACAAACAAACAAACAGAAGCACGGAAGGGGGGGATGATGGGGATGCTTTGCGAAGCGGTCTTTGAAGCCAACTGAGCCAGACGAAGGAGAAATGGGCGGGGGGAGGGGAAGTATCGGACGCGGGATGAGTTGGGAGGAGACGGATGGGGATCCGTCGCCGGTTGAGCTCTATATAACAGGAGAGCTTGCGTAGTCCCGTCGCGTGTTTTTTTTTTCCAAACCCACCACCTCGTAGTACATGGCAAGACTGCAGAGCAGCGGATGATGATGAGAGGGCCTTCCAATACCAAGACTAACGGAACGTTTGGCACGCGCTGTCTTGTAATACCTCCGAGCCTTTGCGCTCGTCCTTCTATGTACTCCCCGTCTTGATCAGACCACCATTCTATTCCTCTTCCTACTTTCTAAACTTCCTTGCGGTATGTAGTGCTTCATATGTAGTAGATCATCGACGGAAAACTATGTACTGGGACTTTATTGGCTCTCGAGCACTTGAGCTTCTATATTCTACACCCCTCTGCAAGCGCGTCGTTTGTCTCCTTTTTTCACCAAAGCAGAAAAAAGCGCGAGGAGCGACTGCATACAGAGAAGAGGATTTGAACATCCGCTGACACTCAATAAACATACATAGGATGATCGAGTTGGATGTTACTTTGTGAGCAGAATTGTAGGTATGTATGTGAAGAGGAATGTTAAAGATGGTTATATATGTGCCTTTAACGGGTTGAGACCACTGGATAGGATTGGTGCTGGTTGTTCTACACCGTGTCTTAATGTGACGAGAGGCTGCCATGCGTGTCCAATCGTCGGGATGGTGTGGGGAAAGCGCTCAACAACGGCTCGGATTCTTTTGTTTTGCTTCCAATCATGCATGCCTCTGCTATTATGTCTGTATGTCCACAAAGTTTGTCTGGAATGATTTGGCCAGCCTTAAATAGTGTGGGAATAATGAGAAATCTCAGTGACTGCTTGTGACATGCCACCTGTGACATCTGTTGTATTTTCACTTTACTACTATCCAACCGTTGTTCTCTTTCTCTTTTCTTCTTCATCTTGTTTCTGCTCCTTGTTCCTAGGTCTGCCCCTCCCTTGCCCCACCGAGCCCGAGCCACCTGTACTGACAGTAGCATCATCGACTGTCCTTAAAGGTCTTTATTCTTTCCTCTATGTTTCTCATCATTCTCATCCAATCTTCTTTCCTTTCCTTCTTTACTCATGAAATCTATCAATCTTGTTTCTGCTCCTTGTTCCTAGGTCTGCCCCTCCCTTTCCCCACCGAGCCCGAGCCACCTGTACTGACAGTAGCATCATCGACTGTCCTTAAAGGTCTGCCCCTCCCTTGCCCCACCGAGCCCGAGCCACCTGTACTGACAGTAGCATCATCGACTGTCCTTAAAGCTTATATTCCCATAGATTATGAGACCGGAAAACTCTAGTTCTTCCGAAGCCTAACTTTAACCCTTTTCAAACCTTTCCCACTCCCAAACTCAAAACCACAGCATCCTACACCATGGTGGAGTTCTCCGTCGATCTCGGAGAAAGAACAAGCTGACCGGGGCTAACTATCTTGACTGGAAATCCAAGATATCCTCCATCCTCCAACTCAAACATCTGCTCCGACTCGTCCTAAAGAAGGAAACCTCCGAGGAAGCTGCTCAAGCCGACAAACTGGACAGTAACCGTTATGACGATGCTCTCGCCATCTTAAAAATCAACTGCGATACCAAGATCGCTGATCAATTCGACCTCGAAGCCGAAGGCTGCCCCTCGAAGTTCTGGAGGCTTCTTGAGGAACACTACCAGCCGAAAACCATCCAAAACCAAGCCACTTACCTCAACCGCATCTTTACCACCGTCCTCAACTCAAACAACCTCGAAGAAACTCTGTCCACTCTGTCCTACAACACCCGACAACTCTGCGCTCTGATTGACGACGCCAAAACCAAACCGTCCGCCCTCCTCAACACCGTCATCGCCATGTGGTGTATCATCAATATTCCCGCCGAGTACAAAAACTCGGGGGAACTTCTCCTCAAAAAATGCCAAATAGAAAAGAAATCACCCACCATCAAGGAAGTCGTCGAGGAAATCCGTTCGTTCATGCAACGAAATTCTGAGGCTGCCGAGACCACCAAAGCTCTCGCTACCTCTCGCAAGGCTCCCAATTCCGGGTACGTCTACAACGGCCCAAAGTGTTCCCCCGGCTATCACAACCCCAAGACTGTCCATAAACCTGAGGACTGCTCCCAACTCAAGCTCAAGCCTCCCAAAGAAGAGAAGCCCATAAAGGCCCTTCAAGTCACCCTCCAACAAAGCAACTCTGCCCTCATTCTCAACTCCGGGGCAACCACCTCCATGTTCAACTCAGCGTCCTTTTTCCCTTCCTATCAGAGTATTCACGACCACGTTTACCTGGCCAACGGCGACAAAGCCAAAGCCATCGGGCAAGGAATCACCTCCATCGATCTCCCCCACGCCATACTCCAACTCAAGAACTCCCTTCTAGTTCCCACTCTCACCTCCAACCTCATCAGCCTCAGCGCGTTCATTAAAAACAACTACACTCTAAAATCCGGTGGCCGTGACGAATTCGTTCTAGCGGATGAAAATGGAGACCCTGTCCTCACCGGCTCTCTCGCTGACGGAAACTTCATAGTCAATCAAATCCAGCACTCTGCCCACAAGGTAGACATCAAATCTACGACTATCTATGAAAAACACCAGGCCGCAGGTCACCCCTTGCCCGCGTACTTCTTCAAAATGTTCCCCAACATCCCTAAGGTCGATTTCACCTGCAACACTTGTGACGTTTCAAAAGCTCACAAAGAACCTTTCCTGGGCTCTTTTCCGACTCCCACTTGACCATTAGAATATCTACATGTAGACCTGTGTGGACCGATTTCCACCCCCTCGGTGTCGGGACACCGCTATTTTCTACAAGCCGTTGATGGGTTCTCTCACTTTGTATGGATTCGGTTCCTAGCTTACAAAAGCGATGTGAACAAAACCCTCAGAGATCTTTTTCTCAAAGTCGAAAACGAATCCAAAACCTCCATCGTCAATCTTGTCTCAGACAACGGAACCGAGTTTAAGAACAAGGACCTAACTGCTTTCTACGCCTCCAAGGGAATGAACCACCTCACAACTGCTCCCTACACCCCCGAGGAGAACCCCTTAGCAGAGCGAGGTAACCGCACCACCGTCACAAAGCTCCGCTGTCTCTTGAACGACTCCAACCTTCCGCCTTGTTTCTGGGCTGAGGCCGCTCAGACAGCCGCCTACCTGGAAAACATCACCCAACGCTGGGCCAGCTACGCTAACCGTAGCGGTTAGCGCAGCGTAACGTAGCGGAATTCCACGCAACTTTAGCGTAGCGTAGCGGGATTCCGCCACGACACCGCTAACGCTACGCGTGTGGGCCGCAAAAAAGGGCCCACTACGCTGCGCTACAGCGCTTTTTAGCGGTTTTTGGCCGCTTTTTCCGCTAAAAGTGCTGTAGCGCAGCGTAGCGTAGCGAAAAACCGCTACAAAAACGCTAACACTACCGCTTTTGGATGAAAAAAAAGCGCCGCTACGCTACGCTTTTTGGGCCAAAAGCGTAGCGTAGCGTAGCGGCCCACCGCTGCATCACCCCTTGTAAATCCATCAACTTCTCCACCCCTTTTTCCAAATGGTTTGGGAAAACTCCCTCCGTCGCTCACCTACATCCTTTTGGCTGTGAAGCTATCTACTTTCTTAACAGGTCAGAAGGGAAGCTAGGCAATCGTGGGGCACGGGGGATCTTCTTGGGCTACGGGGAGGGTCACAGGTCCTACAGGATACTGGATGCAGAGACAGGTAACGTCAAGATCACCCATCATGTTAAATTCAACAACCATGTCTTTCCGTCCTATCCCTCAGATGAACCTGACCAGGACCTTTCCCTTCTCACTTTCCAATTCGATGACAAAACCCCTCCGTCCTCAAATTCCTCTCCGGAAACAACTCCACACCCTGCCGTCACTAACCCGTCCGAAACTGAAACTTCAGATGACGACCAAACCTTTGAGGAACTCCTCACCAAACCCATATCACCCCAACCCCCTACTCCAGATCAGTCCGTCACCCCTCCACCACCCCAACCCTCAAGCACTGGGACAACAGCTCCTTCCAAACACTACTCCTGGGTCCCAGCAGACCAACCTGCCCCCAAAAACATCTCCAGCGACATCGACCCATCCAACATAGTCAGTGGTTCACGCTGGACAGGCCACTCTGCCAACGCAGTCGGCTACATGAAGGAAGACCCCCGATCCTACGATGAAGCCATTATCTCCATCCACAAAGAAGACTGGTCTCTGGCCATTGAATCCGAACTCGGCAACATGGAGAGACACCAAGTCTGGACAGTTGTCACTCAAACCAAGGACATGCACCCTCTGTCCACAACCTGGGTTTTCCGGAGAAAGACCGACCAAGACGGCAACCTTACAAAATTCAAGGCTCGCCTGTGCGTCAGGGGCTTCCTCCAAAAAGAGGGACGAGACTACACCGATGTCTTCTCTCCTACCGGGCGGCTTACCTCTCTTCGAATATTGCTCACCCTCTGTGCTCTCAACAACTTCGAGGTACACCAAATGGACGTGAAATGCGCGTTTCTGAACGGGAAGCCGGACGAGGACCTTTACATCAAAATCCCTCAAGGTCTCGATGGAAAGCAAGGGACTGTCCTCAAGCTGAACAAATCCCTCTACGGCCTCAAGCAAAGCCCCCGATGCTGGCACCACGCCCTCACTGCTGCACTGAAAGAAATAGGACTCAATCCTTGTCATTCTGACCCGTGCCTATACTTCTCTTCAGACAAATCAAAACCGATGTTCTTGTACGCTCATGTCGACGATCTCATCTTCGGTGGTACTTGGTCTTCCGGATTCAAAACAAAAATCAACTCCTACTTCAAAATGGAAGACCTCGGCATTGCAAAATACGCCCTGGGAATCCGAATCATCCAAGAAAAGGGGTCCATTAAACTCATTCAGGACAAGTACATACACTCAATCTTGACTGAATTCCAAATCTACAACGACCGAGACACCAACATTCCCTTACTGAACAACTACAACACTCTCAAATTCACTCCTTCAGACATCCCCGACCAACCGCCTTTCATCAACCGCCGCGTTGTTGAACTACTCCAATACGTGGTCCAATGCACAAGGCCCGACCTAGCGTTCGCGGTCAGCTTCCTGTCTCAATTTCTGGAAGATCCCAGAGTATCTCACTACCAAGCTGCCCGACATGCCCTACGGTACCTCTGCCACACCAAGTCAAAAGTACTGATACTCGGACAAAATGATCTTGACCGAAAGCCTCATGAACTCGTTGGATACTCCGATTCCGACTGGAACTCTTACGCCGGGTCGGTTATCTACTACAACAGCACCATAGTCTGGCGCAGTCACAAAGAAAACGTTGTCGCTCTCTCGTCCGCGGAAGGGGAATACGTAGCCCTAACCGAATGCAATCAGGATCTCCTGTGGGCTGCCAACGTCCTTGAGGAAATCACCCAAGTAAAACCAACCCTCACCCTATACACCGACAATCACAGTTCAATGCAAATAGCCAAAAACCCAATCTATCACCACGGGACTCGCCACATGAATTTCCGGTATCACTTCATCCGAGACCATATAGAAAATAAAACAATTGACTTAAAATACATTCCGTCAACAACCCTCCAAACCGACCTGGTCACCAAAAATCTCACTGGCAGCAAAACCGCCAAACACTCCACCAGACTCCTAGGAAAGAGCGCAGGCTTTATCAAGGAAATAAAGATTGAGGGGGAATGTGGGAATAATGAGAAATCTCAGTGACTGCTTGTGACATGCCACCTGTGACATCTGTTGTATTTTCACTTTACTACTATCCAACCGTTGTTCTCTTTCTCTTTTCTTCTTCATCTTGTTTCTGCTCCTTGTTCCTAGGTCTGCCCCTCCCTTGCCCCACCAAGCCCGAGCCACCTGTACTGACAGTAGCATCATCGACTGTCCTTAAGGTCTTTATTCTTTCCTCTATGTTTCTCATCATTCTCATCCAATCTTCTTTCCTTTCCTTCTTTACTCATGAAATCTATCAATCTTGTTTCTGCTCCTTGTTCCTAGGTCTGCCCCTCCCTTGCCCCACCGAGCCCGAGCCACCTGTACTGACAGTAGCATCATCGACTGTCCTTAAAGCTTATATTCCCATAAATAGAGTCATGAGTGTCCATGGGAGTTTCTGCGTTTGGAATCCAAGCCACAAATTATCCTACCATCTCTTCCCACCAAAAAAAAAAACCGGTCCCTTTCCCTGGGGTTCATTCAGACCACACCTTTTTTTGTGTCTGTCTGACCACCTAACATACTTGCAGATTTCCTTTTTTTGAGTGGACCAGGAGTGGGGGTTTGCTCTGCCACAGTCACTCTAGTCTGACTTTGGAATGAGTGTCAGGGCACACTCCTAACTCATCTCCCACTCAATAAAAAAAAATCATGCAGTCAGGTTGAGTTCCAATCACTCTGCTGTGTCTTGTTCATGTTCGTTGATCAAAGAGTCAGAGATATATTCCACATTCTATGCGGAAATTAGCGCCTCCAATAAGACTCTGAAGCTCTGGGCATTTTGGAAGAATATGTGTGGACGCATGGGCCAGTACAAGAATCATATTTGATTTGATTTGATGGTCTGTCTGGAGACCATCAAGTACTAGAAGTAAGACTCAGAAATAATCAAGAAACTGAAACCACTTGAAAGAAAAACAATCAAGTAGCAGTGTTTTCCTCCCTCTTGGCTGCACTGAAGTGTCATGAACAGCTTATCACAAACCAAGCATTTGTCTCCTCAACCGCATCCAATCAACAAATGAGCAAAGACAACATCATGTCATAGTCAGGCACTCAAGGGGTCAACAAAGGCCGTACTTTACACACAAAAAGTGGAGTGTTTGTATATGTTGTTTTGCGAGTCAATTTGGTGGATTATCAAAGCCCTGTCTGGCCAGGATCCATCCAGGCTTGGTTGAGGAAAACAGATGCGGGGGGGGGGGATCTGGGCAGATAGCTCCAAGTCCCACCAGGCCAATTCCTATGCAGTTCTGGGCCCATCAGCAGTTAACACTCCAATTCATGTCTTGTTGGAGCACTGCTTCAAGGTGAGTTTTTTTTGTTCTTGCTGATGATACTTCAAAGGAAAAACCTAGTGAGAAAGTGGGGTGGTGCATACTGCATCCCTTGATTCATGAGGTGATCAAAGTGTTTGTGGCTCACTTGCTTGACTTTGGCTAAGTAGGGGGCTGTGGATTTACTCCCTCCAACTTTGAGAGATGTCACATATTGGGGGTTGAGTTGATAGGGTGCCAAGTGGGCTTGAAAGATGGACAGGATCCCTTTAGGATTTCCCCAGAACACTTGATGGCCTTTTTGGCCAAAATTTGGGGTATGTCCAATGTGGCTTGCAACTGCTCATTTCTGTCAAATGGGTGGTAGTGGGTTTCTTTGTCTGTTTTCATTTGATAGCTCATGGATACTCACTCATATCACCTTGCCATTTGGTTCTCAACTCAGGATGATTTCACATTTTTAGTACTGGATTCAGAATCAGACAATCTGGTGGAACTATTGTACCAATAATCGTATCCATATTTTCCAACCTTGGATTCCAACTATTGAGTTATTAGACTTTAGAGAGTTCAATCTTGAATTTTCCAAAACAAAAAAAACTAGGAGGTTTATGGTAACTGAACCAATGTTTCAGATTGAGACTGTAGGTAAATACTGAAATTCTGAGAAATAATGACACATTACCTCTTATGATTTTCTCCTATGTATGAGTGGCATTTGTTTTGACAATTCCTCTGGTGTATGAAGAAAAAAAAAATACCAACAAACATGCTCCCCCAAAAAACTGGCTTAATTGAACACAAGTGAGTTTCTTCAACAGGTATTGTGAGACTCTTCAATCAATCTGACTCAGTTTAAGGATACAACGAAAAGTAGGTCATTTTTTTTTCTGAATATTAGATGCTCTGAATTGATAACTCTTTATGCTTGTTAATTCGTGACAGAGGGTTGAGAATTCTTGATCCGGCTCGAACCGGTCCAGCATGAAGGACGGACTAGGCCCACTCCCAATCTAAGTCCAAATGGTTGTTGCTCATGGGATGCATCCCGTGATGATGAAGAAATATTGCGCTGGCAGCTGCCTGCAGTGATCCCAAGAATTTCCATCAAAGTTTCGTTTGAGTTATAACGATATAGGGAATAGACAACGTAGCGGGTCCTGACCGATCATGATGGTGATCATCACCGTCGCATGCGTAAGGATAGGGTTGGATATAACAATATGTACAGCATTCTATCCACGAAACTGGAATGCTAAATTATTGTTCAGATGGGGCCTTCAGAGGCTGGACCCCGAGTCCGATATTGTACTCTCAAGCTGGATGTATACCGTCAGACCGGTGCTAGAGCGTTCCCGGATAGAGAGGACTTCAGTTGAGATTCCTTGTACACAAATTCGTCGAGATCGATTGCTGAAGCGGTGTTTTTTTTTTTTTTTGGAAGGGGTCGAAAGTTTCCGAACTGATGGATCGATGGACTGCTGAGAGTGTGAATATTCAAATGACTGTATCACTTTTACATCCACTGCACAAAGATGATTCGATACACGTTCTTCCTCGGTGACCCCCCCAATTCATGGTTTTCCTCGAGTCTGATGCCCTTGTTGAAGACGAGGAGCAGGGTGGCTATGGGGATGATGCGCTGGACAGTTTTAGATAACCTTTGCACCTTTTTGATCAGAGTTGAGCCTTAAGATTTGGGTGGTGGGCAGGCATCCAATCTTTGTCCTCCGACCTGTTTCACCAGGTTTCACCCCGGTGTCCTGGTGGCAAGTTATTAGGATGAGTGGTCTCTGAGATATGTTACGCTGGACATCAAAATCGGTATTATGTATCACCGAAAAAAAAAACACCGTAATAATCAGGCCTGACTGATGACATCATCATCATCTTCAGTCGCTGGCTCTCGACCGAGATGATGTTGAGGATGGAAAGCTTGCGTGATAAGCCGTTGATTGAGTATGCCCATCATCGATCCTCATCTCAAGGTGAATGAATTGCTTGCTCGCTTGGGTTTTCAGCAGGGCAACAATTCAGGGCACATCGTGTGCCTATAAAAGAGAAGCACTCTCCGAAAGATTGACTAGGGAAAGCGGGAAAAATAAAACACGATTGCTGTTGACCATCTCCAGAAATTTTGATACACCGCTTCTCAAATCCTCTTCTCCATCTCCATCCATCTTCTATTTATCCTCTGACTTCCTCCTAAAGAAACTTATTTGATTCACCCCCACACAGCTTATCACCATGTCCCAATTCAACCTCTGCCAATCTCTCAATGAAACCAACCAAGCCGAGATGGTTGTTGATGCAATCTTAGTAAGCCCCCTTACCATCATCAGGACCTGCAAATATCCCAATCATCGGCGAGAGTGTCTCCCCCTCCCGTCTTGATCTCAGTATGTTGACGCTTGTTTTCTGATGGGAATATGTATAAAAAAGTTCGATATGGATGGAACTTTAGTAGACTCCATAGCAGCTGTCGAATCCGCGTGGGGAGCTGTAGCCCAAACACTCAACAAAGACCCTCAAGAGGTCATCGATGCCACTCACGGAAGAAGGGCCATCGATAATCTGAAGGACCTCAAGCCACACCTGAGGAGGATGTCAAATGCAGAGATGGAGCCCCACGTGGAAGCATTCGAGACCGAAATCTTACGCCAAGCCGATCATTTCCAGAACGAGGTTCGATCTCGTAGATCTAGCGTCGCCAGCAGTAAGCGCCAGAGTCGCGAGACCAGTCGAAAGAATTCGATGGTCATCAATGGTCACGACCATAAACCACGAAGGAAATCTAGCCTTGCCCATTTCATCACTGCCGATGGTGTTTCCGGTAGAATGGCTGTTCGTTCTTTTTTTTATATTCTACATTAGAATTGTTTATCAGGCCGGCGAAGAATCAAGTCGCATCAATTGAGATATTGATCAATTCAACTTTATATTTATGTAAGCAGGCCCTTGGCCTAAAACCCTTGACTCAGGCTCCCGTTAATGGCCACGCCAATCATGAGGACCCCAACTCGTCCAACATTGATGAAGATGTGTTCGATGATGATGATGAGGATGAGGAGGAGATTAAAACGGATGATGAAGAAGTTGATGTTTCAGATTTAACGGTAAGTCCAGAACTGGACAGCTTGGTATGTGGAGGCTGCTTGCGAAGCCCTGACGATTATTATTCAATCTTCCTCAGGACAAGTCTGTCAGGATCTTACCCGGCGTTCGAGAGCTTATCGATAGCTTGCCTGAGGGTCGCTATGCAGTGGCCACCTCGGGAGCTAAAACCTACTGTTATGGTGCTCTCAAAAGAGTAGGCATAACTCCTCCAAAAGTGACCATTACTGCTGATGATCCCCGCTTGAAGAATGGAAAGCCCTTTGTGCGTCTTCAAACCAACTTCATCGAGACTGAGCGATAGTAGCGACTGATTAGTTATCTGCACAAACCTTTAGCCGGATCCGTTCATTCTGGCAGCCGAGTGCTTGGGGTATGAACCGGGAAACTGTCTAGTGATCGAAGACTCCCCCTCCGGCATCAAGGCAGGAGTAGCCAGTGGTGCGATGACGATTGCAGTGTGCACCTCACATCCACCGGAGAAGAGTTGAGTTTTTGACTGTCAATCTATGTAACTGAGCGAATGTCAAGCTAACTGAGACGAAAACGACAAATTTGATAGTTTCGGAATGTGGTGCGCATTGGTTAGTACCCACCTTGGAACTCGTCAAAGTCGAGGTGCGCAAATCGGATGGCAAGTTGCGCATCTACGTTGATGCGGAGAAGGATGCCGTGCTCAAGGCCCGAAAGCATGCCGTCCAGAGCAGCGCCCCCCCTGAGCTCTCAAAATCACTCGCGCCGGCCTCATGATGAACTCTCATTTTGTCTTCTCTCACTACGGCGGAAAAACTGTTCTCATGTAAAACCACCAAACCAATAGATAACAGCTGTATTTTGTAAAGCCCTCTCAAGGCATCTGGCCCTGCATGTTCCTCGAAATTTCTCTCAGAGCTTTCCCGCTCTCAGTTCTCCCGATCCTGCTGATCGGCTGTCCTGAATCGCCTTCTTTGTATGTAGAAGTGATCAACAATCGTCTCTGCTTTTTTTCCACGTGTATTTTTTTAACCTGAGTTATATAGCAGCACAACCATATCTGGTTCCCTTTTCTTTCTGGGGAACAAAAAAGCTGTTGTGAAGTTATGGAAGTTATGAAGTACATGAATAACAGAAGTTGCAGTTGGGATAATTTGATAAGGGCTCTGTAGGCAATGCTTGCACCGTCCGGCGTTTGCATGGCCAAATTACCGGTCGTTACACTCACCCCTCTGTCGTCGTTTATCTGCGCAGAGCCGACTTGCCATTTCGCCCAAGGCCGCAAACTCGCGGATTTCACGACACCGCTCTTCTCAAAAGTGACCCGAGGACGCAGTGTTTGACGGATCGATCATCCATCAACCTTGCTTCCTTCAGACGTTTTTCAAGCCCGGGGCAGCAAGAAAAACTGGTTGATGTTGGATTATGAGGAGAATGATCTGATGATGTCCTATGATGTTAGACGTTTCTTCCTTCCTTGAACACCTTCTAACTGGACCGAACTCCTGCCTCTTTTCGCGCCCTCTAGATCTCCTGGAGTCCTGACGGCAGGGTGCGGGACTTTTTGGTTGGAACTTGCTATAGCTGATTTGAGTTCCTGATCTGCATTCAAACATGCAAACTAGACAGTCCAGACGTCATAGGGTATGAGCAAAGAAGATCTATTAGACCATCTCAAGTCAGAGTGATGATTTGGAACGAAGGATCCTGCAATCATGGAGCCATCGACCGAAGAATGACCAACCGAATTAACATCAAAAATTCATTGTGGATTTCTTCCATAACTTCGGTTCGACCTGTTTCCTGGTAACACTCCACGGCAATCCAAGCCCGGTGGACATCCACCGAGGTCAAATCGCCCAGGTTGAGGAAATGGCCTTTAATTTCTCAGCTTGGTTGGTATACGTGATGTCACCCATAGCATCCCTTTGACCACCGGGAGGCCTTCTCGTTCGTTACCTTGATCTCATCAAAAACTACGCCAAACGAAGCCGAATGCGCTCAGCTTGTGAAGCAACATGGGCATCCTTCTGAGTGGGTCCCCACTACCGGGTTCAATTAGCCAGTCAACCTTCAATTCATCACTCGGTCCCTTCCCTCGATTGTTAGAGACTAGCTGGCCCACGTCGAGATGATTCTCGAATATCAATCATTAAACCACTTGAGTTGCGCATTCCGACTCATCAACATCCAGTAGAATCATTCTTGTGAACACACTATCCCAACATTCTCGCCTTGTATCAATCTCGAATAGAACAGTCTTGATCCCAAAATCTGTGACTAAATAAATAAGTATTCTGCAAAATAAACTTCAATACCAATCATCAGCTCAACCTGTGCACCAGAAATCGATTTTCATAAGCTATCTTCCCGCATCTTTTGATCACTAACTAACCGCAAAGAAGACACGCGAGGGCCAAAGAAGACTGTGATTTTACACCGCAGGATTCGGCGCAAAGTCAGTGAAATATATCGACAGCATTTGATAGGTTAAAATTCTGATTGATTGCGCATATGTCCAGTCGCAATGACTTCCAAACCCCAGCTTCGCATTAGCGTTCTAGACTTATCAAAAAACCCGGCGAAACCGGCTAGCCGTCGATGGCTTTCGTTGCTCCTCGTGTTTGGAGCTCCGATCATTTTGCTGCTTGCTTCTCTCAACCTTTATCAACATACGCTTTTAGGCCCGCATGTTTCCGAGCACAGGACTGCAAGGATTTTCCAGAGCCGCGCTCAGCCCCTTTTCAATGATGGCTCAAAGTTCCTTCCCAAGGATTGGAAAGCCCTTGAGTATGGCGACCGGTCTAATAGGATCTTCAAACGATCACCCCAACGGCCTGGTACAGGTGAGTAAGGCGGATAATTGAGATCCCATAAAAATCTCGACAAGCACAGATGACATCAACTTTTGACGTTTGTTCTCAATATCTTTCACATTGTTGCCGCACCATTTCTGCTTCTGGAATTTAACATCGGTGAGTAACATCATCTCTTCGCAGCTTCCTTGACCATGATCCGATGACTAACTTCCTCTCGGTGTTCCTAATCTATGATAAACTTCCGCCGGCTAGGTCTAGATAAAACACCTCCAGTTAAGCTTCCTGCAGGCGGCAGAGGCCCGCCGAAACCTCTTGTCGCCCCAAAAGGGGCCGCAGTTCCTAAAGTCCCCAAACCTCCAAACAATGTCGCTACGATAACAATTGAGCAGGAGGATGATGATGATGATGAGGTTGTGTTGGTGGAGGAAGACGATGAAGAGGAGGAGTTATTGGTCGAAGTGAGTCATCTGCCGAATCAGAAACAAAAAAAGTCTGATGCGTGAGGCTCCTGACATGTTACTCCCGTTTCTGTTTTTCTTTTCTCCAAGATTTCAAGGGTTGTAAGTTCATCGGTTGTTTCCCCCTCCCCCAGAAAGTCCATAGAATGATCATTGACTTGCTCTTAACACTTGTCTATTGTGCCTGTGCCATAGGTAAACGTAAGTGCTCATTCTCAGCAGGGGACTTCAGTCAGACGAACTTGATCTTGACTTGGCACTCCACTTTCTACTGTCCATCGTAGATCACTAACACGGTAAGTTCATAATTTAAATACTCCTTTTTGAGGACAACGAGATTAAATGTTCTCCTTCTATGCTTGTTTTATTGACATCCTCTCCTGCAAAAAAAAGCTAAACCCGAACCCGACACTAGTGGTAAGCAATCGAGTTGAGAAATCCTCAAACAAAATACGAAAAAGAAGTGAAGGTCTTCTAACATGTATGTGATGTGATCCTTGTTCCTTTCTGTCTCCAGAAAACAGGAAAAACGGTCGTGGGTAAGGAGACCACAACTGTCGTCACACTCAGAGAGGATAGGGGATCTGTAAGCCCATTTTCTTGATCAGATTTCACGCAAAAAAACATCTCGATCTCTGTTTGTTTATCTTGATTTCCTTCCGGGATTGTATGTTCTGCGTCCATCACTCTGATGTCTAGTCACAAACTCAACAACAACAGCAGCACCACACACAGCACAGCACACAGCACACAGCACACAGCAGAAACAGCACACACAGCACACAAATAAAGTATGTGAAACATGGTCTTAGGTCCAAAATGAGCACATTGCAACCAAATTCCAAAAGTAGCATCAGACTGATCTCAGAATTTTGTCATAGACTCCTCCAGCTTCTACTGACCTTTCCAGTACAACTACCATTGCTACTAACTCTTCGGCTTCCACTGTGGCAATAAATTCTGGATCTGGAGGTGATCCAAGCCTTCTAAGTCAGCCCACTCCTCAACCTCAACCCCAAACACCACCAACAGGTGCTCCCTCACCAACTCCACAACCTGGTCAGGTAAGTAATTTCAGATAAAAATTGTTCAACATAATTCAATTCAAACTCACCAAGGAAAACTATCCTGCTTGAATGACTCAAATTGATTCTTCCTCAATTGACACAGACAACTGTAAGTTAAAGAATTTTGGATATTTAAGTATGACTCAATATAGAAGTATTGACTTGCAGATCCCTTCATCAATTTCTGTGATTTATCAAGCCTCCAATAGATGTAAGATTTTCCAACAAACATTTCCAAAATCCGAGTATTATTGAGAAGTAGAAAGGCTTGAGCTGATTCCATGACTTTCATGAATTTGGCTGCTATTGATTTTGTTTGGTGGTTCAAAGACCACTGTGGCAGTTGATAACAATGCAGGAAAGAATACTTCTGTTGACTTGACTAGTTCTGTTGGTAGTACCACTTCAATCACTGGAGCCAATGGATCAACTCTTGGAAGTGATGCTCTGAATTCCGGAAACAACAATCCAACTGCTGTTTCCGCCTTAGGATCAGACAATTCTACAGGAACTCCAACTCCTGGGACCACTACACCAACTCCTGGGACCACTACATCAAATCCTGGGACCACTACACCAAATCCTGGGACCACTACACCAACTCCTTTCTTTGGGAATCAATAATACAAATACTGGTGCTGCTTTGGGATCACTTGATTCTACGGAGCACCACTCCAACTCCTGGGAGCACCACTCCAACTCCTGGGAGCACCACTCCAACTCCTGGGAGCACTACTCCAACTCCTGGGAGCACTACCCCAACTCCTGGGAGCACTACTCCAACTCCTGTTGGAGGTTTAGGTGGTGCTGATACTTTGGGAATTAATAATACAAGTGCTGGTGCTGCTTTGGGGTCGCTTGATTCTCTGGGAAATCCTACTCCAAATCCGGGAACCAATTCCCCAACTCCTGGTGGAGGTTCAGGTGTAGCTGATTCTTTGGGAAGCACCACTCCAAACCTTGGAGGAAGTACCCCAACTCCTGGAAGCAATGGTCCATCTCCATCTGTTGATCCTAATTCTGGAGGAGGCACTACTGTGGTGAGAATTCATAAGTTTCTTTTCTTGCAGAAAGCATGGCTGACATTGATTATATGCTTTGATTTGATTTAGCCAACACCTGGTGTGAGTTTTGAAAACATTTGTGAATCAGAAGGTTTCAATTTTACAGTACATGTTGCTGATTTGGTTTGAAAAACTTATCATAACAAAGTCAAATGGAACAGTAAGTTATTTTTGTACAATTCATGGTTGGATTTAATGCATACAATTACTAACCATCTTGTCTTGGAATTATTGGAAACAGAACCCATTCCTTGTAAGAAATGTGATAGAACTATTCTAGATTTCCTCTGATAGATTTCTGAAAACTATGATTTTGATTTTTTCTTACTTCAAATTATGGTTTGATCTGAAACAAAATGTAAGATACAAACCGGATAAGATATGATAAAAAAGTGGTTTAGGTTCAAAGCTGATTGGTGAATTCTCCTTCTTTGTTTCATTTTTTATACAGCTTCATATTTTGGTGAGTCACAATGTAAAATCCAACAGTGTAAACGTTATACTGAAGTTTTGTCATATTTTTTAAAAAAAAATCAGGAACAGACTGTAAGCTCAATTCTTTAAAAGTAAGGTGGAATTCCTAAATTTTGACCTAGCCATATTTTTCAAATTCACCCTGGAAAACAATGATAATTTCAGGACTTTGTAAGCAAAACAATAACATCTCTAAATATGATCTTATTTTGGAATCCAACTGATATGTTAATTTTCTATAATAGTCTCAATTTTCTCAGGGACAAACCCCTAAAATAAGAAAGAAGAAAACCACCACAACAATGACAATAGTCAACCCTTTTGCAATAGGATGCATGCAGTTAATTTCCACAGCAAAGAAAACTGGGGTAAGCTTTTCATTCACTCATCCCTGTCCAACTGACAAAGAATTTGATTTCAATGTGGGTTGCTTGTATTATATTCCAGATTCCCCAAAGTTTCATTAAAACAGAAACAGTAATGGTCTTAGGTAAAGACTCATTTGGAAACTCAATACAGATAGGTGGAAAATTTGATCAGAATGGAAACCCGACCAGATTTCAGCAGTCTATTATTGGCCAGTCAGGAGGAATGCTTTTCAGTGATAGTATTACTGAGAGGATTCGATCAAATGGAAGAATGGGTAGTGTAACAGAGAGATTCAGAATAGGAGATTTCAGTGAGAAAATCACAGAACGTTTTGATAGAAATGGAAACCCCACTAGTGCAACAGGAAGAATTCAGTTTGGAGGTGAAACATTCCAATTCTCTGAAAGGGGATCAGGAAGAGCACTTTTAAACAGCATTCCTGGATTATCAAACAGACTCAATGGGATTCCACCGGTCAATAATGACATGTTTTCAATGAAAGCAACACAACAATTATGGATTACAGCAAAGCAGATGGGTGTATGTTTTGTTTGTTTTTGAAATTATTGAGATGAGATATTGCTCATACTAATTTCCAATTTCAATTTGTTTCTTCTGCAGATTCCAGTTCCAAACCAAAAACCTCTTCTCCCTGCAAGGTCTTTGATAGACACAAACACTGCAATGAGATTTGGATTTTCTGAATCCATGACAATGAGATTGGCCCAAAATCAAGCAACCTTCCAAATCACTGACAGATTAAGCCAAGGTGCCCTTAGAGGATTACCTGTGATACAAACAAATCAAAATGGAAGACCTGTCAGTGCTTTCTCAACAACAGTCAATGGAGCATTATTTGCATCACAACTTTCATCAATCCCAAACCCTCAAAGAATACCAAAACCACCACCAAACACAAATCCAACCATACCAATTCCCCCTTCAACACAGCCGGTCCCAATCAAGCCTGCCCTGAAACAGCCAATTCCAACAAAGCCACCTTCAGGTGTACCAAAGCCACCTGATGCAGATTTTTCAGTAAAACTTGCAGGAAGTCAGATCCAACCAAAGCCTTTACCAACCATACCTAAACAACCTCAACCTATACCAACACAACCTCAACCCATACCAACACAACCTCAACCCATACCAAAACAACCTCAACCCATACCAAAACAACCTCAAACTATACCAAAGCCACCTCCAAAAATCCCACAACCTCTGCCAAATATACCGCCTGACAATAGATTCAGTGAATTAACATCATCACCACCACCACCACCACCAAAGAAAACTATTCCACAACCTCTGCCAAAGATACCACCCACTGAGAGATCCAATGAAATCCCACAGCCTCCACCTAAGTCATCACCACAACCCTCCCCCAAGCCTGAACCCAAGCCTGAACCCAAACCTGAGCCCCAACCAGCTCCCAAGCCTCTGCCTAAGCCTGATCCCAAAACACCCACAAAGCCAGAGCCCAAGCCAGAACCCAAACCTGAACCAGAACCTAAACCAGCACCTAAACCAGAACCTAAACCAGCACCTAAACCAGAGCCTAAACCAGCACCTAAACCAGAACCAGAACCTAAACCAGCACCTAAACCAGAGCCTAAACCCGCACCTAAACCAGAACCTGAACCTAAACCAGCACCTAAACCAGAGCCAAAACCAGCACCTAAACCAGAACCTGAACCTAAACCAGCACCTAAACCAGAACCTAAACCCGCACCTAAACCAGAACCAGAACCTAAACCAGCACCTAAACCAGCACCTAAACCAGAACCTGAACCTAAACCAGCACCTAAACCAGAGCCGAAACCAGCACCTAAACCAGAACCTGAACCTAAACCAGCACCTAAACCAGAACCTAAACCAGCACCTAAACCAGAGCCAGAACCTAAACCTGATCCCAAACCTGATCCCGGTGCAAAGCCATGAGGAAAACCTGATTCAAGTTAATTTTAAAATCCATTCTGTTTTTTTCTTATTCTTCTGACTGAATTCAATTTATAACTTCTCATAGCAACTTATGTAAATGAAAAATAAAAGGTCCTGATCTCCCCTTCTGTTTTCAAATTTTGAATATGCATGTAAATAGATAATCCTGACAATATCAATTATACTTAGATGACAGATTCCATGTTTTGATTTATTGATGTGTATTGTCAATAAATGGTCAAAAAAAGCCTCACACAACTGCAAGAATGATTTTGCCTTCTTTAAGCCAATCAGATGATTTGCAATGGAATCAGCATAAAAATTAGTCGTTTTCTAGAGGTGGAATTGGTCCACTGCCAGAAAAAATTGCTAGGTTGAGGGTATCTTAGTTCATCTGGGATCCACTCAACTTAGTTAAGATAGGTTGATCTGAAAATTTTAATTTCAATTAGAAGGGCTACCTTGTATTTGTATTTCATCATGAAGAATGTCGATTTGGAACCAGGTAGATGGTTGACCTTTTTCCTAGTATGGCACCTTAAGGCAGGTACTAGTGGTACTAAAGGTAAGTAACAGCAACATGGGCCTCTATTCTATGCTATGCTACACCTTTTCCCCAAAAAAGCATTAGCATAGTGGCACCTGTTTTGTGCAGAAAGCGTTAGCATAGTGGCACTTGTTTTGCACAGAAATTTTGTAGTGTTAGCACACCATTAGCAGGGTTTCCCCATGAGTTGCTAACAGCCGCTACAGGGCCAAAAACCTCTAACCAGTGCATTAGCAAAGAGAAGCAGGCCCTTTTTTTGGGGCCTACATGTGTAGTTTTAGTGCAGAGGTGGTGGAATTCTGCTATGCTAGGCTAAATCTTAGCAGAGTTCTGCTACTTTCCACCACACTAACACTATGGTCAGCATAATTGGCCCACACTTGGAACCAGAGTACTATTCTCCGGTGAACTGCTTATCTCTACACATCAGTTTTCCAAAAAGGTTCTCTTCCAAGGAAACCCAATTTGTCTCTACCATTTTGCCAGGAGTCCTCTTGTGTGACCTGGTAGAGACAATTAATGTTTCTAAATGTTTCTACCAGGCTGAAAGGCATTCCTCTTTGGAAACAGGTAGAGAACCAATTCCAAGAAATTCCACATGGTGAACTGGGTTTTCTGTACTGGGATAACAAGGGATCCTTGTCAGATTTGCCCTAATGAACCATGGACAACGGTGGGCCGCTACACTAACCGTAGCGGTTAGTGTAGCGTAACGCAGCGGAATTCCCGTTAGCGTTAAGCGTAGCGTAGCGGAATTCCGCCACGACACCGCTAACGCTACGCGTGTGGGCCACAAAAAAGGGCCCACTACACTGCGCTACAGCCTTTTTTAGCAGTTTCTAGCCGCTTTTTCCGCTAAAAGCGCTGTAGCGCAGCGCAGCGTAGCGTAGCGTAGCGTAGCGTAGCGTAGCGAAAATGCGCTACAAAAGCGCTAACACTACAAAAATTTGGCGCAAAAAAAGCGCCGCTACGCTACGCTTTTTGGGCCAAAAGTGTAGCGTAGCGTAGCAGCCCACCACTGCCATGGATGCACAAAACATTTCAAGGGTAACACAGAGGAGAAATTGAAACTTGTTAAGACAAAATATGTTTCAGAGCTCCACAACAGATGAAAAAAGAGGCTTACCCAAAATACTAAACCCTCTTCTGTTTCCAAAAGCTGAAAAAAGACCCATAACAACCAGATGATGCACCCAATAAGGGCCACCCAGTCAGAGGTTGAAACTTTATGGAACTTTCAAGGATTCCCAAGGGTCAGAGCTATGAGTATGTAAAGAGGCTATGATTCATAGTATGAAGAAACAGATGAGATCCTTTGGTCTCCTGACTGACCATTCATCACATATAATCCTCTCTAAAAATTCCAACTCAAATCAATCCTCAACAGAATACCCACACTGGACCTAACCTCTTGCATTAGCTAAAAGGGAATTGAGTGAGCTGTTTTTTATTGAAGTTTTCTAGACAAGAAAAGAGATGGGTGCTAACTATGAGTCAACAAATCAACATTGATCCAGCTGTTTGACAGTCTAAATTCCCTTGCAAAATCAAGAGTCAGCAAAACAAGTTCAGCCTGAGTACAACAAGATCAAAATTCAGGGACCACTGTTGAGTTTCTCAAATCTTAAGCAACATCACAAAATGTATATTTGTTCAAAATTTGATTTGAAATTTCTTCATTTCAGATTCTACCAAATGATTCAATTTTACTTGTGGTGCTTAAGAATTTTCATTCCACAATCAATTTGGCATAAATTTTTTACAAATAGGATATAATACGATTTACATAAATTTCAGTAATTTATTCTAACAACTTTATTATTTAACTTGGGATACAACTCAAGAGTTTGTCATTTTTTATTTCTTGGATTTTACAACAGAAAATAACTTTGGAGATTCAGCCTGTGACATCTGGTTTGATTTCAGGTTTTGTATTTGTCTTAGGAAATTCTTTGGTATCCACAGGTGTCATAATATCTTGAGATCAGGATTTATTCATCCCTTGGGGGCTGCTTTGGTTTCAGGCTGAGTTGCTATTTTGGGAGGGGTTTTGGGTAGCTTGTTGATCTCTGGTTTTGTTACTGAGTTTGACTGAACTTCCATCTTTTCAAAAGACAATAAATCAGAATTAGGCACTCCTTTTGGCGGTGGCTTGGGTGTATCTGAATTTCTAGTTGTGTCAGTTTGTAGATGGGTTGGTGGCACTGGTATTTTTGTTTTAGTTGTTGATGGATCTATCCTATTGAGTGTTGGTGGTTGTTTTTGAAGCAAAGAAGCCACACTGGTCCTTGAATTAAACTTCTTGACAGTAGATAGACGAGTCAAACCTCCACCACTGATTCTATCAGTAATTTTTGCCATGCGGTTATTATTGGTTAATCTGTTGGTAACTGCTTCAGTGAAGCCAAATTTGACACTTGTGTAGGTACTCCTGAACTCTCTTGGGCCTTTGATTTGATTGAACTGTGGTGAAATATCTATGGGAATCTAAAAAATCAAACAATTTGGTTTAATTTGCTACCTTTTTAAGTTTCAAAAATATCTAAATTATAATGACATACACCATATTTTTCTGCCTTGATAAAAAGTCTCTCTGAAATGATTGTTGTGAATTGTCTACAGCGTATGTTGGTTGGAATCCCTTTGAGTTGAATTGCTGCTCCAGGTATACTTTGCAAAAGAGCTCTTTGTGACATAGTTTCTGAAAATTGTAGTGTTTGATCTGCACGGTTTTGAACTTGAATGTCTTCTGGTTTTGCAGGGGGCCTTGCAGCTGTTTTTGTCTGTGTTGTTTTCCCTTTTGTGAATCCAGAAACTTGATAAGTACCTATTTTAATCAACTCAATGATTCTGGACAACCGATAATTTTTGGTAATTTTTACTGTCATTGTTTCTTTGAATGTGCTTCCTCCAAGACGTCCATTTCCCACAATGACTGCACGTCTCAGAATCCCATTACTACCAAATAGTGAGCCCATATTTACCTTATTTCCGGATTGATCTATAATTATTTGGTTCAGCACTGTAGTTGTGATGAACCTTTGAGCAATCTAAAAAAAAAAATCAGGGGCCAAAAAATATATCAAAAAAAATCTTTCAATTTTTCCAGCTTAATGTGAAGAAAGAATAGAAAAATACACCATATCCCTGAGCCTTTGTTGAAAACTGGCGGCATCTTGAAGTAAAGGTTTGCGTGTTGGTAAAACTTTTCACTTGAATTAGGGGCTCCAGATTCAAAGTGGTGGAGTCTATAGGCTAAAATTTATCCAAGAGAAAAAATCAATTCTTGTTACTTTTCTAGCTTATAATCTCAAAGACTTACCAAAATCTAATTTTGTGTGGAAGGGTTTGGAAAAAAAATGTGAAAAGAATTGTAAGAATTTTTCTTTTTCTTGAAGAGTAACCTGCAGCTTACGGGCTGCTCCTATTGATTTGAGCTTTATAAAATAAATTGAAACAATAAGATTATTAATTTCAATTTTGAAAATCAAAAAACATAAATAAAACAATTTAAAGACTCACCAATAGTCACTTTTGAGCAGAACAACAAATTTCATGTGAGAACGTCAATTTCTGAAAATGGAAAGAATAGTATGTTGGGTGGCTTACATTTGTTTGAGAGATTTCATATTAAAATATTCAATATGGATCAATTCAAAACATCAAAAAAATCTGGAATTTTCAGGGAACTTCTCACCACCAGTGGAGTAGTCTGTAAAATTTAGGAAAGCAAAATCAATAAACAACTTCACTCATAATTCAAAACATCAACTTACTGCCTCAGTATTCTGTTGAATTTTTCAAAAGAGTTCAAATAAAGTAATCAGTAATTTGAGGAAATTGAAAGTCAAAATTAATTTTAAAGTTGAACTATATCATCTCTCTGCTTGAAAATTATATCCACAGATGGATTCTCACACTTACCACAGTCTTAAGAGTTATTTTGAGTCAAGAGCAATATAGAGAAACCAGTTAGATATCCCTATAGGATCTTTGCTAAAGAATTCCATTCAATCACTCACACTGGCTGGAACCTAAATTGGGAATATTGGATTAATAAGAAACCAAATTCTCAGCTATGTTTCTGAGTTAATTTTGATTGGGTAAGACTGAAAGAAAGATACCTGTGTCTGAGGTGGGGTTTGAATTGGAACTTGATTCTGATAGGAAATTCCAACAGTAGATAGAGTTCAAAGAGCATCAAATTTAGATTTGTTTCTGATTAGAAAAATGAATTTGGTTTTTGGGAACCTTACTGTTGTATCTCTCTGATTCCTAAAAAAGAAAAGACACATCAAGGCTCAGGATTGATCTTCATAAATTACAAGTCTACAGAAGACTCACATTTGAATAAGGAAATGATTATTTTGAAAGAATAATCAAAAGGAAAGTGTGTCCATCAGTTTTTCTTGTTCTTTTTGAACATTTGGTTGTTGCACAGCTCACAGATAATTCAGCCTGGAAAACACCAATAAAATGGTTTTGTTAAAATGTTAACAAGTTACCCAGAAGCCTAGAATTTGATATCTCCAAGAAAACTCACACTCCCAGCTGTATTGTTGACAGAAATGGAACTATCCAAAGTAATGTTTAGCTTCAGGTATGAGAGAACACAGTTTTCAAAACAGATCAGCCACAAGAACAAGGTTTGGAGAGGAAGTTTCTTTTTTATGATTGATCTTGTGACACCTTAGCAATGAAATTCACTTACATCTGCTTGTACCTGAATATATGTTTTTTGTTGATCATGAGAGCTGATGAGAGATACTTCAAAAAAATATGAAGATCAAGAACTTACTGATCCCTGTTCCTGTGTAGACAATCAAATAGATGTTTTGATCAGACCTGTTTCATCTCTCCATCTTGATTGTATAGAATGCTTACTCCCAACTGGGCCTTTTTGATGTGACCAAAAAGATTAATATCAGGTCAAAGCTTTTTGACCAAAAGAATGTAAATTTTCATTGCTTACACCGGGGGTATTCTGTGGTAGGTTTCATGATCCAAAATAAGAAATATCAGAATTTTGATACTGAGCTTCAAGGGGTTGACAAAGCCATTCTTCTTACAGTTGTTCCATCCTTATTTTTCAAGAAGTACAAAAAAATTCAGTCAGGAAAGGCAATTTTATCTCAAAATAAATGTTTATCTATTTGCTTTGGTTGATGACCTACCACTCCTGTCTGTTGGCCCTATATTCAATAAATGGATCTGGTCAGCAAGATTTTTTCTGGCTTAAATGTGATGATTATCAGCACAATAGATTGGCAACACACATTCTGGTTTGCCTTTGAGTGGAAATGGGAAACATATGTCAAATCAGGAAAATTGTTAGTCAGAAACCAAAGAAAATCAACAAAATTTCATCAGTTGTCTTCCTTATGACTCAAAACTTATCTGATAGCTCACCGAGACTTCAGTCTGTAAGTCGCAAGAGAAAAAGTGTATGTGATGTTAGAACATTTTGCTTGAAAATTTCTACAAGAATACTTACAGTTGTAGTAGTGTCAACCTTGGTTGTTGTAGTACTCTCGACTGATGAAGTAATATTAAAGCCTGAAGAATCCAAAGACCCTAAACTGACATTGGACTGTCAATTTGAAAAGGGTCAGATTTTGTGTTGAAGTATCAAGTTACAGAAAAATGTCTTTGATTAATCTGACTGCTGTAATTAATCTTCTGAATAGTCCTTTGATGATGAAGAAAAATAAAGTAATCTTACGTCTGCTTTCTGGATAATTGGTATAATTTATGAGAAAATATCAGGAATCTGCCGGCCAGCTGAAGAGTTAAAGACTTAATATTACAAGCTTACGTTGTTTGGCCCAGGCTGGGATGGAAGAAATGGCCAATCATTGGAGCAGAGAAAACTCAGATGTTGCGACTCCGTATTAAACATTTATTTGACTTGATTGTGAATTTTGTGATGAGCTTACCTGGCTCGGTCCAAACTGAAGAATAAATCAATTGTGTTGATGCCGGGGATCATGTTTTGCAAGTGATCTTGTCAGGTTTTATTCTAGCATACTGTCTCATGACAAACTTGTTGTTATCATTGATTGGAAATTGTTTGGACTTACAATAGGGTTTGACTGAAAAAACCAAACAAAATGAATCAGAATATTGGTTACAGTTCACCGCTTACTTTTTTTATAAATTGTGAACTTACATTTTCATCAAACTATTAAGGCCCAAGAAGCAGGTAAAGGATGGATCCAACATATTTTTAACGATTCACTTCTCTGGTTCGACTCATTATCTTTGAAGACACTCACGCCAATCTAGTGTCGATGTGTAAAATGGCCAATTGGATCTAGGAGTCAGCGATACACTCACTTCTTTTGGAGAGGTGCGATCAATACGCTTACGATGGTTACCACCTAAATAGTGCCCCGAGTATTTATTGAACAAAAAATTATTGGTTAAAATTCAAAAAAGGAGCGTCTTTGAATTGTCGATTTGCTCACATGTGTTGTGGAGTCCTTTGCGTCCTCGACGTATATCACCAGTGGAGCGTTACCCTTAGTGACATTTACTGTAGTAGCATCCGGGTTTTCAGTAATTGTAGCTACATAAAAGCGATTTTCAGTGTTGTGATTAAAGCGATGTTGAGGTTATAAGTGAGAGCAAAGAAGCCAAGTAAAAGTCGTAGAATATCAAATACCGCAATGTTTTTGTCGTGCAAAAGCGAAGTTTGAGCATCAGGAATGTGTCATTTGGGAACGAGAAGCAATTTCCAGTCAACAAATTTTACTTTCTTAGCGCTCAAAAATAGTTGAAAATGACTGGCTCACCTGGACCTTGAGGTGATCTCTTTATAAGCTTGATAGACGAGCCAATATGCCCATGGACTTTGAAATGGTCGGTGATGAGCTTGAGAGTATCTTCAAAGTCACTTGGAAGGGGGCTCTCCAGAGGTTGACCAGCCCGCTGGTTGGCAACAGACGAAACCGGCGCGTGTTGATGAGAAGTCTTGGAGGTAAAATGTAGCATAGTTACTACAGTTCCAGTGGCCATTAGCAGCCAAATCCATCTCAAGATTGGCTTAGATTGATACTTTGATCCAGTGAGGGAGAGGCGTCGAATTGTAGGCTGGGGGTTCATTGCGACTGATGGGGTAAAGAAATTACGAAGTTTGAATATTCGAACAAATAGTTGAATCAATATGTAGATGGCTGCTTCGCTTTTTTGACAATGAACAGGTCGCTTTGACTGTAATTCTGAACGATTTTGCGTCCCGCTTTCTGAATGAGTTATGACTTGACTTGAATTGATATTGGTAAAAATACGGATGAATAATGATTGCAACCTGCAAGGAACAGTTAGTCCTTCTAAAAATGTTTTCAAACACAAGTATGGCGGTGCTGTAGCGGTAACAAGGAAGCTTCCGAGAATGATTTACAAATGAATGCATTTCTAGTTGTATCAGAGTAAAGCAGGTTGACTATGTGCCCTGACCTCCGGAAACCTTCAAGAAAGCGTTGCCGCTGGTTGGGTTTCTACCTACCGAAGTACTTATAAGAGTAAGTCTTTTTTCCATTGATTAATTGTGAGTGCAAACACATATCCAGCTGCTGGTAGCTAGGCCCTGCAGCCTGTAGTATCTCATTTCCTACAGCTACAATTAATCCAAACCGAGGTAATGGATCGGATTAATTGCTTTTGTGAGAGGATAATCGAGGAGCTCATGATTAAAGAAGCATCCTCCAAGAGACGGGATGATTGCACTCGGCGCATTGGCCACCGACGGGCTCGCGGTGAGCAACAAATTAACTGGAAATTTTCGCAACGACATGGTCACTCGTAAAAGTGCTCAAAACTCGACGGTGTGTGTTGTCTACTTGTCTGAACCATAACCTCATCCAGTGATTCGAGATGTGGAAAACTTCTTGACGAGAAGCCGCGCGCAGTGCCCCCGTACTTATGAGGCAGCAACCCTACGAGCTCTAGCTTGACACTTAGTCTGCTTGCCATCGTCGCGAGATGTCTTCGTAGAAGCATTGGCAGATCACGATACGGCGTGAACACGCACTAGTTGACTGATATTTTATTTGACTCGATAGGCCAATCGGGTTTGGCCCGGTTAGTTACATATCCCTTTGGGCTTAAAAACGCCAAACAACTTAAAGTTAAGCCCCCACCCCCACCCCATAACTCAGGGCTGCCTTGGTCTAGCAATGTTTCCTTATAAATACGAGTCCTCTGTTCCTCTGCAATCACTGTGGAATCCCATCCATGAAATGCTCTTTTGCTGTTGCAGAGCATTGCCTAAGTACGAGATCACTTGTTCATTGAATATTTACCTTTGTGTATGTATCCCTTGTTTGGGGAAGAAGGAGAAATAAGAATGATGAAGATGTGAAAGATTTGCTGAAGAAAACTGAATGGTGATCAAGCAGCTTGTGAGGCTCTTTCCGACTGATCAGTCGCAGTCTCAAATTTCTAGAAAGATACAATTTCACCTGGGCCATGAAGCATTTCTATACAACCGTTTTTAGATTGATTGTTTTTTTTTTTTTCAAATCCTGTGCATGTGTATACCTGGTCGAGTGTTTAAAATGGTCTTTGTGTAATAGGAAAGCCTGTGCAAAGACAGACATGATTTCTTTCGAATCCTTTCTTAGTCTATATATTATAGAGCTATTCAAAATGATCTATTCAGAGCTGTTTGCACAAGATGCAAGCTCACTACAAAGACAATGCTTAATTCAACAAGGGAGATTTGAAGTATTGATGACGCGAATCGGACAAAAATCCAAACTTTTTTTTGGGTGGTGGTTTGATAATCAAAACTCAAAGAGGCCAAGTTCTTTTTATTTTCTATCATGTGGACGATTGAAGACTTTTTTGATCTTGAAAGGAAAAGGAAAAGAAAAAGAAAAGTCTGCTGAGGGCTGTATAGCAGCTGAGAGTTAACGATTTTCTGTCGGTCATGATTGAAAAAAGATTCGGAAAAGGGGGACGAGTGTTGTTTTTCTATCGTTCCGTCAGATTTAATGGTGGAAGAAAAAACACCTCGGTGTGAGAATGTGCCTTGTAGTAGTCTTATCAGGCGATTAGGATTATTGAGGAACCAGCCATAAGGAATCAGGACTCACGATGTCGATGGCAGTCAAGATGGAGTGGTCGATGAGGATTGGATGACAGGGTCAGACCAGTGGGATGGTCTTCCACAGTGAGCAGCCATTGGCGACATAGCCGCCTTGTTTGGCTTCATCGCCGATGTTGCATTCGTCGGTTGGTCTTGAGAGAAACCTGCCGCAGCTGTAGCCGACGGAGAACTTGCAGCCGTTGATAGACTTGACATGGAGGAGGACATGGTTGGCCATGCCGGCGGCGCGTTGGGAGGGCTCGACGGTGTAGAGCTCCTTCAGCTCCACGTTCGTCCCCTCGCCCTCCGAGCCGCCGAACTCTTGGCCCATCGCCTCCGCACAGAACGAGTCGATAAATTTCAGAATCTCGTTCCGATTCGCTCGGATCGGCGATGAGGTCCGGCAGACGATCTTCTCTTCAAAGTTGTCCATCCTTCCCCGGCCGATCCTCTGTCTGCCGGCTATCCTTCCCGAGGCCCTTCCCACTCCACTCAAGCTGAACACCACAATGATACTCCCGATCAGCACTTTCAACGTCCATCCTTTGAGCCGTTTCTTCATCACCCTCTGAAAGCTAGTTTCGAAAAATTTCGTCATTCTTGTTCGACTATGTATGGCCGTCCTTCAAACTGCTTCCAATTCGACACCGTCCTTGATCCTAACAGCCGACTCGCGCGTTGTGATAAAGTCGCAAGAAGATTCGAAGCAAACGAGGAAGAGAAAGATGGGAGAAGGAAAAGCCAGTTGGGTGAAGAGTAGCTTTTTAGATCTGTAAGGAGAGATACGGAGCCGACAACCAAGTCCATCGTGTAAGTATTTATATCAGTTCAGGAGTCTACATCTACGTATCTGAGTGGAGAGAGGTACCCAGAATTACTCAGATTGATGGAGCTCCAAACATGTATGTATGTATGTTGATCTGCCAGAGCATAGCGATTTACTTGGCCGGCAGCCTCCAGAGGAATGGCTGCACAGAAGAATCTTCGGCAGGACAATCATCGGTCGGCTCGCACAGTCGCTCTCTCGAGTCTCGCTTTACCCGAGTTAATCCCCCTCAAAAAACAAAGGAATTTACAGATCTGAAGAATGCCTGCCACTGCCAGTTATCCTCTCAACAAGATCGCCTCTAACAGTCCACGTCCAAGAAACAGGGGAGATTTCGTGGCAGTCACCCGGCAAGCGAGTCGGCCGAGCGCTTTGGATATATAAGCCTCATTTCAAAACAAAGCGCTCTCTGTGCTCTTGTTCGTCTGACTACCTTATCAGAATTCCAATATCCTCTATTAAGAACTGCTTCCTCAAGATCAATCTTTGTAATTTGAATTGCTGGGTGAAAGACTCGTGATCAAGAAGAAATTCTGTCCACACTTCATCGTAACCCAAACAACGCTTTTAAGATATAATATACATATCACTGAAAAAACAACCATCGAGTCTGTTGGTCTTTGTGAGGGAACGGTCACTCCGGCTCTCCTTCCCGACCTATGTATGAAGTATTTTGTTTGTTTGTTAATATATTCATCCGTTTATGTACACAGTTGATAAATAAATTCCATGAATGTAATTATCGAATTTACAAATGAACGCTTTCTATTCGATAGGCTTTCTTTTTCCTTTTCAAAAAATAAAAAAAAAATGGAAGAAAGAAAGATAAAGGTAAGTTAGATATACACAGAGTTTATGATAGAGAGATCAGATAGACAAATAATCAAGATGTTTTCAAATTCATTCCGATTTTTCGCTGGGTGCATGAGTACTTAAGAGCTCGGAGATACACGTAGCAACAAGATTCCGAGGATCCGGAAGGATACATGAACAACAACAAAAAAAACGGCAAAAAAGGGTCCTCCACTTTTCGTGAGCGCATTCTCCGGGCCGGGGAATAAGGAGGGACGATGTCCACATATGGGGAGAACGATATGCTCCTTGTACCGTGCAGAAGAGCACCAACAGACTTATATGGATGTAGTGTGAAGCAATCCTCATGAAAGAAACCTTTCAGCTGTGACGTCTTGGGCCCACAGGTCTTCGCAAGAACCGTTGATCCATCAAATATGTATAAACCAATCCTGAAATGTATTTTTTTTTCTAATAGATTCGAGTAACAAGCCAAGCTGCCTCCTATAAACCATCGACCAATGATGGGAACTCGCACGTAAGATTCCGGAAAACCTATCTCTTCCTGCCCCAACGAGCCAGGCCATATATATATATTTATATATGTAACATGATCGAATAGATTGATTGAGAAATTCAAAAGACAAGAAAAGAAAATAAACAACGCATAAGATCTAGATTTCTTTGTTCCTTTTATTTTCGGTGCACAGATCATATGGGTTGAAATGAACAACTGTATTTTGGTTATATTTTTTGAAGAGGGGGGAGGGGAGAGGGATCAAGTGCCCAGGTCGAGTTCATCATCCTCGTCGGCCTCTTCCCCATCCTCCTCATCCTCTTGAAGATCAAATGCGTTTTCAGGCACCTTGTAGAGTCGTACAACAGGCTAAAAAAAACAACAACAAACATTGAAAGATCAATAAAGAGATCATCCCCCCCCCTCAAAGAAAAAACGGTGAAATGAAAGCAATACCTTGTTGGGATCTTTCATCAGCAAGTATTTGCCATCTTCGGCTTTGAAAGCGAGGTCGATCGCCGTCCGAACGATCCCCCATCCGTTCGACAAATTGACGTTGATCTGGGCCGCAAAGTCTTTGGGCTTGAGCCACTGTTGACCGAGGATGACATGACGCGAAGCATCTCGTGGGTTGGCTCGCGAGATATAACTACGAGGATCATTGGAATTTTGAGATAAAAAGAGGTCAGTCGGTTGAAGGAAAAGGGAAAATATAGAGATTGGGTTTCGAGAAAGTAAAACCATACCCCATCTTCATCTGGTCAGCGCCTGCCAGGATACTCTGAACAGCCCACTTGGCCAGTTTGCACGAGTTGTTCTTCATTTCAGTAGCCACGACAGCCCCACGTTGAGTGTCAAGCTTAGCCCTCCAGTTAGGGGCCCCGCCGCTACCTTGACTGTTAGAGTCGAACTCGTTCAAGGTTCGGATGGTAATAAAGCTGTCCTCATCGTTCCCGCCCTGTTCCTTGACGTTAGTAGCATTAGGGCCGCGGAGGACGGCGTCGACCTCGGTCCGGATGATCAGAGTCATCTCCTCTTCCTCGCTCAAGCTGAGATCGAAACTTCGGTAACGAAGACCGGCCGAGGCACACGGCTCCGTCTCGTCCGGCCCGTAGAACGGGTTCGGCTGCTCGAATTGGTAGGCCGTCTTCGGGTCTTCCTTCACCACTTGTAAGCCAAAGTTTTGGTTGATGAACGTCGCTTCGAGCGATAAGGCCGATGGGGTATTCGGGGAATCCGGCTTGTCCGATTCTGCTGGCGGATCGGCTGCATTCTCATTGACGCTTAAAAAGTCTATGGGTCGTTTGAAACAACCATCGTAGTAAAAACCCTCAAGTCAATCCTAACTTCCCAGGAAAACGCCTTGTTTTTTTGTCTAAATTTCACCTACCAAAAGGACCTCCTTCTCTCTTATCCAAAAACAGTTTTCCCCCCTCCTTGATGATCACAATGTCCCAAGGATAGACTGATCGAGTGGCGCACATGAGCAAGCTCAAAACCGAGTCGGTCGTAAAGACTTGTGCTTTATTTTGAGCAGCCAGCTCCTGGATGATTGGATCCTCAGATGCAGTAGGATGGTATCGAGATCGATCAAGAATCTGGAGTGGCTGGGGGTTCTTGGTATTGATACGGTCGTAGGTTCGATCGTATTCGTAGAGGAAACCGTGGGTGGAGCTAAAGAAGGGAAAAGGATGATGAGTGACTCTAGAACCAACAAGTGATGACGACAGGTAGGATCTCATGGTGAAGAGACTCAACACATCTTCGGCCGCATCGACATCGACTTCCAGTCTCAACTTAGCCAATCGAGAAAATTCGATCTCTTCGAGAACCTGCCAATCTTGACCGATGACGACTGTACTCTCACGAATCCGGGAGTTACGATCGCCCCAATCGCCCTTCCAAGTTCCGCCGCCTCTGCCCCATTGACCGCCCCTCCTACCCGCCCCACCACGAGCACCAGATCCACGCTCGAGTCTGCCGCCGGCCCCACGCCCTCTGCCGGCGGTCCCTCTGAGATTACTGCCCCGTCCACGGGCCCCTCGGTTGAGGCCCATCAGCCCACCCGTGCCTCGGTTCGAGCCCGTCCCGCCGCCCACTAGATTGAAACTCGCCTCATCCTCGTCGTGGAAATACGCAAACGTTCCGCCCTGGCCGGCCCCATAGGCCTCTCTTGTCGATCCCCGATTGGCTCGGAATCCTCGCTGATGAGCATTCGCTCCGACACTCAGCTGTCCGCTCTCTGCATTCCAGTCAACGATCCTACCGATCTTGTCAGACTTTGAAAAAGGCGCATACGGAATACTTTTTTTTGTTTTCAAAAATGCATCCATCCGAAGTTGAACAGTCAGTTTCTTCAATTTTTAGTTTCATATAAGATGGAGAATAAAAATAGGAGGGGTGCTGTACTCTTTGAATTGGGTTGGAAGCGCTGTTGGAGATGGTCCCCATGCGTCTGGATGGTCATGAATAGCAGGCAAGACGAATTGGGGGGAAGATGTTGAATCGTTATCTGCCATGATGAATGAAGTCGAGCTGAGTGATCTCGTTTCCCAGTGATTGGTCGGTCGGTTTAAGTTTTTGTTGAGGTGATCGATGTGGATGGTGAAGTGGTGGTGAGCGAGGAGGATGTTGGAAAAGTGGGATAGGTGTCGGTGACAGGTGATGGACAGCAGGACTTGGCTGGCATGTCCAGTGGCTGTCTCGATGTCCGCTTATCCGTGATAGCCCTGTGCCACCTGCATGACTCTCCCTCTCTCTCTCTCTCGCTAAAGTTCAAGAAAGTCAAAGTCAAACCAAAAAAAAAAAAACGATGATGACGATGAGGATGACGACGATGCGATCGATGGGAATCAAGGAGGAAGACTCCACCAAAGAGGACGGGATCGATAAACTGGTCGAACTGCTAAACCTGCCATACTCCCATAACGACGCTCATCAACTCAGACAACTGTCCATCCAAGCCCACCATCAGATTAGTCTACTCTCAAATGATACCACCACCACCACCACTACCCTCGACGGTCTATCTGACCAAGAGATCCTCGACCAATTGATCCAAAAAACAGGCATCGCAGAAACACAATTCCAAGCAATAGATGATCAAGTAAGCTCCTCCATCAAACTTGGATTTTCATATATATTGACTCAAGTGCTTGATTCTCCTTAGCTCTCAGAATCGACTAAGGAAGTACAGAAAATGATGGGAAAAGCGCAAGAAGAAATCGCAAAATTAAAGCCGATGAGTGAGCGAATACACGAAGAGTTTATGAAGTATGAGGACGAATACATCGACCATTACGAGTCTCTCAAGCCCCTCCCAACTTCGCTCGAGAATGCACCGCAGAGGGCACAAGAAGCAAGGAGACAGCCCAAGAACTCATCCGTCTTGATCGAATCGATGTCCGAGCAGATCGAATGGCTGAAAGAACTGGGACGCCTGAAGTTGTGGTTCAGTGTCCTACTCGACTTCAGGGACCACACCGACCAGTTGGTCCAAGGAGCCACCCAAACAGATCCACTTTCCTCAACAAACTCTTCTTCTTCTTCTTCTTCGATCAGAGAAATTGAAGCCCTTGCCGATCGACTGTTCGAGTTAATCCAATCCTATCAAGACTTCAGTCGACTCACTCCTCCGAACCACTTCTCACAATTCAACCTATACCAGTACATCTACCAGATCATCAGACAATCCCTCAACTCTCTCATCGAAATCATTTCTGGGTCAGTTCTACCTCTCCTTGATTGCACAAGACCTTTTTGTTTTAACATTTGCTTTGTTGTTTTAGTCATGTAGCACAGACTCTGGAGAATGAAATCGAGTGGCCTCAGCCCAGTCGTGCTCCTCTTGACTTCAAGTCACCCAGCACGAAACGCATACTGGATTCATTCAAGACCGCCGTCAATTTCCAAAACAAGTAGGTGTTTGCTTTCTCCGTCGCACATCTTCTTGTCTTGACTCACAAAAATCCCTTCTCCGCAAACAAAATTATCTTTTGTTTCATCCAGGTTGCACAGTCGTCCTGATTTGGTTTCACTGGTCGAGCGACGACCCGATCCAGTAGACCAGTCGAGCGTGATTTGGCTGCCCCTTCTGGAGGGCTCGATCCTTCTCAAGGCGATCCTAAGGCCAATCATCTTGCGTTTCCGGTTTCATTTTGACGGCCAACGGGCGACGAATCGACTAGATAAGGTGTGTGTATTCCTTTCAGCTCTTCCATCCTCCCCCACCCTTAAGTATTTCTCCGTGAAGAAGATATTGATCCCGATTTTTTCGGTTGCTTGGAATTCTTTGTAGCCTGAATGGTACTTCAATCACGTACTTGATCGCTTGGCCGAGCATGAAAAGTTCATCAAGTCTGACATCCAAAAGTTGTTTGAATTGAGTGGCCAGGGCTCGACGAAAGTCTTTGTAAATCATTCTTCCCATTCGCTCCCTGTTTTACGAACAACATAAATTCCCACTGACAATGAAGAGAACTGGAATGGCATCTTAGAATGGGTTTACAGTCCAATTGATCAAGATCGTCGAGAAGAAGCTCAAACGGAGTATCCCTGGGATCTTGGAGATGAAGCCGATTTTGGCTCATACTATCGAAAAGGCAATCGGATTCGATCAAATGATCCGTCAGATGCATTATCTTGAGTCCGATTCCTCTAAGACTGGTGTTCCATCCACTACTCAATGGCTAGGTACAGTCGATGGGATCCTTTCAAATCAGCATTGGTTCAACATATGGTTCGAGGCCGAAAAACGATGTAAGTTTTTCCTTTCCCTTTTGTATTTTTACTATGATCGGATCTTGATTAATTAACGGTGACAATTTTGTTTTCCTTGCGATCGTGATAAAGTTGTTGATGATATGTGTTTAGAGATTATCAGCTCTAAGGAGACCTGGGAAATCAATGATGAAGACCAAAGACCGATCAGCATGAACCTCCCAGCGACCAATTCGGCGCTGAGGATCCAAGACTTAGTGGAGCAGATCAAGAGCAAGTATGAGGGCTTGCCGAGGCTGAGTTACCAGGCAGAGTTTCTGGTCAAGATCCAAGTGGTCGTCCTGGAGGCTTATTCGCAGCGGATCAGTGGGGTCCTGGACGGCTTCGAGCGTAACCGACTGATGAATGTCGTGGGCGGAGACTCGGGTCGGGCTAAGATGAATCTGGGGTTGAAGGGCCTCGAACGACTGGCCAAGGTCTATGTCAGCTGTAATTGGATCTTGAGCTGCTTTCGATCCTGGAACGATGACCTGGTGAGATCATCCTTATCCCTCCGATTTCCTTCAGTGTGTTTCTGGGGCTGAGCTCTGGGCGACTTCTCCCGCGTCAGTTCTATGCCGAACTCTATGAGAAACTCAAGCAGGAGAAGACCCCTCCAACGCCGGAGGTCGAGAGGTTCTTGAGATCTGTTGAGGCGGTCGGGGCCTTGGATCCGACCCTGTTCAGTCCCTCGGTCGTCCGGTTTGAGGAGCTCGCTAAGCGAACCGAGGCGGCGATCGTTCGACAAGTCGTCCAAGAGATCATGACCGAATTGAAGCCCTATTTCGCCAAGTCAGTAGTCAACTCTTCCTTCTCGTGCGTTTCTCAGACTATGATGCTTAACGTGTTTTTTAACATTTCTAGGCGATGGGATATTGAGGAAGAAGAGGGTGCGGAAGGAAGTCCGGGAGAAGTGGATGAGCTATCGAGGGAGATCGTCCCTGCGATCAGTCTGTGGAAGTCGCGGATGAACTACTTGCGACAGACTGTCCAGCCGACGGTCAAGTTGGCCCGACTGGTGAAGCCGATCGCCAAGGAGATCGAGGCCAAACTGCTGCTGAAGATCATCTTTGAGCCCTTCTCGATCCGGGCGATCACCCGTCGAGGCGGTCTGCAGTTCCACTTCGATCTCCTCTTTGGATGGCTGAATTTCTCGACGAGTGGTACTACCACCCACTTTGGTTCTGGGTCGTCGGATCATCAGCGGCATTCTTCGTTGAGATTGGAGAAACATTTCGCCAGAGTCTTGGATGCTTGTACTCTCTTGGCCCATCCTCTGCGTCCGTCTTCTTCGGAGGGTCCCTCGTCTTCCTCACAATTCTCGTTCGAGGAGCTCGTCCGTCTCTGCTTTGATGAGCTCCTCGACGAGTCTCAGCTTAAAAGCTTATTGAAAGAGCGCCTTCAAATCTCTTCTCTCTCGAGATCCGAGTGCCAAGCGGTGTTGAAAAGAAGACCCGAGTGTTGGAAGACTTGATTCCACCAAACCAAAAAAAAAAAATCTCTTTTACTCTTTATATTCAAATTCAGTTTGTTTCCGTTTGGTTGTTTTGTTTGATTTGATAGGGAATGTCTCCATCTTACTTCTCTATTCTGAGCGCACATCCTCCAGTGCATCGTTAAGACTTCAGTTCTTTTGTAGATACTATATGCAATGATGTATTGTACTTGATGGTTTGAGGAAGAAGCAGAGAAACATAACAAGGAAGGCAGATATTTACATAACCCGATAGCTGAGTGAGAGTGGGAATCCACTGTGATGGACGTTCGCTCTTTTGACTAAGCTGGTGTTTGACCACTGCAGAAGTGTCATTTAGACTTGGGCTTCATTGGACGGGTTTATGTTTTCCAGTCAAGCTGATTGAGCTTGATCATGTTAGATGATGCCGATTGCTGATTGTAAGGAAGGGTTCATTCGGTCTTTTGGTGGTTTTTTTTTGTGGTCGCGGAGTAGGTGGGCTCGGTTGGGGTGCCGGCCAAGACAGAGTGGTAGATTATGTATGCAGGAGACTGAGTGAACGAAGGGTGGCCGGGTGGGGCTCTCCTCACTTGGGCTTGAACAATTAAAGGGAACAAACCTAGCACACATATCCACAAAAGACGGAATAGACGGAAAAGACGGTCAACAGGAAGAGGAGGAAAGAGAAAGAACCAAAACGAAAAACCACAAGAAGAAATGGAACCAGAAAAGAACTACCGAAACAACAACAACAACTCAACTCAACCAACAACAACAACAGCAACAACAACAACACAACAACAACCACGAAGTACTGGAGGAACTAAGCGAACTAAACAACCCAACACAACCTCATCATCAGCCAAGAAGAAGAGAACATTCGACTCAATCTCAAACTCACTCCCAGCAGAAGAATCGATCGAAGCTCAAACCATACCACCAAACTATAACAACAACCAACAACAACAACAGCATCACCATCATCATCATCGCAACCCTCAATCACACCAACAACAACTGATCCTCAACCAATTCAACCATCACCACCATCATGTCCAGCCTCAGACTCAACCAGGGCCCAACCCACAATTCCAACTCTCCATCATGCCCACCGACGAAGACTTCCCGATGATCAGATGCGGCTGGAATAACTGTCGACAGGGCTTCTGGATCTTGGAGGATCTCATCAATCATCTGGTTGGCGAAAACGGTCAGAAGACAATCTCTTGCTTAGGAGGATATCCAATCACTGACTTCTCTTTTTGATATCTGAGTAGGTCACGTTCCGCCCGATCCAACGGCTCCCAGAGGCCAGAAATGTCCCTGTGAATGGGTGGGATGTCCAAAACAGGGCAAGCCCCAAGGGAGTAGGATGGCACTCCTAGTCCATCTCAGAAGCCATACAGGAGAGAAGCCATTCTCGTGTCACAAACCAGGTAAGAGGGGTGATCCTCTTCTTTATCGATGAGCTCGACACTGATCATATTGGAAATATGTAGAATGCGATAAGACCTTCTCAAGGACGGATGCATTGGCCAAACATGTCCGAGTCTCTCATGGCGAGATCTTGCCCACCGTGCGCTCCTCGACGACTTCCCAGTTGAAGACAAGCTCGAATTCGAATACAAATGGAGGGAAGAAGATCAAGGCGGAGAACGAATCGGAAGGGGAAGAGGAAGGGACGGTGGTGGCAGAAGAGCTAGGGATTCAGGGCAAGTCGATCGACTGTTCAACCGGCAGTGATCTGCCTCAACTGGTACCACCACCACCTGGTGGAGGATCAGCAGAAAAAGATCTGCTAGAAATCATCAATGAGAACGGAAAATGGTTCAATGAGACTATCGATAACGAACTGCGAACCGAAGAGGAACGCAAATCGTTGGAAGAGTTGAGGTTCAAATACCCCTCCGTCGATTTCGCCTTCTTGGAATTCGTCGTCCTTAAAGCTAAGATCAAATTCGCTCTCGGCGAACGCGAAATCTTGAAATCTGAATTGAACGTTCGTCTTCCTTCTGGCTCAAGTATTTCTTAAAAGACGCCAGAACATTAAACGTTTCTTGGTTCTTCTATTCCTGCTTTTTTTTCTTTCTTTTTAGTTGGGTCAACTCAAGAGAAACATCAAGAACAAAGGATAGTATTAGATGAGATCATGCGACAACAAATCGGGTAAGAATACAAAACCCCTATTTGAGCGGTAGAGACCGGACATTTCTTTTTTTTTTTTTGCTGACTTCTCGATATTATCATATTCTTTTGGGGGTGTACATAGACCAGAGTCGTCGGAATTGTGGCGGACGACGATCGACAATATCTCGACTCTCCCGCCGCCGCCGTCTACTGCACTTCATCACCACCACCACCACCATCATCATCATTCACATTCCCATTCCCATTCCCATGATCAACATCTTCATGAGAAACAACAACTCACTCAGCAACAGCAATTGGCCCAACAACAACAATTGGCTGCTCAACAGCAACAACAGCAACAACAACAACAACAACCTTACCATCATCACCATCATCTTCATCTTCAGCAACTCCAACAATAAACCTGTTTTGTTTTTGTTCCTTCACTTCTTTTTTTCTTCCCCTCTGATTGTTCTTCTTTCTCAACAAAAATACGACCTCTTCTTTTCTCTCTCTCTCTCTCTCTCATGATCCCTTTCTTTTTTTTCAATCGTTACTTGGCGGAATATTCAGTCTTGTTTTTTTCCCTTTTTTGTCTGGTTGGGTGGGTGTATGTAAGGTTTGTCGTCTTTACTTTTTTTGTTTTTGTTTTGTTTTTTTTTTTGGTTTGGTTTGTTTATACTGTGTGTTTTTTTTTCTCATTGTTTATTTATAAATTCATATATATATATATATATCTCATGAA